GCAGCACCTAGCAATGCCCCAAAAGATACCATTGCACTCACGAGAGACATAGCGGCGAGAGCCACGATCATGGCCAGATCCAGGGCACTGCAAACCATACACTACGAGGGCTTTGTACTGGCGATATTCAGTGATCTCCCTTTTGCACTGTTGGCAGAAAAGAGGAAACTAGCACCCATAGCAAGGAGACTGAGAGACAACTCCGTGAAATACAGATGGGGAGCCGACGGTTCCCTCTCACCCGTCACCTTCTCTGAGGAACCAGAACCTTTCCTCAGAAGTCTAGACATACTAGCCGAGGGGCAGGAGCACACACCATCTGTGTCTACACCCAAGAAGCAAACTGACACCAAGGGGCATGACAAAACGACCCTAACGACCCAGAGACACACCGCACAACGGCGGCGACTAAAAAATGCCGAAATAAAGACCCTTCCACTGCAAGAACCACAGAGCTTGAGGCTCACCACCTGAGCTGATCCGGTGAAGATGCAACCGACGTTGACGGCATTTTAGGCCTCCCATCAGAGACGTGATGCACTCAGCTACAGTGTATGCTATTTTTCTTTATCCTCAATGCTTATAAGTTGTTTGTATTGTTTGAGATACGTACCCATGCACAGCATTACTTGATGTCTATACTTTATACTCCCCATATATGGGTCACGTTGCAAAAGCACATAAGATACACATTAAAAAAAAAAAAAACTAATTCAAATGGCACACTGACCGCAGTCCTCTTTCAAACACTTGGGTATGATAGACCCCAATCTATCTTTTGGCCTCCTCATAGAAAAACTTGCATCTAAACTTTATCCAAAATTAGGTGCCCTGTACAGAAACAAAGCCTGCCTAAGCCCTGCAGTAAAGGAAAAGATTGTACAGCAAATGCTGATGCCAATCATTGATTATGGGGATGTAGTACATGCACCTGCACCGCAATCCCACATTAATAAACTCAACACATTGTATAACTCGTTCTGCCGATTTGTTCTACAATGTAATTACAGGACCCACCATTGTGACATGCTAAAATAACTAAACTGGCTGTCGCTGGAATCCAGACGCACCCTTCATCTTTCCAGCCTTGTGTTTAAGAGCTTTTCTGGGAAACTCCCACCCTACCTGAACACAATGCTCTCCCCAGCTGTTCCCACCTCCTATAACCTCAGATCCAGTACCAACACTTTACTTAGTCTACCTCAATACAAAAAGAAAGCAGCCCGATCCTCATTCTCCTACAGAGCGCCGCAATTGTGGAACGACCTCCCGCACACTTTCAAATCTTCCCCAAGCCTAAAGTTCTTTAAGAGATCCCTCTCTACATACCTCAAAACAGAATGCACCTGTCATGGTTGATTATATATTTCCTGCCTGTTCTATGTTAAATTTTGCACATAATGTGTATTAATATTATTTTTGTATTTTATTGCACCATAATGTATCAATGCAATGTTTGTGGACCCGGGACATACTTGAAAACGAGAGAAATCTCAATGTATCTTTGTCAAGTATTCATCCGCTTAGAGAAATGTGGTTAATGACATTTACTGTCCACACAGGAAAAGTTGTGCCGAGCAGCAACCTAATCCACAGAAGGGTTAATGCTGAGCAGCAATTATGCAAATGAAACCTGGTAACTGACTTTGGGGTCAAAGGCCGGTTACAGACTATCAGAACTAAAGGAGGGGTATTTAGGCCAGTTCTCAGCCAGCTCAGTGCCCTGTCGTGGTTTCCCTTGTGGTTGTCCGAGAGCGCGTTCCTGTTTATAGTTTTCTACCTGGTTTTTGACTTTGGCTTTGTTTATTGACTTCTCTATATTCTGGTATCCTGACTCCTGGCTTTTCTCATCGCTGTGTCCCTTTCTGTGTTCCCTGACCTCGGCTAGTATTTTTGACTATTCTTTGTACGTTAAATCCGGCCATTCTAAGGACCGGTAATACGTTACTTATTTGTTATACGTGCTGTACAGTTCTACGTGCTGGATCAAACAGTAATCCTGACAATCTTTCCTGGTAAAATATTTTATAAATAAATAATGTAGTCATAACATTATATTTCCTTAATATATATACTTGTTAGGACTTGAAAGGACCCAGGACCTAATTTTGCCCGGGGCCCAAACAGCTATCAGACCATTTATGTTTGGCTGTTAATGATAGCCACAAGCACTGGGCTTCGCGTCCTATAATTGCCTTCCAAGAATTGTAGTTACTAACAATGTAAGAAAAGGTTTGGCCCTATATGTGGCACTAATTGTGTGCTCCCTGCAGGTTCCATGTTGCCAGTAGTGTACTCAGTCTGTGCTGTGGATTACTGGCTCAGCAGTTCTGTGTTGTGACAGCAGAGGGAGACTAATCATTGATTATTAACAGGAATCCTGGACCATGTATATTATAAAACATCAGTCGGAGATGGTTATATTCTGTCAGGAAATGATATTATTTATCGTTATATATCCAGGAACACAATGTAACAAGCTTTCCATGACAACCAACCAGCCAATGGGGTGTATCCAGTTCATTGCACCCAGGATTCCAGGACAAGGGATAGAGTGCATTTTCCAATACCTTAATTTGAAAACCAACCAGCCAATGTCTGTCTGTCTGTAGATTAATGCCCTGCTGTCTGTTTGTCTTTCCTTGGATATGATTGAAGTGTAACATTGGGCTCTGGACTTTTTTAGAATATTTCCATAAGGGTGGCCCTTCGTGAAGTATAATTTGCTTTATATTCAGTGCTAGAAAAATTGTTAGAAATTTAGTTTATTTATTTCATCATCAGCGCAATAAGACAACTGATAAAATATCTCCCAACTTCACCAAATGGACAAAGAGGGACACTTTAATTTTAGGGGTGTCAGTGGGGGTGTGACAAGGGGGGCTGTTCTGAGAAATTAAAGATGATTTACTAATAACAATTAATGTATACGAAAGCGGGGGAAGAGATTAGTGTCCCCCCCCCCAAAAAAAACCAAACCACGATTCCCTTACCCTACCTTCCCCCATAGAGACATACAGAACACGTTCTAAAGTTCAGTTTGCGCAGTTACGCTCGGTTGTTCAGTTAACCACAGTGGCTGGGTGGGGAAATACAGGCGGGAAAAAGGGAGTGAGCATTACCATATGTGCGATAACATGCTTGGAGTCTGTAAGCTTTATACTTGTTTATTCTCTGTATACATGCATACTGTGCTTCAATAAAAATGAAGATTGACAAAAAAAAATAACAATTAATGTAACTGAAATGTAATTCAGAAAAACAATGTATCTTATTAGACAGACTGATTTCTAAATACATTTATTGCAGTTTACAGACACATTACTGGGAGCATTATTGCTGTGGAGCTCTGTTATACACTCAGACACATTACTGGGAGTATTATTGCTGTGGAGCTCTGTTATACACTCAGACACATTACTGGGAGTATTATGCTGTGGAGCTCTGTTATACACTCAGACACATTACTGGGAGTATTATTGCTGTGGAGCTCTGTTATACACTCAGACACATTACTGGGAGTATTATTGCTGTGGAGCTCTGTTATACACTCAGACACATTACTGGGAGTATTATTGCTGTGGAGCTCTGTTATAGACTCAGACACATTACTGGGAGTATTATTGCTGTGGAGCTCTGTTATACACTCAGACACATTACTGGGAGTATTATTGCTGTGGAGCTCTGTTATACACTCAGACACATTACTGGGAGTATTATTGCTGTGGAGCTCTGTTATACACTCAGACACATTACTGGGAGTATTATTGCTGTGGAGCTCTGTTATACACTCAGACACATTACTGGGAGTATTATTGCTGTGGAGCTCTGTTATACACTCAGACACATTACTGGGAGTATTATTACTGTGGAGCTCTGTTATACACTCACACAGGTCACCAGCTGGAATTCAGGAGACTCAGGTTCAAACCCAGCCAGGACCAAACCCACAAATACAGCGGAGTTCACGATGACAGTTGTGACAGTAACCAACTGTGTGCATAATGCATCACTGGGCATTTTATCTTCTTTCCAGTATAAATTAAATAATTTGCTAAAGTGTGGTGTCAAAATGGTAAAAAACGTTTTATAATATGACATTATAAATTCATTTGGACCCGGTCCTTTACCACCTGGGGTAGGTTTTATAGCTTTGTAATTAATTCAAAAGCACCTCATTTATGCATTGTTTATACAAAATCAAAGAGTTCTTCACAGGTCCATTAACTGAAACTAAACTGGGAAAAGATCACATATTCACAGGCTGAAAACTTAAACTAACGGATACTATGACAAAGGACTATTGAAATTCACATTAATAATGGTTATTTTTATTTTTTTTTTTAACACAGTGAGGGAGTTTAAGCATGCGTGGGATAGGCATAATGTTATCCTAACTATAAGATAAGGCTATAAGGACTAATGAAAGTATTTAGAAAATTGGGCAGACTAGATGGGCCGAATGGTTCTTATCTGCCGTCACATTCTATGTTTCTAATAATAATAATAATAATAATATGTGTGGGGTTATAATAATCAGTGTGTCTGTCTATATATTTATTATGGTTTATGATCGTATTTTATTGCTGTATTTAGTATAATAATAATAATTGATAATAATATTATAGATAATAACAATTAAGAATAATAGATAATTAATTAATAATTAATAATAATATTATAGATAATAATAATTAATAATTAATAATAATATTATAGATAATAATAATTGATACTAATAATTGATAATTAATTAATAATAATATTATAGATAATAATAATTGATAATTAATAATAATAATAGTATAGATAATAATAATTGATAATTAATTAATAATATTATTATAGAGTTTCTCCAATCCCCAGTTTAGTTAATGCCGCCCCCCCCCCCCAGGCTCCCATGTGCCTGTATTCCCTCCTTACAATAAATCCGCCAATCAGGATGAAGGGCGTGGTGGAGGGGGCGTGGTCACGGCCGGTGTTGTCCAATGAGCGGGGCGGTGGGCGTGGCCGCTGGCTGGCTCTGAGTTCGGTCTCGGACTGGGAGACTATAACCCCCGAGCAGCCGGCGGGGCAGGAGTGACGTCACCCAGGTGGAGGGCAGTGACGTCACGCACCGGCGGAACACGTCATACCGTGACGTCAGACTGGCTTCAGCTCTGATTAAAGAACCAATCAGGAGATAAGGAGGCGTGACGTCATATCCCAGTAACAGCCGTGACGTCAGACCGTCCCCCCCCCCAGTGACCCACGTGGCATCGCCCAACCGGCTGCAGCCACAATGGGAATCCCCCCCCTCCCCCTCCTCCTCCAACTCAGCCTCAGCCTCCTCCTCCCAGTGGGAGCCCTGCACCCAGGTAAGGACTGCAACTCCCAGCATCCTCACACACACCCAACATAGGGACTGCAACTCCCATCATCCTCACACACAACCAACATAGGGACTGCAACTCCCATCATCCTCACACACACCCAACATAGGGACTGCAACTCCCATCATCCTCACACACCCAGCATAGGGACTGCAACTCCCATCATCCTCACACACCAAGCATAGGGACTGCAACTCCCATCATCCATGCACACACCCAGCATCATCATCATAAGGACTGCAACTCCCATCATCCCAGCATCATAGGGACGGCAACTCCCATCATCCAGACACTAACACCCAGCATCATCATAGGGACTGCAACTCCCATCATCCAGGCACACACCCAGCATCATCATAGGGACTGCAACGCCCATCATCCAGACACACATCATAGGGACTGCAACTCCCATCATCCTCACACCAACATCATAGGGACTGCAACTCCCATCATCCAGACACACACCCAGCATCATAGGGACTGTAACTCCCACCATCCCGACACACACATCATAGGGACTGCAACTCCCACCATCCCGACACACACATCATAGGGACTGCAACTCCCACTATCCCGACACACACATCATAGGGACTGCAACTCCCACCATCCTGACACACATCATAGGGACTGCAACTCCTATCATCCCCACAGCCATCATAGGGACTGCGACTCCCATCATCCCCACTGCCATCATAGGGACTACGACTCCCAGCATCCTGACATCCATCATAGGGACTACGACTCCCAGCATCCTGACATCCATCATAGGGACTACGACTCCCATCATCCTGACATCCATCATAGGGACTGCAACTCCCATCATCCACAGGGAGAGACTACTGACATCCATCATAGGGGCTGCAACTCCCATCATCCCCAGATAGAGACAGCTGGCACCCATCATAGGGACGACTACTGACATCCATCATAGGGACTGCAACTCCTATCATCCCCAGGGAGAGACTGCTGACATCCATCATAGGGACTGCAACTCCCATCATCACCAGGGAGAGACTACTGACATCCATCATAGGGACTGCAACTCCCAGCATCCCCAGGGAGACTACTGACCTACATCATGGGTACTGCAACTCCCATCGTCAACAGGGAGACTACTGACATCATAGGGAATACAACTCCCATCATCCCCAGATAGAGACAGCTGGCACCCATCATAGGGACGACTACTGACATCCATCATAGGGACTGCAACTCCTATCATCCCCAGGGAGACTACTGACCTACATCATGGGTACTGCAACTCCCAGCATCCCCAGAGAGAGACTACTGACATCATAGGGACAGCAACTCCCATCATCCCCAAGGAGAGACTACTGACATCCATCATAGGGACTACAACTCCCATCGTCAACAGGGAGACTACTGACATCATAGGGAATACAACTCCCATCATCCACAGGGAGATGGCTGACATCCATCATAGGGACTACAACTCCCATCATCAACAGAGACTACTGACCGACATCATAGGGAATCCAACTCCCATTATCACCAGGGGGAAACTAGTGACATAATAGAGACTACAACTCCCATCATCATTAAGGGATACAGCTGGGATCATAGGGACTATAACTCCTATCATGATGGCCGTGGCACACAGGATGTGAATGGGTTATCTGAGTTTACATATTTACTTCCTTGCGGTGTATGGTGTGTGTGTGTGTATACATAGTATATATAGCGGTGTATAGTGTGTACTATGTATTTACATAGTGTGTATATATAACGGTGTATAGTGTGTGTGTGTACATAGTATATATAACGGTGTATAGTGTGTGTGTGTACATAGTATATATAACGGTGTATAGTGTGTGTGTGTGTGTACATAGTATATATAACGGTGTATAGTGTGTGTGTGTACATAGTATATATAACGGTGTATAGTGTGTGTGTACATAGTATATATAACGGTGTATAGTGTGTGTGTACATAGTATATATAACGGTGTATAGTGTGTGTGTGTGTACATAGTATATATAACGGTGTATAGTGTGTGTGTACATAGTATATATAATGGGGTATAGTGTGTGTGTGTGTGTGTGTGTACATAGTATATATAACGGTGTATAGTGTGTGTGTACACATAGTATATATAACGGTGTATAGTGTGTGTGTGTGTGTGTGTGTGTGTGTGTACATAGTATATATAACGGTGTATAGTGTGTACATAGTATATAGGTGTATAGTGTGTGTGTACATAGTATATATAACGGTGTATAGTGTGTGTACATAGTATATATAACGGTGTATAGTGTGTGTACATAGTATATATAACGGTGTATAGTGTGTGTGTACATAGTATATATAATGGGGTATAGTGTGTGTACACATAGTATATATAACGGTGTATAGTGTGTACATAGTATATATAGCAGTGTATAGTGTGTGTGTGTGTGTGTACATAGTATATATAACGGTGTATAGTGTGTACATAGTATATATAATGGTGTATAGTGTGTGTGTACATAGTATATATAACGGTGTATAGTGTGTGTGTGTACATAGTATATATAACGGTGTATAGTGTGTGTACATAGTATATATAACGGTGTATAGTGTGTGTGTACACAGTATATATAACGGTGTATAGTGTGTGTGTGTACATAGTATATATAACGGTGTATAGTGTGTGTGTACATAGTATATATAACGGTGTATAGTGTGTGTGTACATAGTATATATAACGGTGTATAGTGTGTGTGTACATAGTATATATAACGGTGTATAGTGTGTGTGTGTGTACATAGTATATATAACGGTGTATAGTGTGTAAATATAGTATATATAACGTATAGTGTGTGTGTACATATATAAGTATATGTAACGTGTATAGTGTGTGTGTGTACATAGTATATATAACGTATAGTGTGTGTGTGTACATAGTATATATAACGGTGTATAGTGTGTGTACATAGTATATATAACGGTGTATAGTGTGTGTACATAGTATATATAACGGTGTATAGTGTGTGTGTACATAGTATATATAATGGGGTATAGTGTGTGTACACATAGTATATATAACGGTGTATAGTGTGTACATAGTATATATAGCAGTGTATAGTGTGTGTGTGTGTGTGTACATAGTATATATAACGGTGTATAGTGTGTACATAGTATATATAATGGTGTATAGTGTGTGTGTACATAGTATATATAACGGTGTATAGTGTGTGTGTGTACATAGTATATATAACGGTGTATAGTGTGTGTACATAGTATATATAACGGTGTATAGTGTGTGTGTACATAGTATATATAACGGTGTATAGTGTGTGTGTGTGTGTACATAGTATATATAGCGGTGTATAGTCTGTATACATAGTGTATATATAAAGGTGTATAGTGTGTACTATGTATTTACATAGGGTGTATAGTGTGTGTATATATAAAGGTGCAACAAAGTTCACGCCTTGCTAGCCAGTCCACTCCAATAGGTGGAAAGAATGGGGTGTGAGAAGCAATACAGGGCTATATGGTCAAACGGTGGTGTCAGCTCCACCAAGGGCTTGTACCCTGATTCATGTGATAAACTAAATACCCATGCCTTATCTGTGCAAATCCCTAGTGAAACCAGTGAAATAAAATGCAATAGAACATGCTACACGCAAGCTTCCAGCAATGGGATTATTCTTATCTTTACATTAACTATTTGATGGGGTTTAATATAGTGTCCCTTTTTATGTCAATTAAGGATTTAATAAAGGTTTTTTGTTTGTGAATAAGGACACTTTATGGCAGTTTTGGAATTATATGTTAAATGCTCCCTTCCCTTCATCCCCCTTTCAATAGCTTTGCATACTAGCTAGTCTATTTATGTACTGTTTTTTTCATTTGTTGTCCATTTTATATTTTTTGTCAGCACTTTCTGATCTCCCTAGCTGGAGATTACCTTTATTATTTTTCAGTTTATATATAAAGGTACATAGTGTGTATATATAAAGGTGTATAGTGTGTGTACACATAGTGTGTATATATAAAGGTGTATAGTGTGTGTGTATATATATATATATATAAAGGTGTATAGTGTGTGTACACATAGTGTGTAATATATAAAGGTGTATGGTGTGTGTACAGATAGTGTGTGTATATATAAAGGTGGATAGTGTGTGTACACAGTGTATATATAAAGGTTTATAGTGTGTGTACACAGTGGATATATAAAGGTGTATAGTGTGTGTACACATAGTGTGTATAGTGTGTGTGTATATATAAAGGTGTATAGTGTGTGTACACATAGTGTGTATATATAAAGGTGTATAGTGTGTGTATATATAAAGGTGTATAGTGTGTGTACACATAGTGTGTGTATATATAAAGGTGTATAGTGTGTGTACACATAGTGTATATATAAGGGTGTATAGTGTGTGTACACATAGTGTATATATAAGGGTGTATAGTGTGTGTACACATAGTGTGTATATATAAGGGTGTATAGTGTGTGTACACATAGTGTGTATATATAAGGGTGTATAGTGTGTGTGTACACATAGTGTATATATAACGGTGTATAGTGTGTGTGTACACATAGTGTATATATAACGGTGTATAGTGTGTGTGTACACATAGTGTATATATAACGGTGTATAGTGTGTGTACACATAGTGTATATATAAAGGTGTATAGTGTGTGTGTACATAGTATATATAACGGTGTATAGTGTGTGTACACATTGTATATATAACGGTGTATAGTGTGTGTACACATAGTATATATAACGGTGTATAGTGTGTGTACACATAGTATATATAACGGTGTATAGTGTGTGTGTACATAGTATATATAATGGGGTATAGTGTGTGTGTGTGTGTGTGTGTGTACATAGTATATATAACGGTGTATAGTGTGTGTGTACACATAGTATATATAACGGTGTATAGTGTGTGTGTGTGTGTGTGTGTGTGTGTGTGTGTGTACATAGTATATATAACGGTGTATAGTGTGTACATAGTATATATAGCAGTGTATAGTGTGTGTGTGTGTGTGTACATAGTATATATAACGGTGTATAGTGTGTACATAGTATATATAATGGTGTATAGTGTGTGTGTACATAGTATATATAACGGTGTATAGTGTGTGTGTGTACATAGTATATATAACGGTGTATAGTGTGTGTACATAGTATATATAACGGTGTATAGTGTGTGTGTACATAGTATATATAACGGTGTATAGTGTGTGTGTGTACATAGTATATATAACGGTGTATGTGTGTGTGTACATAGTATATATAACGGTGTATAGTGTGTGTGTGTGTACACAGTATATATAGTATACATATATACGGTGTATAGTGTGTGTGTGTGTGTGTGTACATAGTATATATAACGGTGTATAGTGTGTGTGTGTGTACATAGTATATATAACGGTGTATAGTGTGTGTGTGTGTGTGTGTACATAGTATATATAACGGTGTATAGTGTGTGTGTGTGTGTGTGTACATAGTATATATAACGGTGTATAGCGTGTGTGTACATATAAAGGTGTATTGTGTGGCTGAATGATATTAGTTGAATTTTTCCTGGAAGCCGTGGAAAGCGAGGAAGTAACAGAATTATTCCGTCAGTATTCCGTCAGTATTCCGTCAGTATTCCCAATGTTTCCATTCATTCCGGATTCATGACATCCCGTGTAGCTGACAGTTACATTGATTGATTTATTGGGCTGCCTTACTGCTTTCTGTGGGTTTTTTTTTTTCTATAATAATTCTACAAAAACATTTACATCTTTCTCATTATGACTAAGAAACATTGTTCCATTTTTGGGGCGATTTTAGTTTTCATCCAAAATGTGGATGTCATTAACTCTTTGACCTCCCAGAGAGGGCCGAAGTGAGGAGTCCTATATTAACCTTGGTTTTGTGATTCGGATTTACTTTTCGTACAGTTTGTCGTTTAGAGAATATCCTCATGGAGTGGGAAGGTTTCTTAGCCAGATGTTCTGAACGTCACTCCGCTCAGTGTTTAGCGTTTAGGGACAGTTGTGTTGGTTTTGAAATAGAAAAATGTTTAAAAAAACGAATGAAAGAAGGAAATTTTTGAAAAGATGGAAATGAGTGAAAGTATTTCAGAGAAACGTTTGATATCTATTTATATTCACTATATTGTGTATCTATAAAATACCACCGTCTCATTCACTGATCAGCCACAACATTAAACCCACTGACAGGTGAAGGGAATAACATTGATTATATTGTTACAATGGCTCCTGTCAAAGGTTGGGATATATTAGGCAGCAAGTGAACAGCCACTTCTTGTATTTCATGTGTTGGAAGCAGGAAAAATGGCCAAGTGGAAAGATCCGAGTGATTTTGGCAAGGGCCGAATAGTGATGACTAGAGACTGGGTCAGAGCATGTCCTAAACAGCAAGTCTTTCTGGGGAGTTCCGAGTGGTTCGTACCTACCAGGTCAGGGCACGGAACTAGGAGGGAAAGGGTTACTTATATACAATTTACCTACCGTTGAAGCAACCTACAATCTTGTGGTTTGAATGTGATCAGATAGTGCATTAACCAACTGAGCTATCTCACCAGCAGAATCATCAAACATTCCCAAGTGTCTGTGTTCCCAGTTGTGTTTTGTGTACAAATGATACAAACGTTTTCTGCCTTAGAATTCCGATTTTTATGTCCCAAAACTGTACGGCTGTATTACAGTGTTACATTCCTTCACCCATTAACACAGGGCTCGTTTTTGGAGATCAGAGGGTACACAGGTGTGCAGAGGGGAAATACAATTGACAAACACAGGACTCTGCAAATAAATGGTCCATAAAATAGACCAAGCCTAAGGGCGATAATGACTTCACACTAACCTGAAAGAGACGGTTACAGTGTTAAAACATTTCCCTAAAGCCTTTTAACACCCAGAGACAAAACAGCTGGAGACCACCCTAAGAAATGCATGTCGGGGGGGTTTAACAGGTCCCAACGATACCTAGGAGGTTTCCATACCAGGCAGGGAACGAGGATCTAGTAAACCCGTAACTAACCGAATTAAAGGCACTAACCATTCACAACTGGCAAAATAATATTATAATGAACAGAGTAAGAATAAAAAGGTCACAATATGGAAATTAAACTCTCTCGTTCCTTTTTGTACCTTAACAAACAAAAAACAATCGTATTCTAGTGATAAATAGTAAACGTGCTCACAGTAAATGTCACTTTCAATAATAAGTGTGTTAAACAAACCCATTACTGTGTATTTTATGGTCCATGTGCCAGCCAGCATTTATTAATATATTAGTGGCATTATAAAATGAACACATTGCAATTTGATTAATAAATAACTGTTAGTGGTTAAAGGAAAAATGAGTAACTATTAAAATCCATTTTTTTCGTATAGGTTATTAATTCTAGCGGTTTCTATACTCTGAATCCCATCACAGCCTCTCTACCTCCATAATAGATTAAAGGGACAGAGTTTTGGGGGTGTCTTACCTAATTTGGCATCAGCAACAGGTTGAAGAATGTTCCTTTAAGCCAAAACAATTTTTTTTGTATTTGGCTACTATAACCCAAAATGGTCAAATCCTTTGACAAATTTTCAGTTTAGTTTGACAATCCCTAGTTTAGTGAGAAAGGCACTAATCTATTATTTTATTATTATTATTATTATTATTATTGTAATAAGAAGCATGCACATAGACACACATTAGTAGAACTTGTACAGACATCACGCCCCGAGCATTGGAAGGGAAGTTACATTCACTGGAGTCCGGGTTGGGGGATTTAATACACAGTGAATGGGGGGGAGTTGACCTAAAATAGAATTGGAACCAAAAAAAGGAATGTTGGGATTTAGTTGAAACGTGTTTGATGACTAACGCACTCGCTGTTTGGTGAATGGACCCCAGGCGGTTCATTTGGTGCAGTGTGACTGTGACCGTGTGCATGACTCACCGCCTGCCACCAATCCCTCGCTGTCAGTCACTGAATCTGGGACATTGCAGGTGACGCACAGATCGCTCCCCTGTGGAAACACAAATCACACATTTCACAGAGTCACGGTTGGCTGTGATCTCAGCCGCTCCTGGTGCAGACGCAATACATCTCTCCCCGGCAACCGCACAATCTCCCAGGGCCAACAGTCCGCAATTCAATGTCAGTTTTAATGTTTACGCCAAAATGACTGAATTGCAAACATTTGCCAGCTATGTCCCCAGCTGTGTCTATTTTGACACAATATTTGAAATTCACTTGGAATCCATTTTGAATTGCTGGCAGTTCACAGGGGATAATCCTGTTCTGGAGCGCCTGGTAACTGCAAGCAGTCAGTGAATCTGTAAATGAGGGGGAACCTTTACTGTCAGAGGGTAGTTTTTTGTTTTTTCCCCTTCAGTTTTGAGAATCCTAAAGCTCTCCTGCGAGTGGGGAGGGGACAGCATAGACGATGTGTCATCACTGCTGCAGGGAAGATGTCACAGACCTGCTGAGGGTGATGTGAGTGGTGTTCATAAGACTGCCTCGAGCGAAACAGTGCTTTACGCTGCTCTCTATCAGCTCTCATAAAGTCAATGTAGTACGCCAGTTAGCGTTTCACATGACACTTGAGAAACTTATAAACTACAATTCCCATGATGCTGAGCCAGCTTTCAGGTAGATCTGCAGCGCTATGTTTAAAATGTTAGTTGCGTGGTGTTGGATTATTTCGAAATAATAATAACAAAGTACTTAACCAGGAAAGGTACATTCAGATTGCTCTGGTTTAGTCCAACATCCAGGGGTTGTTACGATTACCCAATTTAATGGTAACTCCGCTGAACAGTGTTTTAAAACTGGCAACATTCTCCAAAGTCATTTTGTCAGCTCTACGACTGTGACATAAAATTATTTTGTCAATTCTCTCCAATTCCCCGATAAGTGAATACGACCGGAATGTTTTACGCTCCTTGGAGATGAGCGCCGGCGGTCAGGTTTATACAGGTCGGAGTGATTGTGAACACAGTGATTCAAATCAGCGCTATATCCCTAAAGCATTTTAATCTCCCTCGTCAGATGGGAATAAATGTACCTGTATCTATTAACCCTGTACGCTCCAAATACACTTTATACAGGAAGGAGCAATACTGTATCCAACAGGTTAATAGGTTAAACTTTAACTTATTAAAATACAATGAGACATACAGGTATTTAAATCCCACCCCTGCACCTGTCTGTGGGGCCAGTAACTGACATAGGCACATGATCCAGCATTTTGGAGGTTAATCAGATATGTACAGAATAATCAGAGGAATTCCTAAAGGTTTATCAAAGGAGCACACCTGGCACCATAACCACTGCAGCAAGCCACCAACACAGGAGAGCCTGAAGTTCCTAAGAAGAAACCCTTCTGAACGGAGCCATATCCGGCAAGGCTTGGCTCACCGGCTGAGAGCAATCAGATAATGTGGACTCCAAGTTAGAAGTCAATCTGTTCCAAAATGGGGGGGTGCCAGGGCACTCCAAGCACCATAATCACTATGGCGAGATGTAGTGGTTATGGTGCCTGTAGTGTTACTTAAATCTAAAGTTCCCAAGCTGTGACTATCGCCCAATTTGATAAATTTTCCAAATCGGCTGCTTTGGCCTTAATTTTAGGATTGTTTTAAGTTCACTGCAATTCACTCTGTGTAGCATTGGGTGTGACTTTTCAACAGTTCACAAATTAGTTAGTAGCCCTGTGCATCCATTAAACCTAGACTTAGAGGACTATGAAGAAAGGGCCGAAATACGGCGTACACAGATACAGAACAGCCACTCACATGATTCTGAGCCAGCAGCTCAAAAGAGTTCAGAGAAGGGCTACTAAACTGGTTCATGGATTGCGGGATAAAACTTACCAGGAAAGGTTAAAGGATCTTAACATGTATAGCTTGGAGGAAAGACGAGACAGGGGGATATGATAGAAACATTTAAATATATAAAGGGAATCAACACAGTAAAGGAGGAGACTATATTTAAAAGAAGAAAAACTACCACAACAAGAGGACATAGTCTTAAAGGACCACTATAGTGCCAGGAAAACATACTCGTTTTCCTGGCACTATAGTGCCCTGAGGGTGCCCCCACCCTCAGGAACCCCCTCCCGCCCGGCTCTGGAAAGGGGAAAAGGGGTAAAACTTACCTTTTTCCAGCGCTGGGCGGGGAGCTCTCCTCCTTCTCTCCTCCTCCGATCCGCCCCGTCGGCTGAATGCGCACGCGCGGCAAGAGCTGCGTGCGCATTCAGCCGGTCGCATAGGAAAGCATTTACAATGCTTTCCTATGGACGCTGGCGTGCTTTCACTGTGAAAATCACAGTGAGAAGCACGCAAGCGCCTCTAGTGGCTGTCAATGAGACAGCCACTAGAGGATTAGGGGGAAGGCTTAACCCATTCATAAACATAGCAGTTTCTCTGAAACTGCTATGTTTATAAAAAAATGGGTTAACCCTAAAAGGACCTGGCACCCAGACCACTTCATTAAGCTGAAGTGGTCTGGGTGCCTAGAGTGGTCCTTTAAATTAGAGGGACAAAGGTTTAAAAATAATATCAGGAAGTATTACTTTACTGAGAGGGTAGTGGATGCATGAAATAGCCTTCCAGCTGAAGTGGTAGAGGTTAACACAGTAAAGGAGTTTAAGCATGCGTGGGAAAGGCATAAGGCTATCCTAACTATAAGATAAGGCCAGGGACTAATGAAAGTATTTAGAAAATTGGGCAGACTAGATGGGCCGAATGGTTTTTCTTCTTTTAAATATAGTCTCCTCCTTTACTGTGTTGATTCCCTTTTATATATTTAAATGTTACTATCATATCCCCCCTGTCTCGCCTTTCCTCCAAGCTATACATGTTAAGATCCTTTAACCTTTCCTGGTAAGTTTTATCCCGCAATCCATGAACCAGTTTAGTAGCCCTTCTCTGAACCATATCCTCTGAACCGTATCAATATCCTTCTGAAGATACGGTCTCCAGTACTGTGTACAATACTCCAAGTGAGGTCTCACCAGTGTTCTGTACAATGGCATGAGCACTTCCCTCTTTCTCCTGCTAATACCTCTCCCTATACAACCAAGCATTCTGCTAGCATTTCCTGCTGCTCTATTACATTGTCTGCCTACCTTTAAGTCATACCATTTATTTATATACTGGGTAATTGTAGAATAATGTGTGCACCATGACATGAAGTTGCAGATTTTATTCCAAAGTAGCCGAGTTACAGAAACTGTTTAGTTGGAGACGTTTGTCCAGTTCGGCTCTTGGCCTAATGTGTTCCTTCCGTTTAGTTATTCCTAGTCATTTCGTTCTGAACTCCATTGTAGCTGTAAGGAATGCGTACTGAGGTTTCTGTTTTGTTATTCAGTTTTCCCTGAAAGACCAGCAGCGTCTCTGCCTGAACCTGTCACAATTGTTCGGATTATCGCAGCTCCCGGCCACGAGCTATACGTGTTGCCACAAGGAACGTGTCTTCCTTCCCCCACGCCCTGCCCCACGGGCTGATTTTCCATCGTCTATTGTATTTGAAAAGTGGTTGTCCCACCCCGCCGCGATCCCTGGTGCGCTAACATGAGAAGGAACGGGGTATATTTACAAAACGGTAAATTGTAGCTAAGAAAAGCCAAGATGGGATTATGACACCGTTTTATTTATTTTTTAAATTGTTTCTTTTGAACAAGTTTTTTTTCTACAAACCAGCACAATTCACTGTTTAGTAAATAGTTCCCCAAATCATTCACACACCGCTAGGTTAGCGCTCTGGGCGTACATATTCTCTGGCATTCCAACTGTAACATACTGAAACTCCCACCATGCATAACTTGTTTTATGATCTGACTGAGAATAATGGGAGTTGCCTTCGTCAACAAAGTGAATGCCAGAGCTTGCCAATCTGTTTAGGGTTAGAATGAAGAGAGAACATGTATAGCAGGGTAGCCTGGCCTTGGCTTGCGACTTATTGTTGCACTACAGTTCCCATAATTCTCTGCCAGCAATATGTCCATGTATCAAGTGTTTACACCCAATATATTTTATAAAATGTTTCCATATATGACATAACAGAAAAAAGAAGAAGAAGTGATCCTAGGGCAGAACGTCCAAGGTACACAGGATATTTCAGAGTATCTGTTACAAATTAAAACCATATTTATTATAACTCTTAGAATACATAAAAACTAACAAAAAAGATACCATTTATGTAAGTTCTAAGGGGAGAAATGAAGCTCATTAAAGGGGAGGACAGACAGGGAAGCAGGTAGGGTAGCTAGGTACAGTGAGAAAACTCCTATATAGCGTGAAGGATCCTATGTATAGATTCTAGTAGTTAGTTCTACAGAATAGGATTCAATCAGAGAATTCACTGATACACAAGCCACATAGCAGTTTCAGAGAAAGTGCTATGTTTATGAATGGGTTAAGCCTTCCCCCTAATCCTCTAGTGGCTGTATCATTGACAGCCACTAGAGGCGCTTGCGTGCTTTTCACTGTGATTTTCACAGTGAGAGCACGCCAGCGTCCATAGGAAAGCATTATGAATGCTTTCCTATGTGACTGGCTGAATGCGCGCGCAGCTCTTGCCGGCCATGCGCATTCAGCCGACGGGGAGGAGAAGAGGAGGATCGGAGGAGGAGAGCTCCCCGCCCAGCCCTGGAAAAAGGTAAGTTTTTCCCCCTTTCCCCCTTCCAGAGCCGGGAGGGGGACCCTGAGGGTGGGGACACACTCAGGGCACTATAGTGCCAGGAAAACGAGTATGTTTTCCTGGCACTATAGTGGTCCTTTAATAAATCCTGACAGTCCTTACTAAATATTGTCTTTATAATGTGGGGGTCATTCTCTAACTATGTCACATAGACAACCGAAGAGCAAAATGTCAAATTAAAAACTGTCAGAATTGGAGAATTCTTCATATTCTGCTAATTTGACCTAAAATGGCAATTTTATTTCAGTGACCCCCATAATTTACTGTGACCCCCCCAAACTGAATCTGACAAAACTCCAAAGCTGATATCTAGATGTGGACTATACGCTCTGCGTCTAACGAGTTAAAGATTATTGCTGTTTAATTAAAACTGGTTTCCTTCAGTGAAGCTGAATTGATGCCAGTCTCTGCAAAAAGGTGGATTCAAAAAATATTCAGCTGAATCTACGCATTTCCATCGAGCAGTGATGGCTGATTTGGCACCTGGAATAATTCTGAACTACTTATCAATCTGTGCTCAGCCAGCCTTAAGCACAAATTCCTAACCCTCTACTGTCCCTCGTTAGACAGGACCTGTAAAAGATTTTTACTTACCTCTCCTCCTCCTGCGACGTCACAGATGAGGCATTGCCTCATAGAGCATTGGGGACCTGATGTGCATAGCAGTGGTTATGGTGTCTCCCTGAGTAAGTAGGGAAAGGGAAATACAGATTGAGTTATACACTATGGAGAGAGATCTTTAGATTGTGCGCTTCTGTGGGCAGGGCCGTCTCCATCTACTGCTCCTGTATGCACATCATGTTCTGAATTAAACGTTTGCCTTATTAACCTATTGTACAGCGCTGCAGAATATGTTACCGCTATATAAATAATTGTAATAAGAAAACATTTAAATCCAATACTCGCTAACCGCATCTGGTGTGAAACTCAGAGACGGCCAATGGGAAGCCGTGTTATAGAGGGTATGTTTATGACCAATGAAGTGTGTGACTGCCTTTCCCATGATGCTTAGCCAGCCATTATTGCTAGACAATACTTCGTCCAGTGTATATAACTACCAGAGGGTTAAATCACACCTCGCAGGTGACGCAGGATCCTCGCCATTCCTGTCCGAGCTGCCGGGAGGGAAAGCCGCTCACGGTCACTCTCATCCCCTCCCTGGCTGAAGTGAGGAAAAATGAATTCATAAATCATGATGTTCATTGCGTGGAAATGCCAACCGAACAACGGGGTAAAATCCCTGAGCTGGTTTAATTATATAATTTATACCCCGGCTGTGAAGTAGACGTATTATATACAGACAGTTTACAGATTGCTTAATAATATTTATTAACCTCGACCCACCCATCTGTAACACGCGTTAGAAAGACTTAAAATGATTGTAAATCAGGCAGTCAGGGAGAGGCAGGTAGGTGCCTGCAGGTAAGTGTTCGATATCCCCATTTGGGGGTTAGGCAGGTTCCCCTGAATGAAAGACTTACCCCATCAACGCTTTTCAGTGCAAAGTGAGAATTATCGGAAATTTCACATTTAAGGCCAAAGTAGCAGAAATAGTTGGCAACTTCAACTATTTTGGCCTGAAATGTAAAATTCACCTTAAAATCCCATCAATTATCACTTTAGTTAATAACCCTGTGTGTATTTTTTGTTTTGTTTCTAATTTTGCTTTTTTACATGAGGTAGATGGGCGGGGCTAATTCTCAGTGTGAATGTGCAGATTCTCCATAAATACACAGATTCTCAGGGTACCAGTGTGAATGGGCAGATTCTCCATAAATACACAGATTCTCAGGGTACCAGTGTGAATGGGCAGATTCTCCATAAATACACAGATTCTCAGGGTACCAGTGTGAATGGGTAGATTCTCCATAAATACACAGATTCTCAGGGTACCAGTGTGAATGGGTAGATTCTCAGTAAATACACAGATTCTTGGGGTACCAGTGTGAATGAGCAGATTCTCCATAAATACACAGATTTTCGGGGTACCTGTATGAGTGTGCAGATTCTCCGTAAATACACAGATTCTCAGGGTACCAGTGTGAATGCGTAGATTCTCAGTAAATACACAGATTCTCAGGGTACCAGTGTGAATGGGTAGATTCTCAGTAAATACACAGATTCTCAGGGTACCAGTGGGAATGGGTAGATTCTCAGTAAATACACAGATTCTCAGGGTACCAGTGTGAATGGGTAGATTCTCAGTAAATACACAGATTCTTGGGGTACCAGTGTGAATGAGCAGATTCTCCATAAATACACATTCTCAGGGTACCAGTGTGAATGGGCAGATTCTCAGTAAATACACAGATTCTCAGGGTACCAGTGTGAATGGGCAGATTCTCAGTAAATACACAGATTCTAATGGTACCAGTGTGAATGGGTAGATTCTCAGTAAATACACAGATTCTCCATAAATACACAGATTTTCGGGGTACCTATATGAGTGTGCAGATTCTCCATAAATACAGATTCTCAGGGTACCAGTGTGAATGGGCAGATTCTCAGTAAATACACAGATTCTCAGGGTACCAGTGTGAATGGACACATTCTCAGTAAATACACAGATTCTAATGGTACCAGTGCGAATGGGTAGATTCTCAGTAATTACACAGATTCTGAGGGTACCAGTGTGAATGGAAAGATTCTCAGTAAATACACAGATTGTCAGGGTTCCAGTGTGAATGGGTAGATTCTCAGTAAATACACAGATTCTCAGGGTTCCAGTGTGAATGGGTAGATTCTCCATAAATACACAGATTCTCAGGGTACCAGTGTGAATGGGTAGATTCTCAGTAAATACACAGATTCTCAGGGTACCAGTGGAAATGGGTAGTTTACCAGTAAATACACAGATTCTCAGGGTACCAGTGGGAATGGGTAGATTCTCAGTAAATACACAGATTCTCAGGGTACCAGTGGGAATGGGTAGATTCTCAGTAAATACACAGATTCTCAGGGTACCAGTGGGAATGGGTAGATTCTCAGTAAATACACAGATTCTCAGGGTACCAGTGTGAATGAGCAGATTTTCCATAAATACACAGATTCTCAGGGTACCAGTGGGAATGGGTAGATTCTCAGTAAATACACAGATTTTCGGGGTACCTGTATGAGTGTGCAGATTCTCCGTAAATACACAGATTCTCAGGGTACCAGTGTGAATGCGTAGATTCTCAGTAAATACACAGATTCTCAGGGTACCAGTGTGAATGGGTAGATTCTCAGTAAATACACAGATTCTCCATAAATACACAGATTTTCGGGGTACCTATATGAGTGTGCAGATTCTCCATAAATACACATTCTCAGGGTACCAGTTTGAATGGGCAGATTCTCAGTAAATACACAGATTCTCAGGGTACCAGTGTGAATGGACACATTCTCAGTAAATACACAGATTCTAATGGTACCAGTGTGAATGGGTAGATTCTCAGTAATTACACAGATTTTCAGTAAATACACAGATTCTCAGGGTACCAGTGTGAATGGGTAGATTCTCAGTAAATACACAGATTCTCAGGGTACCAGTGTGAATGAGCAGATTTTCCATAAATACACAGATTCTCAGGGTACCAGTGGGAATGGGTAGATTCTCCGTAAATACACAGATTTTCGGGGTACCTATATGAGTGTGCAGATTCTCAGTAAATACACAGATTCTCAGGGTACCAGTGTGAATGGGTAGATTCTCCATAAATACACAGATTTTCGGGGTACCTATATGAGTGTGCAGATTCTCCATAAATACACATTCTCAGGGTACCAGTTTGAATGGGCAGATTCTCAGTAAATACACAGATTCTCAGGGTACCAGTGTGAATGGACACATTCTCAGTAAATACACAGATTCTAATGGTACCAGTGTGAATGGGTAGATTCTCAGTAATTACACAGATTTTCAGTAAATACACAGATTCTCAGTGTACCAGTGTGAATGGGTAGATTCTCAGTAAATACACAGATTCTCCATAACTACACAGATTTTCTGGGTTCCTATATGAGTGTGCAGATTCTCCATAAATACAGATTCTCAGGGTACCAGTGTGAATGGGCAGATTCTCAGTAAATACACAGATTCTCAGGGTACCAGTGTGAATGGACACATTCTCAGTAAATACACAGATTCTAATGGTACCAGTGCGAATGGGTAGATTCTCAGTAATTACACAGATTCTCAGTAAATACACAGATTCTCAGGGTACCAGTGTGAATGGGCAGATTCTCAGTAAATACACAGATTCTAATGGTACCAGTGTGAATGGGTAGATTCTCAGTAATTACACAGATTTTCAGTAAATACACAGATTCTCAGGGTACCAGTGGGAATTCTCAGTAAATACACAGATTCTCCATAAATACACAGATTTTCGGGGTACCTGTATGAGTGTGCAGATTCTCCGTAAATACACAGATTCTCAGGATACCAGTGTGAATGGGTAGATTCTCAGTAAATACACAGATTCTCAGGGTACCAGTGTGAATGGGTAGATTCTCAGCAAATACACAGATTCTCCATAAATACACAGATTTTCGGGGTACTTATATGAGTGTGCAGATTCTCCATAAATACACAGATTCTCAGGGTACCAGTGTGAATGGACACATTCTCAGTAAATACACAGATTCTAATGGTACCAGTGCGAATGGGTAGATTCTCAGTAATTATACAGATTCTTAGTAAATACACAGATTCTCAGGGTACCAGTGTGAATGGGTAGATTCTCAGTAAATACACAGATTCTCAGGGTACCAGTGTGAATGGGTAGATTCTCAATAAATACACAGATTCTCAGGGTTCCAGTGTGAATGGGTAGATTCTCAGTAAATACACAGATTCTCAGGGTTCCAGTGTGAATGGGTAGATTCTCCATAAATACACAGATTCTCAGGGTACCAGTGTGAATGGGTAGATTCTCAGTAAATACACAGATTCTCAGGGTACCAGTGTGAATGGGTAGATTCTCAGTAAATACACAGATTCTCAGGGTACCAGTGTGAATGGGCACATTATTGGAGTCTCAACGTGAATGAGCAAAGTCTCAGATTGGCCAGATTCTTGATGCATGCGCAGATTCTCAGGGTGAATGGGCAGATTCTCACAACTTTACAGTCTGGAAATAATTCTGTTACAGTTTCCACTGACCGTAAAGGAGTTTCCATAAAGGATATCATTAATAAACTAGGACTGGTACTAAAATCACATTGTTATTACAATGTAATTTCAGTGCTGGGCTATTGAAGAGTTAATTAAATTCCATAAAGAATTTGAGGCTCATTTTAAAAGCTCCTAGCCAGTAATTTGTCCCAATTTCTTGAGGTCATTTCGGACGAGTCTAAGGCCAGAGCTGACCTCCTCGTAGGATGAAAGGCTCATGAATCAGGCATTTTATAAGCGTTTTATTTTATAAGCATTTCTCTGTTTTTCTTCTACACTCAAATCCCCTGAGGAGGGACGGAGGATTAGATTTAAAAAGTCTGGATGGAGAGAGGCCTGTTTTCACATGAGAGAGTATTTTTTGATTTGTCCCGCGATTCCCATTTGTCTGTCAGCTTAGCAAATATTTATAACATCCCCGGGTGTCTGCGTCAGCTCAGAGCTTCACAGATATTCCAAATAGGGCCTGCTTTCTGACCGAGACTCTCTGACAATCCTCACGTCACTGGGAGCACAGGCCGGCTCTCGTTCTGAGAATTAGCACGAGCCTCTGACTCACATGGCCCAATGGAGCGTTCGTCTGGGCTTCGTGAGAGCATCAAACACAAGCTGCTGCTTAGAATCGCGCCGTTGCAAAGGCGTTAATTTATCTTGAGGTTCGCGCAGGAGATGGTGAAAATCTCAGTTTTAAGTAGCGACTTTTATTGCATCAATTTTCACAGAAAGAGCCCACAGACAGACACCCTTCTAAAACCTTTTCACACTTTGGATTTTTATAGCCTGCGCAAATTGATGTATTTATTGGGCTTCCGGCAATCCAGCCTGGGGGTTATTCACTGAGCTGAGTATTGGGCAGAATTAACCAGAGACGTGCCAGTTTGTCTGTGGATTCTGCTCCTGCAGTATTATCTGTGGGAGTCTTGTATAAAAAGAATATGATGATGTGCCACATTCTTATTTACAAATCTCATACCCTAACCTTTATACATGATGCCTTAATTTAGGGAACTGAAGATTTCCTGCTACTCAACCGCGCAGGGAATAGCGGAGAAAATCTGACGGAAACACAGGAGCAGTGACTTATTTAATTGCGTGGTTTATTTTTATTTTTTTAACATAGCGAACGTCATACTTGCGATGTGAAAAATAATTGAGGAAAGGTGTGGGAAGAAGAGCCAAGTGGAGAATTCTGATGCAGACGGGAACACGGCTAGAAACCGCCTTGGCACGTTTTATTAAAACTGTCAGGACAAGCTCTGCATATTGTCTGCACATGGTTAATAAAATGGGTTCCATTAAAGGGACACGAAACTCCTAAATACTAAAAAGAAATAACTATTTAGGAGATGTACCCCAATGAAAACATGCGTGCATTTAATTATGCATTTTCTTACCCAATGAGGGTATAAAAACAGCTTGCAGACGCTGCAGAACTCTTGTCTGCTTCCTTTGCAAGCCCTCCCCTTCTAACCCCGCCCAGACTTTCTGTGGCTGTCCAATCAAAGGCTTCCCAATGAAACTCAATGAGAAGTCTTTGCAAGGCAGGTGCTCTGGGCAATTGTTGCCTCTTGAGTTTATCTCCACTGAGCTAACCAAACCAGGAAGTAATAGGACCAGCTGTCTGATTGACAGCCAGGGGGTGTAACAAGGTTCATTTATAAAACTGCTGATTTCTAATGATGCACTTTTTCAAAAATGAAAAAAGAGACACACTCTACACATATAAAGCCCTCCAGCAAGCTAAAAGGGTCCATTTCATCTTGTTAATGATATCTAGAATAATCCAGGATGGTGACAAGTGAAATGTGCCTTCCTTTCCTGGTTAAATCCTTTCATTTTACTAGTTGGCTTTGCGAATGTTTGTTTTACTTGTCAGGTTCAGTAAATGTTCCCCGACGCTTGTGCAGTTTCCAGAGAAAAAGATTATTATTAAACAATGTGACGAAACCGCACGTTATTAAACACCGAATTACGAATTGTCATAATCTGATAAATACTAATTAATCTGGTACCGGATTATAACCTGCCTTCCCTGTTATAAAGTATATCAAGTACTGTTCCACCGGAATGGATGGAAAGTTATCCGGAAATTGGGTTTGAATAGTATTTGGGGCATAAGTCGTTATTTGTGAAACTGGAATATTTTAAATGTAAAATTTTCTTCATTAAATCCACCTTTTCCTTTGTGTCTGGTGTAATGACGGCAAATGATCAGAAAATATTAATAAACTATTTGGGGGGGTTTGTTGTCTGTCTATGTCCTCCCCCCTCCCCCCCCGTTCCTAGTCACCCCAATGTCTGACCCCACTGTGCCCTTGGAATTTAATTGATATCATGTTTTTATAAATCGTTCATTATCGAGGATTCCCAGCAGAGTTTGATATATAATTTATTAATGTTTTATTAATTTTAGCCGTCATATAGCGCATTCTCTGTGACATTGTAGTTGTATTATATATGTGTTAGAAGGGTTTATATCTGTTTTCTGGTCCCAGATTTCGGTAGATGTACTGTCTGCGTGTCGAGGGATCTGGTTACCATCAAGCTAAAATACTGGAAAATTAAAATGGTTATATATATATATAGTGTTAGTGTGATGCAAGAAGTCATCGGAAAACACCCCCAGACCTTGTAAACCCACCACAAAGATTATCATTACTGGAATCTCTGGTTATTGCCCCTCGCTGTAATACCCTGCTCTGGTTATTGCCCTTCGCCGTGATACCCCGCTCTGGTTATTGCCCCTCGCTGTAATACCCTGATCTGGCTATTGCCACTCGCTGTGATACCCCGCTCTGGTTATTGCCCCTCGCTGTAATACCCTGCTCTGGCTATTGCCACTCGCTGTGATACCCCGCTCTGGTTATTGCCCCTCGCTGTGATACCCCGCTCTGGTTATTGCCCCTCGCTGTGATACCCCGCTCTGGTTATTGCCCTCGCTGTAATACCCTGCTCTGGATATTGCCCCTCACTGTAATACCCGCTCTGGTTATTGCCCCTCGCCGTGATACCCCGCTCTGGTTATTGCCCCTCGCCGTGATACCCCGCTCTGGTTATTGCCCCTCGCTGTAATACCCTGCTCTGGTTATTGCCCCTCGCTGTGATACGATGCCTGTAATACCCCGCTCTGGTTATTGCCCCTTGCCGTGATACCCCGCTCTGGTTATTGCCCCTCGCTGTAATACAATGCCTGTAATACCCCGCTCTGGTTATTGCCACTCGCTGTGATACCCCGCTCTGGTTATTGCCCCTCGCTGCAATACCCCGCTCTGACTATTGCCCCTCACTGTGATACCCCGCTCATGTTTTTGCCCCTTGCTGTAATACCCCGTTCTGGTTATTACCCCTCGCTGTAATATCGTGTCTGTAATACCCCGCTCTGGTTTTTGCCCCTCGCTGTAATACCCCGCTCTGGTTATTGCCCCTCGCTGTAATACCACGCTCTGGTTATTGCCCCTCACTGTGATACCCTGCTCTGGCTATTGCCCCTTACTGTAATACCACGCTCTGGTTATTGCCCCTCACTGTGATACCCTGCTCTGGCTATTGCCCCTTACTGTAATACCCGCTCTGGTTATTGCCCCTCGCCGTGATACCCCGCTCTGGTTATTGCCCCTTGCTGTAATATGATGGCTGTAATACCCCGCTCTGGATATTGCCCCTTCGCTGTGATACCCCATCTGTAATAACCCGCTCTGGTTATTGCCCCTCGCTGTGATACGATGCCTGTAATACCCTGCTCTGGTTATTGCCCCTTACTGTAATACCCCACTCTGGTTATTGCCCCTTGCTGTAATACCGTGTCTGTAATACTCCGCTCTGGTTATTGCCCCTCGCTGTAATATCGTGTCTGTAATACCCCGCTCTGGTTATTGCCCCTCGCTGTAATATCGTGTCTGTAATACCCCGCTCTGGTTATTGCCCCTCGCTGTAATATCGTGTCTGTAATACCCTGCTCTGGTTATTGCCCCTCGCTGTAATATCGTGTCTGTAATACCCCGCTCTGGTTATTGCCCCTCGCTGTAATATCGTGTCTGTAATACCCCGCTCTGGGTATTGCCCCTCGCTGTAATATTGAAGTTTGAAAGCGTTGCAGTGTGTTTGCGGTGATGGGGCCGGGACCTGAATTCCTGTTTACTCTGCAGTTTAGTTATGAATGAGGCTTTGAGAGACTGTGTGCTTATTATTAACCATTTATCTACCAGGGACCGGCAGGGCTGTGCTTATTATTAACCATTTATCTACCAGGGACCGTCAGGGCTGTGCTTATTATTAACCATTTATCTACCAGGGACCGTCAGGGCTGTGCTTATTATTAACCATTTATCTACCAGGGACCGGCAGGGCTGTGCTTATTATTAACCATTTATCTACCAGGGACCGTCAGGGCTGTGCTTATTATTAACCATTTATCTACCAGGGACCAGTAGGGCTGTGCTTATTATTAACCATTTATCTACCAGGGACCGTCAGGGCTGTGCTTATTATTAACCATTTATCTACCAGGGACCGTCAGGGCTGTGCTTATTACTAACCATTTATCTACCAGGGACCGACAGGGCTGTGCTTATTATTAACCATTTATCTACCAGGGACCGTCAGGGCTGTGCTTATTATTAACCATTTATCTACCAGGGACCGTCAAGGCTGTGCTTATTATTAACCATTTATCTACCAGGGGACCGTCAGGGCTGTGCTTATTATTAACCATTTATCTACAGGGACCGACAGGCTGTGCTTATTATTAACCATTTATCTACCAGGGACCGTCAGGGCTGTGCTTATTATTAACCATTTATCTACCAGGGACCGGCAGGGCTGTGCTTATTATTAACCATTTATCTACCAGGGACCGCAGGGCTGTGCTTATTATTAACCATTTATCTACCAGGGACCCAGGGCTGTGCTTATTATTAACCATTTATCTACCAGGGACCGCAGGGCTGTGCTTATTATTAACCATTTATCTACCAGGGACCGTCAGGGCTGTGCTTATTATTAACCATTTATCTACCAGGGACCGTCAAGGCTGTGCTTATTATTAACCATTTATCTACCAGGGACCGTCAGGGCTGTGCTTATTATTAACCATTTATCTACCAGGGACCGTCAGGGCTGTGCTTATTATTAACCATTTATCTACCAGGGACCGGAAGGGCTGTGCTTATTATTAACCATTTATCTACCAGGGACCGTCAGGGCTGTGCTTATTATTAACCATTTATCTACCAGGGACCGGCAGGGCTGTGCTTATTATTAACCATTTATCTACCAGGGACCGGCAGGGCTGTGCTTATTATTAACCATTTATCTACCAGGGACCGGCAGGGCTGTGCTTATTATTAACCATTTATCTACCAGGGACCGGCAAGGCTGTGCTTATTATTAACCATTTATCTACCAGGGACCGGCAAGGCTGTGCTTATTATTAACCATTTATCTACCAGGGACCGTCAGGGCTGTGCTTATTATTAACCATTTATCTACCAGGGACCAGTAGGGCTGTGCTTATTATTTACCATTTATCTACCAGGGACCAGTAGGGCTGTGCTTATTATTTACCATTTATCTACCAGGGACCGTCAGGGCTGTACTTATTATTAACCATTTATCTACCAGGGACCGGCAGGGCTGTGCTTATTATTAACCCTTTATCTACCGGGCACCGGCAGGGCTCTCAGCTTATTATTAACTGTTTACCTACCAGGGACCCACAGGATGTTTGATCCGTAAAGAGAATTACTCATAGAAATGCTTTGCATTCACTGTTTGAACCGCAGCCCATTTTGCAGAGTGTGAGACACCGTGTGAATGTTTAAAGCCTTTTCTTTATTGTGTATTTCTGTTTATTTACAGTAGTCAATGGGCAGCTCTCCAGCTGTTGCAGAACTGTATTTCCCATGATGCTTTGCTATCCTGTACACAATTCAAAGTAAATTTAAAATTTAAAGGAACACTATCATTTATATTCCTAACACTAAAGTGCTCCTCCTCCTCTCACCCCCGTTAATTAACCCTTTCTCTCACTCACCTTATCCCAGTTCGGTGCTGGCTCCGTCTCAGCTTCCTCCAACGCCAGCCTAGAGGGGGATCCTGATGCGGACATTAGGCCCTTCCCATAGGAAAGCATTAAATCAATGCTTTCCTATGGGGGATATTGAGGACGCTGGACACCCTCATGCACAACGTTAGGACGTCTACCATCGTTTCCCATAGTTAAACTACGTGAAACAGCAGGAAGCGCTTCTAGTGGCTGTCTGGTAGTTTCTCTAAAACTGCTGTGATTTACATTGCAGTATTACAGGAACAGAGACATGCTCCCAGACCAGAACAATGAGATGAAGTGGTCTTGGTGCCTACACTGTCCCTTTAAGGCCAAAATGGCCGAACAGAAAGCCTAGCTGACTTAGAGAATTTACCAGTTTGGCTAATTTAACCGTCATTTGAAATTCTTGTTGAATTCTCATTTTAATGAAAAACTGTGTAAGACTCCAAGAAGTTGCCCTCTCACCATGAGAATCTTCTCATTGACACAGAGACCCCAGGAAATTGTTAGTAATCCTCAGATACAATGACTCACCTTTTATGCTCCCAATGTTGCAGACGACATATCCTTCATAGCTCTGCTAGCAAGTTAATATTAATCACCACACATGATCTAAGTACCTGCCTTCTACAATACCCACCTCCCCCCAGTATCAATGTGTTAATGGCTCTGTTATGTTTTGTACAGCGCCACGTAACATGTTGGTGCTATGGAAATACAAATGGAAATAATAAAGACCATATACAATGCAATTTTATTAAGCGCCATCTAGTGTCCGATTACCATATTGTAACCCACAATGAAATTCCTTAGCATTACGAGAATGGAGCACCCACATTCTCACAGGTTCAGAAACTGGACAGATTATCATATATTCATCAAAATCCGAAAACTATCAGAAGTCTACCGTCAACCAAATGGGCAAAATGTAGACTCTACTCTAATCATTGATGTCTGGAACGTTACCCTGTAATATAAAATATTGTGTTTCTGTATTAGGAGTACCTCTGGAATCTCTGAGCACCCCAATCCCGGAGCTGCTTACTGAGAACCCCCTGGTTACTGGTGTTACGGACCTCTCTGCACAAAGAGTAAAGGCAGAGGTGGAGAACTGGGCCTGGAATTCCAGCCAACCAGAACGCACGAATGCCAGTCCAGTACTGTCTGTTAATGAAAGTGAAGGAGTAACAGAACAGACCATATCGATAGCCGATACATTGACAACAGGCAATATGGCAACGGAACCCGACAACGCTGCAGTGAGTACTGGAGCTCCTGAGGAGGTTATCACCGGGCTTGTGAAGACCACATCCAATCCCACTCAGACATTCCCCGATCAAAACAACATGGAAAGGGAGGTAACCAGTTCTTTCAACTCCCAGCCCACATCCACAGCAACACCAACCACCACTCCAACAGCCACCAACAGAGCCGAGGAGACCGCAGGTACGGAGCTTTATCTTCTCATCATTTCTCGAGTGAGGCGGCCTGTGCCTTTAACCAAAAGGACTCAATGTACTGCATGTATGATTGGGACGAGGTCTTCCGTGAGTTAGTGTAAAGAAATGCACTATTTTATTTTTTTCTGTGGTTCCATGGAATTATAAAAGATACAGAATTACGAATTTAACATTTATTTGTTATTGTTTTGATATATATCGCAGGTCTAAGGGGCATCTAGGAGAATTTTATCCCCACATTATTTTATTGCAATCTACAGCCTGGAGTGTCCCTTTAATATTATAAACCCACCCAGTATAACTAACTGTAACCTAACCTATACAGTGCACCTAACGTGTGTGGGAGCCTGGCGTGTCCCTTTAATAATATAAACCCACCCAGTATAACTGTAACCTAACCTACACAGTGCATCTAACGTGTGTGGGAGCCCGGAGTGTCCTTTTAATAATATAAACTCACCCAGTATAACTAACTGTAACCTAACCTACACAGTGCATCTAATGTGTGTGGGAGCCTGGAGTGTCCCTTTAATAATATAAACCCACCCAGTATAACTAACTGTAACCTAACCTACACAGTGCATCTAACGTGTGTGGGAGCCTGGAGTGTCCTTTAATAATATAAACCCACCCAGTATAACTAACTGTAACCTAACCTACACAGTGCATCTAATGTGTGTGGGAGCCTGGAATGTCCCTTTAATAATATAAACCCACCCAGTATAACTAACTGTAACCTAACCTACACAGTGCATCTAACGTGTGTGGGAGCCCGGAGTGTCCTTTTAATAATATAAACTCACCCAGTATAACTAACTGTAACCTAACCTACACAGTGCATCTAATGTGTGTGGGAGCCTGGAATGTCCCTTTAATAATATAAACCCACCCAGTATAACTAACTGTAACCTAACCTACACAGTGCACCTAACGTGTGTGGGAGCCTGGAGTGTCCCTTTAATAATATAAACCCACCCAGTATAACTAACTGTAACCTAACCTACACAGTGCATCTAACGTGTGTGGGAGCCTGGAGTGTCCCTTTAATAATATAAACCCACCCAGTATAACTAACTGTAACCTAACCTACACAGTGCACCTAACGTGTGTGGGAGCCTGGAGTGTCCTTTAATAATATAAACCCACCCAGTATAACTAACTGTAACCTAAACTACACAGTGCATCTAATGTGTGTGGGAGCCTGGAGTGTCCCTTTAATAATATAAACCCACCCAGTATAACTAACTGTAACCTAACCTACACAGTGCACCTAACGTGTGTGGGAGCCTGGGGTGTCCCTTTAATAATATAAACCCACCCAGTGTAACTAACTGTAACCTAACCTACACAGTGCATCTAACGTGTGTGGGAGCCTGGAGTGTCCCTTTAATAATATAAACCCACCCAGTATAACTAACTGTAACCTAACCTACACAGTGCATCTAACGTGTGAGGGAGCCTGGAGTGTCCCTTTAATAAAATAAACCCACCCAGTACAACTAACTGTAACCTAACCTACACAGTGCATTTAACGTGTGTGGGAGCCTGGAGTGTCCCTTTAATAATATAAACCCACCCGGTATAACTAACTGTAACCTAACCTACACAGTGCACCTAACATGTGTGGGAGCCTGGAGTGTCCCTTTAATAATATAAACCCACCCAGAATAACTGTAACCTAACCTACACGGTGCATCTAACGTGTGAGGGAGCCTGGAGTGTCCCTTTAATAATATATACCCAGCCAGTATAACTAACTGTAACCTAACCTACACAGTGCACCTAACGTGTGTGGGAGCCTGGAGTGTCCCTTTAATAATATAAACCCACCCAGTATAACTAACTGTAAGCTAACCTACACAGTGCATCTAACGTGTGTGGGAGCCTGGAGTGTCCCTTTAATAATATAAACCCACCCAGTATAACTAACTGTAACCACAGTGCATCTAACGTGTGGGAGCCTGGAGTGTCCCTTTAATAATATAAACCCACCCAGTATAACTAACTGTAACCTAACCTACACAGTGCACCTAACGTGTGTGGGAGTATGGAGTGTCCCTTTAATAATATAAACCCACCCGGTATAACTAGATGCACTGTGTAGGTTATATTACAGTTAACGTGTGGGAGTCTGGAGAGGCAAGTTTCCTCTCATAATGGCAATTCAGATATATCAGACCATTTCTAGAAATGATGTGACTTTGCTCGGTGTCTTAAATCAGAGACCACGACTCTGTCTGTTATTTTCCAAACTGAGTTGATATTTTGTGTACCAGTTCTTGTATATATTGGCCTCATGGTCGGCAGCAAACCATCTGATATTGTTGACATTCCCCTCATTATTTCACCCATCAGAGACCGTGAAAAGCCACACTGAGATGCCTCTCACCACTCCCGAGCCACCAACAGAACAATCCGAGTCTAACAGTGACACATTCACAGTTATCACGCAGGGTACAGTGACGACAGCCACACCAATGGCCGCCATCACCACAAACGTGTTCATAGCCTCCAGGGCAACCACAGCAAGTCCCACCAGTCCTGCCACCCAGGGCACCAGGGCTGCCCACACAACACGATCAGAGGTTGAGGAGCATCCGTCTGTACTGAATGTGGGAGATGATGATAGAGGTGAGTGTCATGTCTAGAGTAATCGTAATACATGTTATTTAAACTTTTTATTGAGAAAAGATTCCCAGCTAAGTCCAGTATGATGTTGTTATTCATTAAACGCACAGCTCAGGGCATTCACACATATTAGCGATCCCCTGCAATATCTAATGAGCTTCTCATCATAATTTTCCTGTTTTTATTCTGTCTTGCGGTGTTTGGACTTGTGTACGGGCTCTAACTAAATACCGAAGTAGGAAATGGCCACTGGTGTCTATTTTAGACCCAACAGATGTGTAGTCATACTGCATTGTAGAGGAAGTATATTGGTTATTTACCCAAGTCTTAATTGTCAGAAATTCAAATTTGAGGCTAACAATAATGGAACTGAAGTCTTCACTAATGAGGAGAATTCATCCATTTTAAGTAGTGTGTCCTAACGTTTGAGGTTTACTTTGAATTCCCAGCAATTCATACTTTAGTAAATATCCCACCCCCGAATGTTATCTCACCACTGCTTCACTAGATTGGAGACTGTCAGAATTAGAAATATTAGGTGAGTTGGCTAATATTTCCAGTTCCTCGCTTATTTAATAATCTTGACAGAAAATAGACAGATTTGTAAATTTTAAGCAAAATAGATTTATATTTAGTCATAATTTGTAACAATGTTATTACCTTTTGTATTTTGACCAAACATTTAGTGATTAAAAAACAAATGTTTGTATTAATATCTGTTTTTGGGAGATGGCACTGTCATTGGCACCTAATTCCGCATTGCTGAACCGCGCTCTAGAACACAGCTGATTGTAATGTCCTATCCTTTCCCAGATCTGCCAGGTTTCTACTCCAAAAGTAATTCCAATCCACTCTTTGTGATGATTGTGTCTGTATTTACCATAATGGTCGTCATGGTTGTTGTCATTGTGGGGTTTCACCGTTACCGGCGGAGGAACAGCCGAACCGAATTTAGACGACTGCAAGATCTCCCGATGGTGAGTGATCCCCAACATGCATTGTGTGTGAGAAACCGTAAGGTCACATTATGGAAGGTGTCCAAAATGAACTCCTAAGGACACTCTGCATCACATCATGGACAAGGCTAGGCAGAAGTGTTGCACAGTGCCCCCTAGGAGTTGTTGGATTTCAAATTCTATAATTCTCTGCAACCCAGCTATGAGTTAAGATTCCAGCAATAGCTAGTGTGAGAGTTTAACTCCCCCTGCAATACAGTACTCCTGGAATAACAACTGTGCAGTAGACATTTACTAAATATATGCTAGTGATCGACCAATTATCGGCCAATATTTGGTATTTTTGGCAATATTGGTATCGGCCTATAGAGATACCGATATTGCCGATAATACATACCAGGACCGCTGGGCCCATGACAAGCCTGGGGGGCCTGCAGCAAGCTCTTACCTTCCCAGCAGCTCCCCTGTCTAAATCTCTCGAGTCCTGCGGCCGTCAGAGCGTTGCCACGGGTTACCATGGCAACACAGCGCGCTGGGCGCAAGTGTTAGACAGGTGAGCTGAAGGGAGCTGCTGGGAAGGTAAGTAAGAGCTTGCTGCGGGCCCCCAGTGCACAGTCCATGCCATATCCCCTTCCTTGGCCAAGTAAGAAGCAAGGAATGGGGACAAAAAAAAAATATTTAAAATAAAAATGCCCCCCTTTTACACACATTACATACCTACACAAACACACACACTGTATTATATAAACACACACACTGCATTCATTATATACACACGCACTACACAAACACACTGCATTCACTACACAAAAACACTGCATTCACTTTACACGCACTACACAAACACACTGCATTCACAACACACACTACACAAACACACTGCATTCACTACACACACTGTATTATATAAACACACAACAAACACACTGCATTCATTATATATACACACTGCGCACACACTGCATTCACTTTACGCGCACTACACAAACACACACTCTGTATTCATTATATACAAACACGCACTGCATTCACTAATCAAATACTCTCACTGCATCCACTACACACACACATATTTTTGAAAACATAAAATTCGGACTGGCATGTATATTTTTGTGCATTTACCGTAATAAAAAAAAATAATAAACACATTCAGTTTACAGTAGATTTGTGTAGAAAGTTTTTTTTTTTTTGGTAAATGTACAGAATATCGGTATCGGCTCTAAAAAATCAATATCAGTCCACCCCTAATATATGCTGTTCGATTTGACCTAAAGGGGCTCTAATACGTAAAATTAGATGGTCCCACAGTAATCTGCAACTAAATTTATTCTATACTTTAGGTAAAGTGAACAGGTTTCATATGTACAGACTATCGGATGCTGGTAGCAAAAAATGTGCCACTAGGTCTAGGAAGTCAGTTGGTTTACCCAGCATCCTCTCTGGTCGTCACAAAATGGTCTGTGCGATGGGTTAGTGTTTTCTTGACATAGTCCCTTTAAGATCAGGCTATCGCGGAGGATTCCAAGTGCAGCAGCCTGTACCTTTAATGACGCTACCTTGACATACATACCCCTCTCATCTCAGTAGCCATTTGAGTCCAAGGCTATATTATATTAAACGATATTAAAGGGTTTATCTGAGTCACAATTCATTATTGTGTCCTTGTATCAAATACAGTATGAATGTGAATTTCTTATTGTGCAGGTAATATGTCACAAACGTTCTTTAAAATAGACACTGATTCTTTCTACACAGTCCCTATTGTTCCTAACCTCCGTTGTCGCTCTCTGTTTGCAGGATGATATGATGGAGGATACACCGCTGTCTCTGTACAGTTACTAAGACGGAGGTTGGAAGGGAGCAGGGAGCGTTATTTTGCACAAGACTAAAAAAAGTTACAAACTAAAAATATAAAACCCCATATATTGTGCCCCCAGAGACAACCTGCGTGAAGAGAGGTTTTTCGGATGCTCCTCTCTCCCCGCCCTTGTCCCCACTGTGCCTTCAGTCTCTGCAGTTTGGACTCAGTCCTCGTAGGTGCCTTGCGAGAGGTTTCCTTGAAACTAATTCTGCTGACACGACTGACGCAATTACAATCCATGGTGGGCCGTGAAAGTACGACACCAGGCCCCCTAATACATAAAAGGTTTAGTAAGATCCACTTAGCAACAGTGCCCCCTACAGTAAATGTATGTTTCCCAAAAGCATTTTACCATTAACACTGTTGCTTTGAAGAGACACTGAAATCCAAAGTATCTGTGGGAGAAGAACACCACACATCTATCTGCAGGAAATGACAATTATTAAGAACTTTCAGGTATTTTTAAGCAAACAGTCATACCCAACAGCACTGACCAAGGGCATCTGCAAGGAATACAGAGATCACAGAAAATGAGCAAATATTGCAGGTTTATCTGAATAATCATCGCATTTTATCTGCTACTGCAATTATCCCAGAGAGTAAAACACAGCCTGGTCGAGGCCGAGCACCCAAGACACGAACACGGACATCTTTTCCCACTAATACTCCAATCATGTTTTGGACACAATGTATGTTTCGTTCACAGAGCAGTGACTTGTCCTTTAAGCCTATTTTACGTGCACAGAAAATACCTTAGGAAATGGTGCTGCTATTAACCCTTCCGCTTCTAAGTACAATAGTAATTTGTCAGTCCTTCAGCCAGGAAAGGGTTAATGGTAATGCACGGTGTTACTAGGTCTTAGTGATGTGAAGAGTGTGTTGTGTTAGGTTTATAATTGCTAGTCTATATAGTGCAGATCTTTAAGAGATGTTATTGGTTTTGGCCTACGAAAGGTAGGAGCCATTTTAGCCGTGGGCATGTCCCCAGTTACGTATCGTCCACTTTAACACACTAAGGTTTGTTGTAACACAGCACTGTCTAGGGATAACCTACCTCTGATACTGCAGCCTCTATGGACTAGAACCTCCCCGTAGGCCGGGTTAGGCTTGGCTGAGCGTTGTAATCCACAGCCCAGAATAGCCAATCCTTTGTGTATCCGATGCAATGTTCCCACACTCACGGTTACACTGGCTCCCATCACATGTGACACTATGTCGCTTTCTGTGCTTTGAGGTTACAGGAAACCTTTCATTATTCTCACCGCTGCTTCCAGGTATTTGTGAAAATTTGGAAACAAATACTTTACGTTCTAGTTTTCCTACTTCTTCAAATTAAAGTTTTATTTTCCCCAAATTGCTCTTTCATTTCCGGCAATAAGTTATTCACATAAAGGTGGATGTTATTATCTACAACGGAAGAGCCAACTATACAATATATCTTCTACAATAATGTCAGCATAGAGATGAAAACACTGGATCGTATGTTCACATCCACGGCAGACGCAAAGTTCAGGTAAATTCTGTTATCGATAAGGGTTTGATGAGCAATTAAAGGGTAAAGTTCTCAAAACTGAGAAATATAAATAAAACTGGATTGTTCCTGCTGATTTTTTATTAACTGAAAACATTTGTGACTTGGAGAGTTATTCCAACGTGCCGATATTGGCCTAAAATGTAATTGGCGCACAGTACCATAACCACTACAGCCCACTGTCTATCAGATACTCTAGAGCCAACTGTCGTGGTTAATGTCCTGTCACTTTCCCAGTATACGTTGTCAAACAGTTTAAGAACAGTTTGATAATGTACCTGGGTGCCGTCACTGCCTCCCCTGATGGGAGTAGCTCCTGTAAGTTGCACCGTAGTGGCCATGGTGCCAGGAGTGCTCTGGTGCACCCAGGGCCAGACTGGCCCACCGGGATACCGGGAAATTTCTGGCCCGTGGCCCACACGGCGCAATTACAGGGTGACCGGCAGGAGATATGCACTCCCCTCCTGCCGGTCACAGAATGTAGCGTGGCCGAGCAGGCAGACCGCGGAAGAGGAGCTTCTGTTCCCCTACCCGGTCTGACAGGAAGTGCTTACAGAGAGCACATAACTGCTTCCTGTCAGACCGGGTCGGGGAACAGAAACTCCTCCACCGCGGTCTGCCTGCTCGGCCACGCTACAGCAAGGTACAGAGAAGGGGGGAGGGGCTATAATTGGACACATGGGGGCTATAATGGGACACATGGAGGCTGGGAGGGGGCTATACTGGGACACATGGGGGGCTAAGAGGAAACACATTGGGGCTGGGGAGGTGGCTATAATGGGACATAAGGGGGCTGGGGAGAGGACTAATGGGACAAATGGGGGCTAGGGGGCTATAGGGACACATGGGTCTATAATGGGACATAGGGGGCTATAGGGACACACAAAGGGCTGGGCGGAATTATAGGGACACATGAATGGCTGGGAAAGGGGGCTAGTGGGACACATGGAGGGCTGGGAGAGAGGGCTAATAGGATACATGGAGAGCTGGGTGCTGATGGGACACGTGGGGATGCTGCTGAGACACATGAGTGCTAATAAAACATACAGGGCTGGCAGGGGGATAATGGGATGCATGGAGAGCTGGGAGGGGGTATAGGGACACTGGGAGGGAGGACTAATAGGACACATGGGGGGAGCTACTGAGACACATGGGAGAGCTAATGAGACACGTACAAGGCTGGGAGGGAGCTAATGGGACAAGTGTGGGGCTAATGAGAAGCATGGAGGAGCTGGGGGGCTAATAAGACATGGAGGGGCTGGGGGTAATGAGATACATGGAGGGGCAGGAGAGTAAAAATACAGTCTGTGGAGAAAAAAGACACGGGTCTGGGGAGAAAGAGACAGAGGGGCTGAGAAAGACTAACAAAAGACATACAGAGGGACTGGGGAAGGGAAGAATGAGACACATAGGAGCTGTGGGGAAAAGAGACACACAGAGGTGTTGCGGCCTGGGAAAGAGACTCACAGAAGGGCTGGGGAAGGGGAGAAAGACAAAGGGGAAGACAAAGAGACACATGAAAGGGGCTTGGGGGAGAAAGGCACAAACAAAGTGCATCTTCACTTGTGTCTCCTGCTCTCCCTGTAATTTAGAGTTGACCGGTGAGAGAAAGACTTTGTATTACAGGGACACTATAGTCACCATAACTTGTACAGTTTAATGTAGTGGTTCCGGAGTCTGTAGCCTGTCCCTGTAGGCTGAGCACTGTAAATGCTACCTTTTCAGACTGAAGGCAGTGTTTACATTGCTGCCTAGGAACATCTCTAGCGACAGTCACTCAGACGGTGTGCACAGTGTGCAGCACCTATGTTGAGCATCTCCATTTTCTGCATGGAAGCGCTGAACGCTCCCCATAGAGATGCATTGATGCAATGCATTTCTATGAGGAGATGCTGATTGGTGTGGTGAAGCGCAGCGTTTTGCCACACATGCGCAATAGCCTCCCAATGCTTTCCTATGGGAATTAAATGATAATGTCATTTTTTTGATAAAAGATAACGTCTTTTTTTTTTTTTACAGCTGTGCAATAGTATACATTGACAATTTCAGTCCAATTACGAAACTTTCCTTAATATGTCATGGTAGTTAGACTGAAACATTGATTATATGCAAATGCACGTCTGCTAACAACAAATCCGCTCTTTTGTTTATTGAGCGCTTTCTTTCACGTTTAAGTGATAGTTTTAAGGTATTTTTCCCGCTTCCATATCTGCCCACTATGCTGGCGCAATGCATTATAGGGCTGGTATAGAATTATTTTCCAGGGCTGCTTCTCATTCCCAGTCCGGCCCTGGGTGCACCCCCTTTGTAATCAGTCAGACCGTTTAGTTACAGATGAATTTCTTACCTGGGGTTCGCCGGGTGCCACTCCCTGCCTCCTCTCAGCCAGAAGTTCTCTGTCAGGAAATAATCCTGGTAATGCAGAGCTTAGCTTCTTGGCCAAGAGTGATAAGGTCATGCTTTCACCCAATGTGTTGGGCTTAGCTCTGGATGCCTAAAGAAACCCTTAAGCGGGAACTTCTGGCTTTCTTGAAGGCCAATAAGAGGCAGGGGGCAAGCTGTAGTGGTTATGGTGCCTGGAGGTTTTCTTTAATAATGATTATGATCCACATAGAATATATTCTGTTAAGAGTGGAGGCAGTTTGGCACAATATGATCTAAATGCACAAAGGAAAAAAAGATTTCAAATCACATTTGGACTAAATAAAAAAAAAATTGTATTTATGGCATTATATATAAAAGGAGAACGTGTTCTTATATCTCATACATAGCAGCAGCAGACAGTCCTAGACAGCGGACTGAAAACACGTTGTGGGAAAACGAGCGACGATGGTTCACTACAATTGGTGCAAATGTGAGCACAGTGATTCAGTCTTTACCCGATGTGGACATGGCCATAATTAGATCTGCACTTTTTATAAGCCATTTAAGCCACACTCAGCTACAGAATTAAAGCAGACGGCTACTTTGTTCCTTTGGGTCTGTCAATGTGCTGCTCATCCAGTCCTAGTCATTAAATAAAATAAATGTATAAAAATCTTTTTTTTTTCTTGATAATATAAAAAAAAGAAAGAAAAAAAAAGTCCTGTTCTGGGTGATTGTTGCTGTAACAGTTAACATTCAATATACATCCGATAATGAAATACAATGTACGGTCTTTGGTTTGCATTGCGCCTGGAAGATGCTACTTATTGTAGTCTGCTGGGTAAGTAAATATTCAAACGATAATTGTCCCAGTATGGTGGCATCACAGAAAGGTCAGAGGTCACTGAAATTGAGTTCGGGAGGGCTGTCAGAGAGGCCATCAAGGTCATCGCTAAGGCCATCCCCATTCGGGATACTGGTTGTCTTGTTTCGGCTGCCGACCCCGTGGCTAGTACTCGACTTTTCATTAGAACCTGTTGACAAGGCAGATTGGTAGATTAAATTATTACATCTCAACAAATATTTATTACACCTCCATCATTATAGGTACAGATGGCAGTAATAATAATTATGGATACATTTAAGCATTGGTTATTGGGCCTATGACCTGAAAAACATTATATAATATTAATCAGCACAGCAAGAAATCCAGTTATATTAATATTTCTTTAAATCTAGATCAACAATTTAATTATTTTTTTAATCATACAATTCACACTGGGTAGAGTTCTTCCCAGAATGCACCGGACCTTGTCCTAATTAGCGGTATCTCTTTAAATCAGTAACATTATACTGGAGGCAGAAATCAGGACATGACAAGTTGACATGCTGACTGGTTTTACGTGCGTTTGATTTTGGCAATGGTTTATAAAGGAGAGCGGTCTGCTTTATCCTATTTAGAATATGCCTTCTGATTTAATATTGTTTATTTTAATTCTGACCTGCCATCTGCCAAACACGTGGGTGGCAAGATTACCTCTGGGCGGGTGTATATCTAATTTATATCCAAAACTTTTCACAAAATAGGTGGAGGCCGCAATGTCTGGCTGCTACTAATGGTGGGATTTGATCAATAAAGACAGACATATCTTGAGAAAATATCAATACATTTTAGGACAAAAGTGGTAGATTTGAAATTGTAAATCATGAAAGAATTGTTTGGCCCTCATCATTTCCGAACGTTACCATTAATGTGATAGTGTAGCGGGATGGACCTACCACGTGACGCAGGTGGGATTCCCAGACTGTACGACGTGTCCTCTGAGCTAATGTCTGCCAGGCTGACCTGAGATGATGAATCCTCAGAAGAAGAAGGAGACTGAGATTTTACAGGTTTCTTCTTCCGCGTCACTGGCTTTCCTGTTTTGGCAGATACATTCACTGATCAGGAATATAATTTATATCCAGAGCACTTTGTTAGGCAACAAAAATTAAGTAAGAGTTTGCTTTAAAACTATTGGTCACCCAGAAATGAGAAACTTGTTAAAGGAATATAATATTGTCAAAGGGAGTTCTGTTCTAACACCTCACAAATCGATAGGTTGAATCAATCACCCGGAGCCGCGATTGAGACATTGCTCTGGAATTTGCTAGCTAACGTGAGTCCCTTTAAATGCCACGTTATTGAATAAATGATGCTATTATTTTAATTATTAGACGTTAAATACAGGATGGGGTTTGCTTTCAGGAATGGTATGTTTAAATTTTCAAGGAATTACAGATTGTGGATCGGATTTGGCCAAAGTGAAATGATGATGGTAAAGCTATGCAGACTGCAAAACCGTGTGGGCTGCGATTCAAATAACACTCAGCCAGCCGTTAGGTGTCATCCACAGTCATCTGCAGTGCCCAGTGTGACAAACATGGTGGTTAGATTCTCTTACCACCTCGGTCGCTCCTGGCAGAATGTCTGTACACCTTTCCCTCTAGAATTTGCATATCTTCCTTTAACTCACTGATCGATGACCTGAAAATTATAAACAGAGTCAAAAAGCGTCTTTAAAGCTTCTGTCAATGCAGTAGAAGCAACCCAGGACCAGTACCCTAGTCACACCTCCTTGCATGTGACTTACACAGCCTTCCTAAAAACTTCTTGTAAAGAGTCATCTAATGTTTATACTTTCTTTATTGCAAATTCTGTTTAATTTAGAATTTCTTATCTTCTGCACTTTTGAAGCCTTCTAGACCTTGCAGGAGCCTCGTGTACGTAATTAAAGTTCAATGTACAGTTTAGGAGATTAAAAAAAAAACTTCTGAAGTAAATTACCATCTGATTAAAAATGAAACTATTTATTTTCATGCAGGCTGTGTCAGTCACACCAAGGAGAGGTGTGACTAGGGCTTCATAAACAGAAACAAAAGTGATTTAACTCCTAAATGGCAGATAATTCAGCAGTGAGACAGCAGAGTCATGATCTATACACCAAAACGTCTTCATTAAAGGGACACTGTAGTGCTTGTGTGGATTTTAGGTTTCCAGTCCCCCTTAGATCTCTCTGAAAAGGTGATTTTACTTACCCTTTCGCACGTCGTATCTGCCTTGCTGTGCCTGACCCCGTCTCCATGGCTGGGAAAATCCAGTTTGATGATCTCAGCCAATCCAATAAGAAAGCATTGGGAGGCTATGTGCGACAAAAGCACTGCTGCTCCAATCAACATCTCTTCATAGAGATGATGCATCTCTATAGGCAGTGTTCAGCGCCTCCATGCAGTGTGGATACACTGTACGTAGGCGCTGCACACTGGACACTGACACAGGAAGCACCTCTAGTGGCCGTCTGAGCGACTGCATCTAGAGGTGTCCCTAGGCAACAATGTTTACATTGAAAAACCTGCAAGGACTGACTATACTCACCAGAACAACTACATTAAGCAGTAGTGGTTCTGGTGACTATAGTGACCCCTCAAGGTAAAGTTGTTTTCGTGACCTTAATGTCCCCTTAAGGTAAAGTTGTTTTCGTGACTATAGTGTCCCTTTAAGGTAAAGTTGTTTTCATGACTATAGTGTCCCTTTAAGGTAAAGTACAGTGTAATGAACTCGCAGTATATAACAATCTCACTAATTTCCCTAACACTTGGATCCCAGAAAGCAGCTGAGAATCCTGTTGAAGCTTTCAAAATCTTGGAAAAAGATGGAAAAGCCTGGGGCCTGGCCCTCTATCACTTCATAGCACAACAAAGCATGGACCGCAGGCCTACCCTCTCTGTGCTCCATGAATTTGGATATTACTGTCCTGATGTAGATCCATCAGCTTCTTAAATTCTAACCCCAATGTCTGCCACTGGTTCTGCACCGCCAGAGACAGCTAGTCCAACGCTAACTAGCAGGTACTGATTAAAGTTAAGACTATATAAAATGAGGATTGTCTGTATAAAAACCTCTGGTCTCTGCCCAAATTTATTGCAAGTCTGAAAGATATCCTACATAGCCTGGGCAGGTGAGTGCAAAGTCTGTGTTCACGGTCATCATACTATGTGTGTTAACAATGAATGTTCCTGGTGCACAAATTCTGCAAAGCCAGACCAGAAGTCTGGTTCTGTGCTGAGAGATAGCAGCAGTCAGGGCTGGAGTTAAACCCTGGTAAATATATTAAAATATCTCTGTATAGGTTGGATTTTAAGAAGAATTCATACAGAGTCCTTGCGCTATAATCTCTAAAACAAGCAGCAGTAGTTGTGGTGCTTCAATAATCCATTTAACACCACTGTTCTACAATACATTACTGTTACAACACTGAGATGAAGTCATCTGGTTGCCTACAGAGCGACTTTAACCACTTCAAAACGTTGGCCAGCAATGTTTCGTCATGTGGATCCTATCCTTAAGGACGTATGATGGAAAATTTCTGGCATGTACTAAAATTAACGTCAGATCGCCACGTTTGGACAAAATGCTGTTCTGGGCACCCCGGTGCCTGGGCGCCTGATCTGCATTCCTCCACCTTGTTGTGAAGTGCAAAACAGCTACTTTGTGTCCCAGTGTGAAGAAATTTGTTTGAAAGTGTCCCCTTTAGCCCTATTCTTTTAAAGCAATTAACGCTTTCCCTACCCTTTGATCACTGCTTGCAGTGATTAGAATACAGATCACAGTAGTTTTACCCTCAAAGATTAAAATGTATTTAATTTTTCCCCCAATATTTTTAAATTGTGGATTTAGTTAGCGGAGGTAGGTGGAAGTTAGTGGGAAACTGGAAAATTTAGTGTAGGGCTAGTTAAGGATAAAAAGTTTTAAAAAGTTACAAAAAAATTAAAAGTAGACAGCCGAGGTATTGCTTTAGTGGAGTTGAATATTTTTCTAGTTTAGTTATTACTGTTAAGAGATTTTTTTTGGCTACTTTTACCTGATCTGCAGCAGGTCTCTTTGCACTCCTTGTGTGTCCATCCTTGTTCGGTTTACATCCATTGTGTGAGTCTGCTGGGTGCTTAGGAGTCCCTCCAGCATCTAAATCAAATACAAAAATGGATGAATCCAGTGTATGGTAATCTATGGTAATCGTGAATGAAAAATGCAGTTAATATTTACAGTCAGGAAGCGCACTGATCTCACAGTCTAATTAGAGAAGATTGAGGCTGTTTAAAGGGAAACTGGCAACAGATCAGTGCGAACTCAGCTCTAGCAAATAATTCTGAACCAGCAGAGGTAAACACAAATACACTTACCATGATCCTGCTGTGCTGGGCATTACTTTACTATACTGATAATATTATAGGTGTGAGTACTGAATTATGGGACCCAATTCATTCGCACTGAATGCCAGGTTGTACCTGGACAGAATTAGATTTGAAATGTTTTTTTTTTTTTACGCACGACTAACGGAAAGCTTAGTTCTTAATTTAATCATGTTGCATAAGCTTTTCAATATTTGAAAAAAATATATAAAAATATATATCACATATATCAAAATATTTTATCTTATTTTTAAAAGTTTTTCCAAAAATATTAAATGGAGGCTGAGGTTAGCAATCAGAACGTGCCATTACCGCCATTTAATTTACTGGTAAAGACTGACATCTTTGCACACCCACCTTAGCATTCCTTTCTTGAGCTCTCTTCACATCCTGACTTTCTGACAACTGGCGCAGCAAATCATCCTCCTGACGACCTGACAGAGAAACAGCTAAATGTTATTCAACGTCTACTAACAGTAAATAACATAAAACTCATCTGCAACATAACCACCAAAACATAACTCAGCTGCTCCTAGTCCTTTACCAGCTTCAGGGCTCGAAGCTAAATGCCTGATACCCACTAATAAGATGGATTCCTCTGTAAATGGTGACACTTACGGAGACGTTGGTGGAGATAGTCCATGTCTCTGCGCAGACTCTCATACTCCTTCCAAAGGATTCTTTTGCTAAAATAAATAAATAAAAAGTAAAAATGCTCACATTAAAGATTAACTCTAATAAAAAAATGTGATAACTTAATATGATCTTCATATCATAAAATGCCATTTTTAAAAATATATATATTTTAATTTATATAGATTTTTTTTTTTTTAAAGAGATCATTTGCCTTCCTTTCCCACTCCCTCTTAGTGACAGCCATCTTTATACCCCTGTGAGTTATCCCATCCAACGCTCACTTTTTGGTACCATCAGTTGCTTTAAAAAATCAGCGGACACAAAATGCTGCAGGCAGAGGGAGCACACAATTCTGATAAGTAATGGATGGTGGCAAAATAGCGAGCATTGGCTGGGATGTAAGGTGTAAAAGTTGGTGGTCAGGTAGGTGGGAGGGTTTGAAAATGAAGGCTAGTGATTTCTTAATTTCAATATCCATGATCCTCTAAAGTCTAATTGTGTTATTGGTGCATTCCTCGTCGTTACGGTTATCTGCATCGTTAAATTAGACATCATTTAATATACAGATATTCTTTCTTTTTTTTATAATTAAATGTTAATGGAATTTTAAAGTACAAGAAAAGAAACCTAAAAGGACAGTGGAAAAACACCAACAAGCTTTCTAACAAAGCAATGGCTTTTTTAAAATAACAGAATAGATTTAATCATTTTGCCTTTTTCCTTGACAAGGATATGTAACTGCAAGCAATGTCACAAAGCTTAGCCTGAGATCGTACTGTACTGTGAGCGACACATGTCAAACGCTAGAGATGTAAACCCCCATTATATTTTTTTGCCTAGATTAGGTGTTTTTTTAATAAAACTGAAAATTGTTCAGCATTAAAATGACTGTTTAGTAGATAAGCGAATGCACTGGATTTTCATTTTTACTGTATTTATTGGCCCCCAGCAGCACCCTAATTTAGCATGTGTAGGTGAATGCAGCCAAACCCTTATTTTCTCATATATGTATATATTTAGGAGTCTAGCCAGCTCCATGGGTTTTGCACCCCTCCCTGTTACAGGTGCCTCATCTCAGGATCCTATTTAAGCATTGTACTGCAGAGACCTCGAGATGGAAGGATTTCCCCAAGTGAGAAGCTCATTTAGCAGACAGAGTAGGACCTGCCAAAGATGGGGTACATTGGCGTTGTGGCAGGCTTATGCAATGTATGATCATATACTGTAAATAAACCCCCATTATATTTTTTTGCCTAGATTAGGTGTTTTTTTAATAAAACTGAAAATTGTTCAGCATTAAAATGACTGTTTAGTAGATAAGCGAGCGCGCTGGATTTTCATTTTTAAACGCTAGAGATGTAACCAGATCCATAACTCTTGATCTGTGAACTTGCAATTTGCTAACTGATCGCACAACACAAGAATGACATTTTCTACACTTGCATACCACGTACCCTTAATTTAAGCAATTTTAGCTGCGCTAAGTGGCCAGGATGAAGGATAACGCTCTGACCAAGTTACACACACGGCGTATAGTCACTTACTTCTCATTGACTTCCTGTATGATGCTGGCCGTAGAACGCAGCGCAGAACTCGTGTCTCTTGTTGGAGAGTCCCGTCCTCTGTCTTGCAGGTGGCGTAATTCATTGGACAGCTCTTGTTTTAGTCTCTCCATCTTTCTCTCCAAATCAGCCCCATGTGGGTCAACCTGTGCCCCTCGCAGATGGCGTACTTCAGCTATAAAATATAAATCCATATAATAAAAACACGTGACGACATCCCAAATCAGCAACCACCTATGAACACATCATTAGCCATACCACAACAAGCCTTCACGGTGGTTATTGTGAATACGCTAACCACGAAAACACCATTTTTGGTTGGAATAACCCTTTAAACACTTTTTTATTTAGGGAATTCATATTTCAGACAGAGTTGGAGAATTTGGGAAATCACCTCTTCAAATCTCCACTATTCCAGAGAAACGCGGCTAAGGTTGAGAATGAATGAGCTACATTCTGAGTTCTGCTATATCTGCAGCGATAGTGAGATATTCTAAATATAGCTAGAAATGTTATTCGCTTGGATAATTTGATTGCTATTAATTATTAACAGACATCCAACTGCACTGCTCCCCAGTGGCCACCTGATGTCAGCATTATACGGCAAGACACTATCAGTATCCAAAGGGTTTTCGCTAACTTCACTGCAGTGATGGCTAACCTTTGTGAACTACATTTCCCATAATGCCTTTTCAGAGGTGCAAGGTTAGCATTTACAATAATCCCAAATGGCATGTTTTACTGAAGACTTTGTTTCTATGGCTGGTGATGGGCACACAAGTCTTTTACCTTCCAGGCCCTGGATTCTCTGCTCCTGGTGGTCGCGGTCTCGCTCCAGCCTGCCTATTGCCTGATGTAAGGAGGAGATCATCTAAAGGAGGAAACACATGGCATAAACATATACACAAACCCAATGGGGTAAATCTACTAAAGATCTACACAGATTCTCCAATGAAGAAAACCCAACAAGAGGTTAGAGCTTTGATAATACAGATCAAGTCCACATATATTGTGCAAATCAAAATATAAACATGTGATGCATGTACTGTATTACGAATGCAAAGCAACACAGTGTTTATAGTTACACATTTGAACTACACTCTAGAGCTGTTAAATAACTAGACAAATAATCCACTGGATATGTATATTCCAAAGTTCCACTGGATATAGAGGCAGTAAAATCTTGCCCATCAGGAACACAGCTCCTTAATAATGTTTCTCTGTTTGAGTCCCCTCTTTCTATGCTTGAAGCCCTGTGATTGCCAGCAGAATGGGTGAATGGATGAACTGGGTCCATTTACCCACTAAACGCGTTAGGCTGTTGTGAATTGGTTTCTTGTGCGATTATAACACAGGCAGACACTTTCTCCCAGGTCTCCAGTTTGGCGTTTTGACACAGCCAATGATTCTCATTGAAGCAGAGGATTGATAACCAAAAACCTAAGGAACACTGGCATTAAAATTACATATATTTATTTTTAAAGCTAACGTGTTCCTTTAAACGATGTGCTGGTTTAACGGCCTGCATTGAGAAATACTAACGTACAAAAAATAAAAGTCAAAACAAATACTATTCCTAATGTTTTTGATTGTGTTGACTTAAGGGCGTTTCCCTTTCGGCCTTCGGACTAAAGTAGGAAATGAAATCATACAGGGATAATAATAAACAAAAACAGATTTAGAAGAAGAAGAAAAAAGTGTACTCTAGAAAGTACCTATGGTATCTTTTAAGAATTGTTGCCCTATCTGTATTTCAATATTCTGTGCAGCTTTTTAGAGGTTATTTTTACCGGTCTTGATCGAACTGGCAGATTTGTGTAAAGGTACAACTTCGACCCTAACAGAATAAAGGAAAACTATGAGAGTCCAACTGACTGACAGCTGTGAGGGGCCGTCTTATACCTGGGACACTGCAACATAGTGATATGGTCTGCAGTCATGCAAAGCTGCAATGGCCCTTGGAAATATTGGTGTCAGTGTGGCCCATGACATCACTAGTCTGTTCCTATACTATATATGGCAGACTAGACACTTACCTTAGCCTGCGATAGAAGCTGGCTGCTCACGGTCACCCTGTCCTCAGACGGGGATACTCGGCTAAAGCCATTTGTGTATGAAACATATGGTGAAGAAGGTTTAGAGGGAGGTTCTTCATAAAGAGTGGACTTTTCTTGTGGCAGATCAAACTGGACATCAGCTAGAAATTGTTCAGAAAATAAAGGGTTAAACATGGTTAATAGTCAGTCTGTCAGTAAAGTATGTCTGTCACATTTAGCTGTGAAATAATAACACAGCTAAATGTGACAGAGACGTGGAAACTAGTAGAAAGACAAACAGACCTTAGGTTAATACTTCATATTATGATGTTATCATGTCTCCTTTACACAGGATCTATAAACAAAGGACTTTAACAATAACCAGGACAATGCGAAGACGAATTGATTAAAGAAGTGCTGGGCTTTTAAAAAAAAACTGTTTTACATTCTTTATTTAAAATTTGTCATATTCACGTTAAGCATAGAGAATGACAGTAGGGTGAAGTCAATAAAAATGTAAAACATGAATACAATGCACCACATAGTACTGTCATTTAAGTAATTTTATATATATATGGAAATGATGGTGAAAATAGTACAGTCCGGTTATAGACAACACTCCTGAATAAGGTCCTGTGGTGTGTTCTAGGGACCTACGTGTGGGACCTAAAAAGTGTCTAGCCCTGAGAGAGGCATGTGTATTTAAATGGCCATGGAGACCAATTGTGTGGTGAGAGGAGCCAAATATTGGTGTTTGTAAATGCGTTTTGCAACAGCTGGCCGTACCCCGGATTCGGTCGGAGCATTAACAGTGCCCAATTACCCCTGAGCATTATAGGGGGGAATAGTGTGTGTCTGGAGCCCTGACGTCTGTGTGGTAGTATGTGGATCCATTAGTCGAGGATATATAAAACAAGAAAAATTAAATGTCTGCATCTAGTAACGTGACAGATATATATAACAGTGATAACATTAGAACCGCGTTAAATGCCATCTGAAGACTGGCTTTTGGTCCGCAGTAAAAACTAAAGAAAAGAGTCAGGTCTGATTCAGCCGGTGTCCACTCCCATGCGGGGCACAGAGGGGACAATATTCTGCACGTCCCAGCGGCCCTTCGCAACAGGGTCAGGAGCCTTTCGTAGGATGATGCCCAGCTCGGCAAGGAAGAAGGCGGAGGCCACTGGCGCAGTAAGCCTGTGAGTTTGTTTCTTTCTATATATTCTCATTTTAAATACTATGCAGTGTACATTTAACTTTATATAAAATATTTCGAAGAAATATGAGAGCAATTTACCTCTGGTAAGTTCCCCTCGGGCGTACAAGCGCTCCTGTGAATAAAAGCATAGTAATAAAGGGATGTGCTTCTAGGGGAGAGAGAAAAACATGGTGTTGTGAAATAATATTTCTGTACAAACAACATCGCATCTGCCAATCATATTGTGTCAAAACCACGGAATCACCCAATTCCCAGGCTCCCACACACGTTAGATGCACTGTGTAGGTTAGGTTACAGTTAGTTATACCGGGTGGGTTTATATTATTAAAGGGACACTCCAGGCTCCCACACACGTTAGATGCACTGTGTAGGTTAGGTTACAGTTAGTTATACTGAGTGGGTTTATATTATTAAAGGGACATTCCAGGCTCCCTCACACATTAGATGCACTGTGTAGGTTAGGTTGCACGGTTAGTTATACTGGGTGGGTTTATATTATTAAAGGGACACTCCAGGCTCCCACACACGTTAGATGCACTGTGTAGGTTAGGTTACAGTTAGTTATACTGGGTGGGTTTATATTATTAAAGAGACACTCCAGGCTCCCACACACGCTAGATGCACTGTGTAGGTTAGGTTACAGTTAGTTATACCGGGTGGGTTTATATTATTAAAGGGACACTCCAGGCTCCCACACACGTTAGATGCACTGTGTAGGTTAGGCTACAGTCAGTTATACTGGGTGGGTTTATATTATTAAAGGGACACTCCAGGCTCCCACACACGTTAGATGCACTGTGTAGGTTAGGCTACAGTTAGTTATACTGGGTGCGTTTATATTATTAAAGGGACACTCCAGGCTCCCACACACGTTAGGTGCACTGTGTAGGTTAGGTTACAGTTAGTTATACTGGGTGGGTTTATATTATTAAAGTGACACTCCAGGCTCCCACACACGTTAGGTGCACTGTGTAGGTTAGGTTACAGTTAGTTATACTGGGTGGGTTTATATTATTAAAGGGACACTCCATGCTCCCACACACGTTAGGTGCACTGTGTGGGTTAGGTTACAGTTAGTTATACTGGGTGGGTTTATATTATTAAAGGGATACTCCAGGCTCCCACACACGTTAGATGTACTGTGTAGGTTAGGTTACAGTTAGTTATACTGTGTGGGTTTATATTATTAAAGGGACACTCCATGCTCCCACACATGTTAGATGCACTGTGTAGGTTAGGTTACAGTTAGTTATACTGGGTGGGTTTATATTATTAAAGGGACACTCCAGGCTCCCACACACGTTAGATGCACTGTGTAGGTTAGGTTACAGTTAGTTATACTGGGTGGGTTTATATTATTAAAGGGTCATTCCAGGCTCCCACACACGTTAGGTGCACTGTGTAGGTTAGGTTACAGTTAGTTATACTGGGTGGGTTTATATTATTAAAGGGACACTCCAGGCTCCCACACACGTTAGATGCACTGTGTAGGTTAGGTTACAGTTAGTTATATTGGGTGGGTTTATATTATTAAAGGAACAATCCAGGCTCACACACACGTTAGATGCACTGTGTAGGTTAGGTTACAGTTAGTTATACTGGGTGGGTTTATATTATTAAAGGGACATTCCAGGCTCCCACACACATTAGATGCACTGTGTAGGTTAGGTTACAGTTAGTTATACTGGGTGGGTTTATATTATTAAAGGGACACTCCAGGCTCCCACACACATTAGATGCACTGTGTAGGTTAGGTTACAGTTAGTTATACTGGGTGGGTTTATATTATTAAAGGGACACTCCAGGCTCCCACACACGTTAGATGCACTGTGTAGGTTAGGTTACAGTTAGTTATACTGGGTGGGTTTATATTATTAAAGGGACATTCCAGGCTCCCTCACACGTTAGATGCACTGTGTAGGTTAGGTTCCGGTTAGTTATACTGGGTGGGTTTATATTATTAAAGGGACATTCCAGGCTCCCTCACACATTAGATGCACTGTGTAGGTTAGGTTCCGGTTAGTTATACTGGGTGAGTTTATATTATTAAAGGGACACTCCAGGCTCCCACACACGGTAGGTGCACTATATAGGTTAGGTTACAGTTAGTTATACTGGGTGGGTTTATATTATTAAAGCGAAACTCCAGGCTCCCACACACGTTAGATGCACTGTATAGGTTAGGTTACAGTTAGTTATACTGGGTGGGTTTATATTATTAAAGGGACACTCCAGGCTCCCACACACGTTAGGTGCACTGTGTAGGTTAGGTTACAGTTAGTTATACTGGGTGGGTTTATATTATTAAAGGGACATTCCAGGCTCCCTCACACATTAGATGCACTGTGTAGGTTAGGTTCCGGTTAGTTATACTGGGTGGGTTTATATTATTAAAGGGACATTCCAGGCTCCCTCACACGTTAGGTGCACTGTGTAGGTTGGGTTACAGTTAGTTATACTGGGTGGGTTTATATTATTAAAGGGACACTCCAGTCTCCTACACACGTCGGGTGCACTGTGTAGGTTACAGTTAGTAATACCGGATGGGTTTATATTAATAAAGGCAGATGCTGTGTAGTTGATACATTTTAAATAACTCTGTCATGGTGCCAAGTCACCACACCTGTGTGCAAGAAGTACTCATTGAAGCCTATTCTGGCCCTTTATAAATACAGAATGATGGCCCTAGATACTCACCTTGATTCTAGACATATTGATGTCTGTTGCATTCAGAATACCATCCAGCTTGGTGTCCCAGTTCATGCTTGTTTTGAAGGTTCAATATACTGAAAGCAATGCAGAACTACCTGGAAATCCAAATCACAATAAAAATAAAGTAAATTATTGGAAATTAACCTGGGAATTGCAAATGTAAGGTCTGTCACCAGACTGTACATTCTGTTATTATGACATTATATATTGTTATTATAATATTGTTTTTACAAAGGCCAACACTGACTGTGTTATTTATTATTATATTGTGAGATATATATTTTAATATAAAATGTTATAAAGGCCAGCAGCCAACACTGGGTGTGTAAAAAAGTTATTATTATGACATTATATTTATATAATATTTATACTATGTGTTATATATTGTTATTACTATATTATTATTGTAATACAACAGACAGCACTGTGTTATAGATTATAAAGCTGACAGCACTGTGTGTTATATATTGTTATATTATATTATTAAAGCAGACAGCACTGTGTGATATATTTTTATATTATATTATTAAAGAAGACAGCACTGTGTGATATATATTATCTTATAAAGCAGACAGCACTGTGCAATATATTATTATATTATATTATTAAAGAAGACAGCACTGTGTGATATATATTATTATATTATATTATTAAAGCAGACAGCACTGTGTGATATATTATATTATATAGCAGACAGCACTGTGTGATATATTATTACCGGTATATTATATGGCGGACAGCACTGTGCGTTATATATTATTATATTATATAATTAAAGAAGACAGCACTGTGTGATATATTAGATATATTATTATATTATATTATTAAAGCAGACAGCACTGTGTGATATATTATATTATATAGCAGACAGCACTGTGTGATATTGTATTATATTATATTATAAAGCAGACAGCACTGTATGATATATTATTATCTTATAAAGCAGACAGCACTGTGTGATATATTATTATATTATATTATATTATAAAGCAGACAGCACTGTGTGATATATTATCATATTATATTATTAAAGCAGACAGTACTGTGTGATATATTATTATATTATTATATTATAAAGCAGACAGTACTGTGTGATATATTATTATATTATAAAGCAGACAGTACTGTGTGATATATTATTATATTATAAAGCAGACAGCACTGTGTGATATATTATTATATTATAAAGCAGACAGCACTGTGTGATATATTATTAGATTATATTATACAGCAGACAGCACTGTGTGATATATTATTATATTATAAAGCAGACAGCACTGTGTGATATATTATATTATTATACATTGTATTATATTATATTATAAAGCAGACAGCACTGTGTAATATATTATTATATTATAAAGCAGACAGCACTATGTGATATATTATTATATTATATTATAAAGCAGACAGCACTGTGTGATATATTATTATATTATAAAGCAGACAGCACTGTGTGATGTATTATATTATATTATTATATTTTGTATTATATTATATTATAAAGCAGACAGCACTGTGTGATATATTATTATATTATAAAGCAGACAGCACTGTGTGATATATTATTATATTATATAGCAGACAATACTGTGTGATATATTATTAAATTATATTATAAAGCAGACAGTAATGTGTGATATATTATTATATTATAAAGCAGACAGCACTGTGTGATATATTATTATATTATTATATAGTGTATTATAAAGCAGACAGCACTGTGTGATATATTATTATATTATATTAAAATGCGGACAGCATTGTGTGATATATTATTATATCATATTATAAAGCAGACAGCACTGTGTGTGATATTATTATATTATATTCTATATTGTATTATATTATATAATAAAGCAGACAGCACTGTATTATATTATATTATATTATATATTGTATGATATTATATTATTATATACTGTATTATATTATATATTGTATTATATACTGTATTATATTATATTATTATTAGATACTGTATTATATTATATTATTATATACTGTATGATATTATATTATTAGATATTGTATGATATTATATTATTATTATATACTGTATGATATTATATTATTAGATATTGCATGATATTATATTATTAGATATTGTATGATATTATATTATTATTATATACTGTATGATATTATATTATATTATTATATACTGTATATTATATTATTATATACTGTATATTATATTATTATTATATACTGTATGATATTATATTATTATATACTGTATGATATTATATTATTATATACTGTATGATATGATATTATTATATACTGTATGATATATTATATTATTATTATATACTGTATATTATATACTGTATATTATTATATACTGTATGATATGATATTATATTATTATATACTGTATGATATTATATTATTATATACTGTATGATATGATATTATATTATTATTATATACTGTATGATATTATATTATTATATACTGTATGATATTATATTATTATATACTGTACGATATTATATTATATTATTATATACTGTATTATATTATATTATATACTGTATGATATTATTATATACTGTATGATATATTATTATATACTGTATGATATATTATATTATTATTATATACTGTATGATATTATATTATTATATACTGTATGGTATTATATTATTATTATATACTGTATGATATATTATATACTGTACGATATTATATTATATTATTATATACTGTATTATATTATATTATTATTATATACTGTATGATATGATATTATATTATTATTATATACTGTATGATATTATATTATATTATTATATACTGTATGATATGATATTAGATACTGTATGATATATTATTATATACTGTATGATATTATATTATTATATACTGTATTATATTATATTATTATTATATACTGTATGATATGATATTATATTATTATTATATACTGTATGATATTATATTATTAGATACTGTATGATATTATATTATATTATTATATACTGTATGATATGATATTATTAGATACTGTATGATATATTATTATATACTGTACGATATTATATTATATTATTATATACTGTATTATATTATATTATTATTATATACTGTATGATATGATATTATATTATTATTATATACTGTATGATATTATATTATTAGATACTGTATGATATTATATTATATTATTATATACTGTATGATATGATATTATTAGATACTGTATGATATTATATTATTATATACTGTACGATATTATATTATATTATTATATACTGTATTATATTATATTATTATTATATACTGTATGATATGATATTATTAGATACTGTATGATATTATATTATTATATACTGTACGATATTATATTATTATATACTGTACGATATTATATTATATACTGTACGATATTATATTATATTATTATATACTGTATTATATTATATTATTATTATATACTGTATGATATTATATTATTAGATACTGTATGATATTGTATGATATTATTAAAGCAGACAGCACTGTGTGTGATATATTATTATATACTGTATTATATTATATTATTAGATACTGTATGATATATTATATTATTATTATATACTGTATGATATTATATTATTAGATACTGTATGATATTATATTATTAGATACTGTATGATATTGTATGATATTATTAAAGCAGACAGCACTGTGTGTGATATATTATTATATACTGTATTATATTAGATATTGTATGATATTATATTATTAGATACTGTATGATATTGTATGATATTATTAAAGCAGACAGCACTGTGTGTGATATATTATTATATACTGTATTATATTATATTATTAGATACTGTATGATATATTATATTATTATTATATACTGTATGATATTATATTATTAGATACTGTATGATATTGTATTATTAGATATTGTATGACATTATATTATTAGATACTGTATGATATTATATTATTAGATACTGTATGATATTATATTATTATATACTGTATGATATTATATTATTAGATACTGTATGATATTATATACTGTATTATATTAGATATTGTATGACATTATATTATTATATACTGTATGATATTATTAAAGCAGACAGACCTCTCTCCTCTCTCCTCTCTCCAAGTCAGAATGATTCAAACTGTCGCCCAGTTACCAGCGTCCCCTAACCGTCCGCGCGGAGCATGCCGGGAGCTGTAGTTCGAACTCTCTTCTTTTCTATTGCGATCACTGACTGAAAAACTACAAGTGCAAGCGAGTCCTGGTGCCGTGACGTCATTGCCGGTGGCCGAGGCTCCCAAACTACAACTACCATGAATCATCGCAGGAGTGGGCGGAAGTTAGCTGTCAGTAGGGGGCAGCAGCCTGGCAGCTGTTATGGAGACCCACGTGGAGCTGCAGGAGATCCTGGGACCCTCTGGGTTTGAGGTTTATCCCTTGCAGGTAATGTTTGCAGCCTGAGGGCATGGCTGGCAGTGGGCACCATTTCTTCTCCTTGAGTTGTCATGGGTAACCTTGGAACAGCTAGTTCTGAACTCCACTTCACATGATTCTCAGCCAGCCTGAAATTATATGTTGGCCGTCGCTGCCCTGGGGTGACGTGTTGGCCGTCACTGCCCTGTGGTGACGTGTTGGCCGTCGCTGTCCTGGGGTGACGTGTTGGCCGCTGCCCTGGGGTGACTTGTTGGCCGTCGCTGTCCTGGGGTGACGTGTTCGCCGTCGCTGTCCTGGGGTGACGTGTTGCTGCCTGGGGTGAGCGCTGGTGACGTGTTCCGCCGCTGCCCTGGGGTGATGGCCCGTCCGATGTTGTCTGGGGTGTTCGCTGCCCTGGGGTGACGTGTTGGCCGTCGCTGCCCTGGGGTGACGTGTTGGCCGTCGCTGCCCTGGGGTGACGTGTTGGCCGTCGCTGCCCTGGGGTGACGTGTTGGCCGTCGCTGCCCTGGGGTGACGTGTTGGCCGCCGCTGCCCTGGGGTGACGTGTTGGCCGTCGCTGCCCTGGGGTGACGTGTTGGCCGCCGCTGCCCTGGGGTGACGTGTTGGCCGCCGCTGCCCTGGGGTGACGTGTTGGCCGTCGCTGCCCTGGGGTGACGTGTTGGCCGCCACTGCCCTGGGGTGACGTGTCGCTGCCTAATCAAGGGGCTGGCTAGAATGTAAGTCCAGAGCTGTTTTAGAAAACCTCATAGCATCTTGGGATGTGTAGTTCTTCAACTGCAGGAGGTCTTATCTTTACATATATATATATATATATATATATATATATATATCTCTTTAAAATGTTAGGTAACACTATCATACTCTTATTTTGGTCATTCTCCGCCGGGTGCTTTGTGTAATATTTAGGCATTCTGACAGTAGAACTTTTTGTTTCAGGTTGGTTGGTACAATGCAGTTCTCGACCCTGTCTTTCACCTCTCCTACCCTGAGGACACCTTGGCTTTTGTGGTTCTCAGCAAGCCTTCGATGTTTGAATGCGCCTTTAAGCCTTTCCTCTGTGAGCAGAAGCTTCAAAGTCTACGTGATCCTATTGACCAGTGCGTCGCCTACCACATGTCACTAGCGAAGGAGGTCAGTCGACTCCCACTTTATACGTTAGATTACCTTTGGTAATATGATAATCCACCCACCAGATAAGATGTGTACAAATATACTCCTACCAGAACACCCAGGTCAGATATTTTACCATTTTCTTTAAAGAATCTCTATCACAATATGGCTGTAAAAGTGACAAGCTACATATACTTAAGGTTAGTACAGAGCTATTCATAACAGCCCACATCATTAACACTAATTATACCAATGTATCCCATGTACATCAAAGGAGCACTCCAAGCACCATAACCACTACAGCCATCTAACGTAGCCTACTACCTGAATGCGGATGCTACACTGGAAATTATGGGATTACCACATCACAGCATACTAAAGGGACACTGTAGGCACTATAAACATTTCATCTCCTTCAATTGGTTTTAGTGCTTTCAGTGCCCTGGTGCTGTCCCTCGATTTTAAGTAGTTTAACGCTGGTCACTAGCCACCTACAGCTCGGCCCACACTTGAGGTATGGCTAAAAAAAAGATTACACACTTCCTTCTAGCCGTATCAATTCATACCACCCATTGTACAGCGCTGCAGAATTTGTTGGCGCTATATAAATAATAATACCTGCAGTTGTGGTGATGACTGGCTGAAAGTGGCCAGCTTATACTCTCAGCCAATCAGAGCTGTCCATTGCTGCTCACAATAATGCTTCTTCATTAGCCCAATCAGTATAGAGGGTATAGGCTGCTGCATACTCTCACGTTGTTTTAAAAACCGTTTAATAATGAACGGCAGGACGGCGCCAGGGGACGCCTGATACTATAACCACTTCAATCAAATGAAGCCGTTACATTGCCTGTAGTCTCTCTTTAAAGCAGAATTGTCACTTCTATGGAAATTACATTATTGAATAAAACATTGAAAATAACCTCTGAATTGTGTCTACCTTTTTATTTCTCTGTTTTCTTTTAAAATGTACACTAAAGATTTAGCAAGTGACATTACAATCCTGTTCAGTCTAGGCACAGCCAGGGCACGCTGTGTAAATGAGGAGGAGAAGTAGAAACATTGTTTTACCGTCTCCTCTTCAACTAACTGTGTGTTCTATGGCATTAAAGGGCAACATATAAAACAATGACTGACAGGGAACCAAGATGAAGACTTCCCAGTTCTAGGGTAGATCTGTGGATTTCTCTATTTAATTATAATGTTCAGACCTCAAAAATATATATTTACAATTTATAGTGGATACGTAAACATAATATTATGAAATCTTCGGAAGTGACAGTTCCTTATTATGATCATGTTTACCCCAGAATTAAGTTGTATCCTCTAATAGTCTCAAGAATAGTGTGCTAGTGGCGATGCTTGTTTGTCGGAACATATTTTATAGCAGCAGAGCTTTGGGTATTGATGTGTATATCTGAATACCATTACTGAAGCCGACATTTAGGTAAATAGATATTTGTCCACCGCAGCCTCTCACTGCAATACAACCTGTTGCCTAATCTCAATGTTTTCTCCCCAGAGGTGTCCTTCAAAAAAAATCGATGTTATATATGACTATGAGCTACACCCTAATCGGCGGCCCAAAGTGCTGATGCAGACAGCGGCTCACGTGTCTGGTGCGGCCTATTACTATCAACGCAGAGACGTACCACAAGACCCCTGGGGAGACAAGGTTAGTTAAGACATCAATTGAGCTGCATGGATTTTGGAGACTCTCGTCTGATGGATCGTGGCAGACATGTGGTTAACATTAAGCATTTTTCATGGTCCTCATTGTTCTTGCTAGTGTTTGGTCTCTGTGTCTAATGCACTTTGGAAGTGTCAGCTTTTTTTGGCAAATTATTTGGTAAACAAACTGTTAATATAAATTATTAAATTTACTTTTTTTGTGTAAAAGTTCATCATTTTGTGTCTTATTTTATTTTTATTTCTATTCACTTCAATATGTGTTTCGGCCTACAATCCAGTATTCTGCTTTTTTTACTCTATTCATAAATACAGTGTTTATCTTTTAAAGTCTTTTTAATCCTTTTACGACATCCAAGACTTTCCCTCTAGGGATTACAGATCATAGTACATTAGAGAGTGTTCTCATATGGCCTCATTGTCTTTTTACTATCTGTGTTATCAGCCAGTGGTGATCCTCATAATACCAATGTTAAATAGGCGAGGGACAGTTCATTTTCTGTTGAATTTTGTCTTTTGGTTTGTGCAATTTGACCGTCTCTCAGCCCAGAACTAGTAAATTGCAACATTTAAAGGGTTAAAAGAGGATTTATATACTTTACAAAAATAGATCGATTACATAGGACACAGTGTTAGTGACTGCCATTTGGTCAGTATTGTAAAAAATCTGTACTCTGATTCTAGGGGAAATGTACATATAGAATGAAAACTAGATGTAGAAAATGAACGCTGGTGCATCTGCATATCTAGAGAGAGAAACAAGAGTAATGTTTGGGAACAAACTCCTGCAGGACCCCCAGTATTGAATTCACAAGATTACAAAAAGTTATGAGTCAAAATAAATGTAATGTGGTATTTTTTTTATTGCCACAGTAAATATGGACTATAGAGAAGTATTTTTATGAGATGAGCCTTTTTTTAAACCTGATTGTAAGTAGCTGAATAAATGGAATCTGTATTGTGTTCAAACTCGTCGTCGTTTAGTTGCAATTTGAAGAAACAAAGTAGCATTGATTTATAAAGCGCTGCACATACGGAGATTAACCCCTCTGCTGCCGGAGATATAACTCCACCTCTGGCAGAGTCATGAGGATGTCATCTGCCAGCCCGGAACTAGAGTGTTTGGTTGGCTAATGTCAATTCTGTGCAACTTTCATTGTATAGAATGTTGTTCATTGGCTGAGAGCATCATCAGCTGACGCTCTCAGCCAATGAATAGTGAAGGCCATGGCTTCCGACTTCTGCAGGAGCCGGAGGTTGTCACTAGACCATCAGGGAGCCCTGCGTGGATTCAGGTAAGGAGGCAAAATGCTGCTAAACTGTGATGTCCCATAAGTACAACAATGCCACCCCATGTACAGGTTTCATGTTGTTTTGAAAAGTTACAGTGTCAAATAAAGAGTTTGGCCATTTCAGTTTTTACACAATGAAATTTGCAAGATTGGTTATGTTGCCTTTGAGACCATAACATCAGCCCAGGAATGGAAATGCCCTACATCTTGTCACACCATTTGCATAAGTAGACAATACAGGGTATTCAAAATGGGGTATGTCTAGACTTTTTTAGTAGCCACTTAGTCACAAACCCTGGCCAAAGTTAGCATTCATATTTTGTGTTTTTCATTTTCCACACAAAAACAGCACTTTCACTGATGATATCTCCGTCTTTATACGTTTTACTGCTCTTTTCAGCAATATCTCATGAATACAACAGGACCCCCTATGTACAGGTTACATGAGGTTTTGGAAACTTACAAATAAGGGGGTTGCAAATTAAATTCTATGAAATTTCTGCCTGTGTTCCTAGGCAGTTCCCCTGATCGGATCCGGCACAGGGAGTATGATTTGGGTGGCTGCAGGAGCAGACGTTGGGAAACGTCATTACGTCCTAACGTTGTTAAAGCTCATGCCGTTCAGGACGTAATGACACGTCCTAGTGGGGCGAAAAGGAAATGGAAGATTTTAGTTATGAAATAGTACTTTAAAAAAAAAAAAAAAACTCCATTTGTTTACTTTAGAAAAAATGTCTCAGAAGGCATAGAATAACATTATACAAATATATATATATATATATAGTGCTGGTACAAACAGCTCTTTGGTAGAAGATTTCACATATCGCAGAAGAAAGAGTTCTTAACAATAAAAACAAGATATGGAATTCTCTGCTTTTTCTTGTCTGGACTCTGCCGAGATGTAAAAATTATGCATTTTTGGATAAACTAAATATTGAAGGATATGATTGTTAATACGAGGGGTAAAATTGATTTAAAAAGAAATCTGTCTGAGTCAAGAAGATTAATTGATTTTATTTCTCTTTTTGCTCTGCATTTGGAAATCATTTAAATTTGGGGTTAATGCCTTCTTTTGGATCAGCAGAATAAATAGCTATATAAAAGGTTGAACTTGACTGACTCTTGTCTTTCCCCCCAACCTATGTAACTTTGTCATATTTGACAGGTTTTATATTAGGATTTTATTGGTATAAAGTTCCACGATATGTTTAAAGCAACATTCCAATCCCTTAAAACACTTCAGCTGAACGGAGTCTGTAAATAAAGATAAGTATAGGTGTTTATTAATGTGCTTTTCTTGGCCGTCTCTTTCAGAAAATATTTGGGGTCTGCATACACCCTCGATATGGGGGATGGTTTGCTATCCGTGCTGTGCTGGTGTTCAGTGAGGTACGAGCTCCTACCTTGGAGCAGCTTCTCCCGATAGACTGCATCCCCTCTCGAGAGGATAGAATTCAACTTCTTGAGGACTTCAACTTTCGCTGGCGAGATGGGAAATACCGAGACGTGCTGCCTGTTGAGCAACGCTACTCTGCAGAACAGATCCTTTACTTTGCCACACCCCCCGCAGAAAGATTTAAACTGTTAGAAATGTGGGGTACACTACCTCTGAGCCCTCCCTGCTGATCCTGAAAAGCCCTGTAGCTGTCTGTCTGTTGTCAAATCAAGGAAGAGTTACATAAATTCTACACATAGATCTATGTATGTAATATATTCCCATTTATCGCAGCTTGATACGGTGTGCTTTTTACAAGTAGGGTTCTGGTTTATATACTAAATCTTACTGGCCATATAAAATACCTCCTCTTTTTTATTTATTTTTATTTTGTTTCAGGGTTAAATTTTTGTAGAACTGTTTTGTAGAAAAGTTCCCCGCAGTTACTTTTTAATGCAAGAAGTGCACAACTTGTACATACCTCAGGGCTGCGGGTTCTGCTACCAGCTGAGTCAATTCAGTTTTTTATTATATTTAGGTTAATTTAAATGATTACTTAAGAAATGTGTATTAATTACATCTGCTAATCCAAAATGAATACTGTTATGTTATATCAGGCACCAGCTATGTCTTGAGTGCGGAGGTCGACAGAGTATGACTTTTGATAAATAGTTATTGCTGTTTATTAATTAACATACTGTCTTTGAACACTACAAATAAACATGATGCACAATTAAAGAGTGTTATTGGATGCACCCACAAAAAATGAAACTGAGCAGCTCCTTTTTAAAACCTCAAATTTACATACCTCCCAAGTTTCCCTAATTGGGAGGGAAAGTCCCTATTTTGGGCCCAAATCCCTCTGTCCCTCTTTTCTGTCCTAATGTTCCTCTTTTCTAGGAGCTCCATATTGTTGGTGGGTCCAAGTGTATAACAGAGCTCCCAGTACTATGTTTTTAAAGGGACACTATAGTCACCAGAACAACAACAGCTTATTGTATTTGTTCTGGTGAGTAGCATTATTACCTGCAGGCTTTTTGCCGTAAACACTGTCTTTTCAGAGACATCATCAGAAGTGCCAGAGGGCTGTGTTTGGTTGTTCTGGCTCTGCCACTGATCTGCCTCCTTGACAAGCTCAGCCAATCCAATGCTTTAATTTGGGACAAGCATTGTGATTGGCTAAAATCACCACTTCTGATGAGGTCATCCAATGAGGCAGATCAATGGCAGTGCCAGCACTAGTAGACTAGAATAAAGATAATATTTTACTATTATTACAGGGGATGGGGGGGGGGGAGGAGATAGTGTTTAACACTGAATATAGGGTCATGAATACCCTACATTTCTTTAAACAACAATAAATACTTTGTTCATGTTCTAAGTTACATTTTAGTACTGTCTTTGAACACTACAAATAAACATGATGCACAATTAAAGAGTGTTATTGGATGCACCCACAAAAAATGAAACTGAGCAGCTCCTTTTTAAAACCTCAAATTTACATACCTCCCAAGTTTCCCTAATTGGGAGGGAAAGTCCCTATTTTGGGCCCAAATCCCTCTGTCCCTCTTTTCTGTCCTAATGTTCCTCTTTTCTAGGAGCTCCATATTGTTGGTGGGTCCAAGTGTATAACAGAGCTCCCAGTACTATGTTTTTAAAGGGACACTATAGTCACCAGAACAACAACAGCTTATTGTATTTGTTCTGGTGAGTAGCATTATTACCTGCAGGCTTTTTGCCGTAAACACTGTCTTTTCAGAGACATCATCAGAAGTGCCAGAGGGCTGTGTTTGGTTGTTCTGGCTCTGCCACTGATCTGCCTCCTTGACAAGCTCAGCCAATCCAATGCTTTAATTTGGGACAAGCATTGTGATTGGCTAAAATCACCACTTCTGATGAGGTCATCCAATGAGGCAGATCAAGGGCAGTGCCAGCACTAGTAGACTAGAATAAAGATAATATTTTACTATTATTACAGGGGATGGGGGGGAGGGGGGGGGAGGAGATAGTGTTTAACACTGAATATAGGGTCATGAATACCCTACATTTCTTTAAACAACAATAAATACTTTGTTCATGTTCTAAGTTACATTTTAGTTGCATAAATGATTATTAGTAAGTCAACAAAAATATCTCAGAACAGCCCACTCTTGATCAAACTCCCAATTAAACTCAGAACAGCCAACCCCTAGTCACACCCTCTCTCACACCACTGAAATTAAAGTGTCCCTCTGTGTCTATTTGAAATGTTGGGAGGTATGAATTTCTCCAGTGATACAGAAATACTTAATTCTCTACAAAGTAGCAAATCAATAAAAAAAAAATCCACCTACTTAACCGACTAGTCTGTCAAACATGCCATCATCCCTGTTTTCTCTATAGACACCAAACATTCGGGTTCTTCACAGGAGAAATATATGTGACGTTTGTTCTATTTGGTACCATTGTGCTGACTCCATCCGTGTTGTGTGTTATCTTCTTTAGAGAATTGATTTGTGTAATGTTCAAGCTTTGGATTTCATGTGCATGTAATTTGCATACTCAATACTCTGAGTAAATTTGTTTTTGTAAAATAAAACTCCAAACCTCTAAGGTACTTTTCAGGATGTTGAATTGCCTTAGGGATTAGTGTCCCCTGATTCCAACTTTCTAAAATTGCCAGTTTCAAGAGAAATCATGACTTATATAAAGGTGCTAAGTTGCACCCTAAAAGCTGTCTGTCAGACGCCTGGGAGGGAGCCCTTTCCCGATTGCTTTGTGCCCAAGAAAAAGGGGAGGTGTCGGGAGAATCACTGCTATAACTGTATGTATTTACTTTGAATTAAACGCTGGATTGTTCCTTTAAAGGACCACTATAGTGCCAGGAAAACGAGTATGTTTTCCTGGCAATATAGTGCCCTGAGGGTGCCCCCACCCTCAGGGTCCCCCTCCCGCCGGGCTCTAGGGTGAGGAAGGGGTTAAATTTACGCGCTCATTCAGACAGTCTCATAGGAAAGCATTCTCAATGCTTTCCTATGGATGCTGGCGTCTTCTCACTGTGAAAATCACAGTGAGAAGCACGCAAGCGCCTCTAGCGGCTGTCAATGAGACAGCCACTAGAGGCTGGATTAACCCTAATATAAACATAGCAGTTTATCTGAAACTGCTATGTTTATAGAAAAAAGGGTTAACACTAGCTGGACCTGGCACCCAGACCACTTCATTAAGCTGAAGTGGTCTGGGTGCCTATAGTGGTCCTTTAAGGAATACTCCACTCACTAGTGAATTAGTTTGATTAATATTAAGAGCATACGGTTTCTACGTGGACCGTCTTTACTGAATGAAATGTATCTTATTGTATATTTAAAGTGCTTCACTGTTTATTGAAAGTGTTTTTTTTTATAAAAAAAACACTGGTTCAAAGGCTGGGTGTTGATATTCAGGTGTTTAGAATTGGAGTAGAATGTACAGTGCTGGTCATCTGCTCCAAATTACAGTGAAAACATGTATACATTTAATTATAAGGGGTTTTTTTTGCTTGGGGGGTATATTTAAATCAGCTTGCAAAACCTATAGATCTCTTGTCTTTGCAAGCCCTCCCTTTCTAACCCCGCCCAGACTTTCTGTGGCTGTCCAATCACAGACTTCCCAATACAGCTCAATGAGACGTCTTTGCAAGGCACGTGCTCTGAGCAATTGCTGCCTCTTGAGTTTATCTTCCCCAAGATAAACAACCAGGAAGTAACAGGACCGGTTGTCTACTTGACAGCCAGGGGGTGTAACAAGGTTCATTTATAAAATAACAATTTATCTTGAATTGTTTTACTTTTTGTAAAATTTATAAAAGGGGACACTTTCTAAAGCAAACTAATGTGCTTTAGTGGTCTGGAGTGTCCCTTTAACCCCTTAAGGACCAAATTTCTGGAATAAAAGGGAATCATGACATGTCACACATGCCATGTGTCCTTAAAGGGTTAAGGACCTCAGCTCTTTCCTTGGTGCATTTATGACCTGAGACAAAACGCAATCTGTTTAAAAAGAAAAAAAGGTTTTGTTTGTTTTTTTCTTTTCTTTAAAAGACTGCCAAGTCAAGGGGATGTCTGTCTGGCTGTTCGTCCACAGGTTGTGTTGGATATAATCAAGGTTTCTTCACCTACAACAGCCAGTTCCAGGAACCCATGGTTAATTCCAACTTCTTTCCTCGTCTTCCTGGTGTGCCCAACGCTCTGGATGAAGTCCGTTTCACAGACTTTACGATATTCCATCTCTCATTAGAATAAAGAAGCTATTTTGTTTAAATCCTATAAGTGTGCTTGGTCCTGTTAAATCATTTTAAGCTTTATGATATCCCCCTCCCTTGTATATCTGCACACTAGACTGGCACAATGCATGATAGCAATGTCTCGAATTGCTTGCCGTGTGTGGGTGAATTCCCACCAACAATACCAGCATCCAGGTTATTCCTCCAAAATAAGGGTCAAATTTGAAATAAAAAGGGTTTATTGATTAAAACAATAAAATTGCAGACAAGATTTACCAAGATTGCCAGGTTTCCTCAGTCTGCCATACATATTGTGAAGCCTTATTTGTATTGTTAAAATAGGAATTGAGTAAGGCTAAATGAGTTTCTAACTCTAGTTTTCACCCTAATCTTAATTCTAAATGTCTTGCGTCTTAGTGCTGCGGTGAAGATCTAATTGTAAGCTCAGCCTGTTTTCAGACACCGTGATCCTGAGGGAGGAGGAGTTCCGATGACTGTCGAGGTGTTAGGGGGGAAAACATTCTTATATAAAACTCAATGTGACTGAACACCAGTAATCTGTGGCTAGCTATTCTCCACAAGTGCAGTCACTAAGGGGGTGCGGGCTGAACCAGATGACATCACCAGAGGGGGAGACATCTGGTGTGGTTCTTTAGCCCCGAATCTTTCTGTCCTAACCGCAAACCGAATACAAGACAGTGAGAACCAAACTTTAGGATTCTTGACTGTTTTGTGATGCCCGTGAGTGGTTCTATCCTAGGTCCAAAAACCAGGAAAGATATAGGCAGCCGCAGAGTGGCGAGATGGGCTGGGGTGAGGGACCAGACAATTGCTTCCTCACACGGACAGACTGAACCGTCGTGTCCAACACTGGGATGGTGCCTGTCTCTCCACTCGGTCTGCACAGGAAGAAAGTCCCACAAAGCCAGAACTTAAGGTTTCCAAACAGAAAATTGCACTGAGCATATCTCCTGGGATTCCTAGTGCATACTGCTGCCATCTCTTCCCCATGTACCTGGCCAGGCAGAAGCAGCAAATGTAACCCAAAAAAAACCAAAATTAAAGAGTGCAGACAAATGCAAGAACATTAAACAAACCAGTGGAGCACAGAAACGATGGATAATGAGAACAATGCCAGGTCAAAATGGCAAAAGTAAAATAGAAAAATCTTATTCTCAGACACCACAACAGGGCACTGAAGAAACAGAACAATAATGTGTATTATTACAAGATCAGGGTTACAAGATCAGTTAAGACTGGTCAGCGTCACTCCTGCAATCACAGAATATGGAAGTATGAAAATATTTGCAGGATTGACTAATCATGGCTTGTATCACTACAGGGAGGAGGATGCGGAGTGTCATAAAAGGATGCAGGGTTACAACGTCCAGTGTCAGTCATAACTCTAGAATGCTACACGTATCGTCGTAATATCATACCGGTAGTTAAATATTCCATTGGAAGAAATTAACGTAATTTGAAGTGATATGTGTGTATTTTACTATATATGTGTGAAAGATTTAATAACTATTAACAACTGATCAAATAGTATGATTTTTTTAAAATTAATTACTGCTTACCATATTATATTTGAAACCTGGAAGATAAAATACATTTAAAAAAACAACAGGTAAAAAGCTAAATAACCAATAATTAACTGTCGTCTATAATTTTAAAATGATAAAAAAAGATCTAAATGATATTTGAAAAGTTCTCAACGTCTTCTTTTCCTTGATGTTTCCTTTATTTTAGGTTTTTTGGCAACAGCATGTCCAGGCACCTAAACAAAATTAACAGTCAAATTCAAATAATTAATTAAAATACTATAATATTTAATTCAGTTTATTTTGTAGTACTGGATAATTACTTTAAAAGATATGTCTCATTGCAAACACAAAACAATTATTAGAAAAAAGTATGAATATTAAAGTGACACTAAAGTCACCGAAACAACTTTAGCTGAATTAAGTGGTTTTGGTATATAGATCAGGCCCCTGCAGTCTTACTGCTCAATTCTCTGCCATTTAGAAGTTAAAGCACTTTGTTTATTTATATATATATATAAACATAGCTAAATAAACGTCCCCTTCAATAGGGTTAGTTGTCTATTTATGTTGAAAGTTTCGAAGAAATTGGGTATTGGAATGGGATTCAAGACATGGATTCAGTCTATATATTCACATCCAGTTGCTAGAGTCAAAATAAATAGATAACCATGAAATAAATTAACTCATTTGAATGGGACAAGGCAAGGTTGTCCCCTAACCCCTCAACTTTTTGTATTGGTTATGGAACCTTTATTTTCCTCAGTCAGACAGGCGGAAAGTATTAGTGGGTTTCCTTTCAAGTCAGGACTAGTAAAAAATTGCGGCATGTGTTACTGTTTCTAATCCTTTAGTGTCTCTAGAAGGGATCTGTAACTGATTATCTGAATTTAAAATAATAAAAGTGAAGTTTTGAATATTAGCCTATCAAATAAAAACTTGTCCCAGATAAATTATCATGTCAAAACAGGAGCCTTAGCCATTAAATATTTGTTTATTAATCTTAGTGATAACCCTAGGGACTGTTATGATATTAACTATCTCTTTACATTAACTACTATAAAAGTTAATCTCACACGCTGGTCTACCTCTCCAATTTCTTGGTGTGGTAAAAAGAGTATAGTTTCTATGAATATTATCCCAAGATTCTTATATCTTTTTCAGACCCTTCCTATTTGTAACCCTAAAGGAAGTTTAAACATTAGATTTATCTTTACAGGAAGTGTTTAGGAAGGCTGTGTAAGTCAACTACAAGGAGGAGTGACTAGGGTGCATAAATAAAGTAAAAATGTTTTAATTAATATATTTTATTTTTTTTACACAGTTATTTAAACAATAAAAATAATTTAGTCAATAACAAACACAAAACAACAATAAAAAAAAGATGGGGGGGGAGACTCAAGAACTCTGCCACCCATATTCCCCCTCTTTCTCCCCAACCGCCCCTTCAGACCTCCACACCAAGCCAAAACTCCACAAAAAAATAAAGAACCCAGTATCCACTCATCAGGTTAAATTATCCCTCTTTTCTGTTAACATCGTTGAAGGATTTCACAAATATATCCCACAAGTCAAGTGAAAATTTGGAAAAATTAACTTAGAGATCAGACTCTCAATTTTTCCCCACAAAGGAGTAATTAACGAGCAACTTCAAAAAATATGTAGAATATCCCCCCATGACATTTACATCTTTAACATTCATCACTAACTTGAGGGGCAAATCTCCTACTGGTGTTCTATAACTTCTAGATAATTTAAAAGCTTGTTCTTGATAACTTTTGAGCAGTTTTTTTATGGATTCCTGAGGTTCCAAAGCTAAACCATTTTCCATAGTCTCCTACTGATATTTGTTTCTTTAAGCAGTAAGTCTACAGTTACCAAATTAATATGTTCCAATCTAATATTGAAATTCTCAAATATTGCATGTGAAATATAATGAACACACTCTTACATCTGTAATGGATAAAAGAAGACCAGACAGGTTGCCTATCAATCTTTTTTTTTTCAAACTTTTAGTCAAATTTCTAAAGTAGCTGTTATAATAGAATGTTTAGCCCATATTACATTTGATATTATTTTATTTCTATTCTCTCTGCTCCCCTCTCCCACTTCCAAAAAAGGTATGTTAGAGATATTAGAAATTACTAAATTTTGCTCCATTGTAATCCATGGTTTGGAGTATTTGTGGGACCACTCTATAATACATGTAAGGTGTCCACATAATAATAGCTGCACATATCCGGTAGACCCAAGCCTTCTCTCTCTAGGTCTAATTAAATATTCATAAGCCAGTCTAAGCGGTTTCCCCTTCCAGATAAACTTAACAAACAATCTTTTTAACTGGGGAAAAAATACTTTATTGCACAGTCTGTTTTATTAAGAATTTATAATCTTCTGCTCTTTTAATAGCAGTCTAGACCCTGCAGGAGCCTGCTGTGTATGATTAAACCTCAAATTACAAAGCAGGAGCTAAACACTTCTAAAGTAAGTTAAAATCTGATTTTCTTTTTTTTTTTACAGAGGCGGTATCAGTCACAGCCAGGGGAGGTGTGGCTAATGCTGCATGGGCAGAAACAAAAGTGATTTAACTCATAAATAGCAGAAAATAGAGAACAGTGAGACTACAGGGGCACAACATATACACTAAAACAACTTCAATTAGCCAAAATTATTTTGTTGCGTTTTGTATCTTCTTAACTTAGGCATTTTTTTTAAATCGCCTGTAGGAACAGACTGAGCATGTCTCAGGTTTTTGCAAAGTTTTACACATGCCAAACTGCTCTTGAATCACCACTCCTTTCCAAAAATAAAGAATATATTTTTTTAAATAGTGAAACATCATAACATAGTTAACATTTAAAGTGATTATGGAGGTTGGCAGCTGTGTCCTTCAAGTAGGTAATTCGACCATCCCTGAAACAAGCTTTCGGGGTACGAAAGGAGTAATTTCTTCTACCAGCCAGGCAAGTCAAGCAGTCACCGCTGCCGACAATTTCCAATGATTGGAGAAAAGCAGGCATTTTGGATTGGTGTGTCAGGTGGTGTGACTTGCCAGCTTTGTATGCTGTTAGGCAATGTGGTCTCTACTTGTAGGGAATGGCGTTCTCCCTCAGTAATTGGGTGACCTTTCAGAAGGACCTCCGCCATGTAAGGGTTTGCCTGGAGAAGTCTCTATAAAATGCCAGCTCTGCCCCCTCAAAAGGTATCGTTATCAGAGTCCAGCACTAGCTTAAGTAGCACATCTCGAGCAGTTCCCTGATGAGCAATGGGGGCCTTAGGGAGGTGAGAGCAGGAGTCAACCACCAGTAGCTTAGCTTGCTTAGGTGTCAACAGAGTGGCGATGACCTTTCCATAGCCTCTTGGAACATGGCTCTGATGTCTAGTATTATTGCCTTTATGTCAGCCTTGGTAGATGGTGCAGAGTCCTCTATCTCTGGAGACACCTGTGCAACTGTGTGTACCTTTAGGAAAGCTGGCTGCTCTGCAAATAGGCTGTTGTCATCTGAGGTTTGTAAGTAATAGGGCTCCGCCATCTAAGGAGGTTCAGGAAGTGTGGCTGTGCGCAGAAAGGTTCCTATATCTCGGGAGGCAGAGCCTGGATCTGCTTGCTGCTTTTTATTTTTCTTTCACATATCATGCGACACTTGGGCTGCCGCTTCAGACCCCAGAGAGGTGGCTCAGAATGCCAGGAAATCGAAATTAGCGGAGTAGGAGCACGGAGCTGCCGTTTTGTGGGTGCTGGCTCTGCCTCTCTGAACACCAGGATATCTAACTTTTGGGCACCCCTGGTGTAGATGAACTATGTCTTTATAAAAAAAAATTCTCAAATAAATTGTATATAATGTATCCGTTCTCCTTAGACAACAGAGGACCTCATGTCCACTTATCATCTTCATCTTGTGGTTAGTAGCCATTTGATCATCTGGGGCTGCTCTACCTCTCATGCAAAGTGAACTTGGGAGCTTTAGTTTAGGTGGGCTCAATTCTTGCTTGGAGAATCACAAAGTCATTCAAGTAAGTTCCTGCTCAGGAAGTTGAAAATCTCTGGTAATACTGTAGCAGCGCCGGGTTTCATATGAGGACAAATATGCAGGCTCATTGTATGAATAAAAGATAGTTTTTTATTTCATCCAAATTCAGTAAAATGATAAATATAAATAATAAACAGTATACCGAGGGGGATAGCAGCAGGAAAGACAATTATGCCTTGCATGCTGGGAAGGCACTTTCTCAGAGATTTCCTAAAATTCTATCTTTTTACTGCACTTCTCCAGTTTTCCTGTATGCGGATAACCCACCTGTCGGAAGTCTGGTGGTAAGAACTGTGGTTCTGTTTTCTACTGAGCTGAATTTATTGTTTATAAGGCTGAACTTGATGGAGGGATGTCTCTTTTCAGCCTATGTAATAAGTGTCAAATCTCTACCCTTACCCCTGGGGCTCCAAGAACAAGAAACCAATCAGTATGGTATAAAAGACCTTCCAAATGCTTGCCATTCAAAAATAATTTAGTCCAATAAAAATGTTTACACTGTTTTTGCTCTAAAACAGTAGTTACATAAATCTAAAATGTAAAACAAATTGTTTTGTAGTTCATATGTACAGCATGATCATGAACATATACTGAAAAACAAATATGCCATTTAACTAAATGTTGCAGAGAAAGAAACTCTGTCATTCATAGTGTGCTTGAGTTATGTATGCTAACTGTGCTTTCAAATTTGCCAACAAATGTATTAAATAAATGATATAGTAACTTGATTATTGTATATGCATTATTTAACCCCTTCCCAACCGAGGACGGTTCAGGACCGTCATCGGCATTTTTGCGTTGCCGACCGATGACGGTCCTGAACCGTCCTAACGGTCAGAGCTACTTACCTGATCGCCGTCGTTCCCCCGGCGGCGATCAGCGTGGCTCCGGTTGTGGGGAGACTGTCTGCAGCCCAGACAGTCTCCCCATGGCAGATTAGGACCCCTGTGGCCATGTGATCGCTTAACACAGCGATCACATGGTCACAATAGGTGTCCTAGTGTCTGCCTGCAGGGGGACTGCCTGTGCTGACAGGCAGTCTCCCTGCTAGTGTAAAATCAAAAAATAAAATAAAGTTAGTGTTAATAAAAAAAATAATAATAATTATATATGTGTATATATGATATATAGACATATATTATATCTATATAATATGTCTATATATCATATATATATAATGTCATACTAAGTGTATTTTTATATTAATATGTACTTATATTAATATAAAAATACACTTATAATTAAATTACACACGTATATATATAATATATATAATAACTATATATATTGTATATATATTATTATAAAATATAAATAATAAGTAATTTAAATTAAATAAAAAATTTTTTCAATAATAATAAAAAATTAAAAAAAAATTATATAGCTATATGAAATTTTATTCTAACTGTATTTTAAAATTAATATATATATATATATATATATTTATATCAAAATACACTTAGAATGAATTTGTATATATATCTATGTATATAAAATAAATAAAAATAATAAGAAATATACATACGTCCATATACAAAATTACATAAATAATTATATAAATATACACGTAGACTTCAAATATATAAATATGCATATATATTTAAATTCTACGTGCGTATTTATGTAATATTTTTACATAATTCAGTAATTTTATTGATTGCAATTTGAGGGACCTGCCTGCCAACCCAGGCCGAAATTCCAGAGAATTTAATTTGCTAGCACTGTATTTTACCCTGTAACGTTCTACGACACCCTAAAACCTGTACATGGGGGGTACTGTTTTACTCGGGAGACTTCGCTGAACACAAATATTAGTGATTCAAAACAGTAAAACATATCACAGCGATGATATTGTCAGTGAAAGTGACTTTTTTTGCATTTTTCACACACAAACAGCACTTTTACTGATGATATAATTGTTGTGATACGTTTTCCAGTTTTTAAACACTAATATTTGTGTTCAGCGATGTCTCCCGAGTAAAACAGTACCCCCCATGTACAGGTTTTATAGCATTTTTGAAAGTTACAAGGTCAAATATATGGGTCAAATATTTTTACATTGAAAATGGCCAGGTTGGTTACGTTGCCTTTGAGAGGGTATGGTAGCCCAGGAATGAGAATTACCCCCATGATGGCATACCATTTGCAAAAGAAGACAAACCAAGGTATTGCAAATGGGGTATGTCCAGTCTTTTTTAGTAACCACTTGGTCACAAACACTGGCCAAAATTAGCGTTCAATTTAGTTTTTTTACTTTTTCACACACAAACAAATATGAATGCTTACTTTGGCCAGTGTTTTCGACTAAGTGGCTACTAAAAAAGACTGGACATACCCCATATTGAATACCCTGGGTTGTCTACTTTAAAAAAAATATGTACATGTGGGGTGTTATTCAGAGATTTATGACAGATAATAGTTTTACAATGTCACTATTGATAAATTTTAAAAATGTATGTTTTGAAACCGCAATATCCTACTTGTACCTATAGCCCTATAACATGCAAAAAAAGCAAAAAAGCACGTAAACACTAGGTATTTTTAAACTCAGGACAAAATTTTGAATCTATTTAGCAGTTTTTTTTCATTCGCTTTTGTAGATGAGTAAAAGATTTTTCAAGTAAAAGTCAAAAAACATGTATTTTTTTCAATTTTTCATCAGATTTTTGTATTTTTTTTAAATTAAAATACATGAGATTATATAAATAATGGTATGTAAAGAAAGCCCCTTTTGTCCTGAAAAAAACAATAAATAATTTGTATGGGAACAGTAAATGAGAAAGTGTAAAATTACAGCCAAACACAAACACCACAAAAGTGTAAAAATATGCCTGGTCGCAAATGTACAACATCGCAAAAACAGTCCAGTCCTTAAGGGGTTAAGATGGCAACTTTAAATCCATTATGCACATGCAGCCACTAACATCTAATACAGATGACCACCTTGGTGTTTTTCTTGAGGAACCCCAAGACGTATAATGTATAAATAAGCTGACTCTCTGCACAGATGCAGTATCAGACCTAAGGGGCATGCATATGGCTGAAGGATCCTGTCATATACTAAAGGTAGTGATGAGTTTTTCTATTTTTTTCTACATGTAATCCATTAAAAAATAAATTTCCTCACAATGCTTGATGAAATTATTATTAATAATAATTAACGATACTTTCTAAAATATTTCCTTTGCATTTAAGATTCAACATCATAGAGGCATAGTTAGTTTATAAAGCTAGCCCTATCTACAAAGCTTTTTTTTTTTTTCAAATTTGATGCTTTATATTTTATTTCCCTTTCACTGTGCAATTTGGAGTATCTACTGCTAACTTGGTTTAGCATTCCAAGCGTAAATAAATAATCTCACTGTACTTACACATTTCTTCTGTGGCCCATCATTATCTTCCTGTTCCTTAAATATTGATTGTTCATTCAACGTTTCCATTCTGTCTTTCTCAGTGGTAATCCGCAATTTAAACACATGAAATGAGGTTGACACCTCGGCCAGTTTCACGTGCACAGGGTCACCTTCGAAATGTATTATGTGCGCCACCCCTTCCTTAAAGCCAGGTGGTTGGTAATGGGGAGGGGTCACTAGAAGAATTAAGCATGCATTTACAAACAGCTTTAGCTTACTAAATGAATATTGCATTTTTAACTGTTATTAGCACACTAGAATTCACAATTCACATTTTGTATGCATTCTGCCCATCCTGTTGCTTAAATATTATCTAAAAGTATTTATTTAGGTGCTAGAGGTTAATTGGCACATAGGCATACATTTTATTTTAATATTATTTTATTGATATGGAAGCTAGGGGTCAAGGTAATTAGCATGAAAGCCATTAAATCTTAATTATGGTTAATTAAGAATTTGAATCCTGATAATAAAGGATGGGTGAAACAAGTAGGATTGCGAAGTGCCAATCTCTACAGTGGATTTTATATTATTTAGGCCCACTTCGTAGCAAAGTAAATAAATAGACACACCGCCTTCTTTTAGAATTTATATAATTAACCGTTGCCTCATGCTTTACTCACCTTAAATTGATTTTTCTTTGGGTTTAGCATCAAGAAGAGCAAGAAGGTTTTTAAACGGTTTAACAGTTACACCCCCAAACTGCACCTTGCACTGCTATAAAGTCTATAAAACTTCAAGACATGTTTAAGTAAAATTGACTGTGTATTTCTCTTTCTTAGGTCCTCTACCAGGGGCCTGGGAGTCCAAGGGTTCTGCTGTATCTTAGCTGTTCCTAGAAGTGCACTCTTCTGGACAGAGACATCAGATGTCCCACCTAGAATCTACTGCAGCAAATCTCCCAATTTGTTTGTTACAGCCGAGTTCTCTTATCACAACTGGGAGTACTACTGCCTCTCCACATGCTTTCTAGATTCTCTTTCAGTTCTTGGTATTTGTCCACCTTCTCACATTCCTTCTTGATGTTGTGGTCACAGGGTATTGCCACATGCACTACAACTGGAGTCTTCTGTTCTTTTTTAACCACCATAATGTCGGGCTGGTTGTCCAGTACTTGCTTGTCTGTCTGGATCTGAAAGTCTCACAGGATCCTAGCCCTGTCATTCTCAACTACCCTTTATGGTATCTCCCATGAACGTAAGCAGCTGCAGCCCATAATTTATGCAGATATTTTGATATACAATACCAGAAACCTGGTTGTGCCTCTCAGTGTATGTGGTCTCTGCTAACAGCTTGATCCAGCTACTACAGGCTCCCTTGTTGATTTATATATAATAGAATGTAGTTGAATTGTCTAACCTCACTTCAATCCACCAGTTCTTAAATTTTGTTGAAAATAGTGAAGCACTTTCAGGACTGCCTATAGTGCCTTGAAATTTGATGAGTGGAGTCTGTTCCTTTGATTCCAGAAGCCCTTTGTTATAATTAGTGTTCTCCCTATCCCGGGCCTAACTTGCCTTTTGTAAATACTGTGCAATGGACTAGCTCAGAGGACTTCTAATCCATAACCCCTTAAGAACACAGCTTCTGGAAGAAAAGGGAATCATGACGGAATATTTCCGTCATGTGTACTTAAGCGGATAAAGAAGCTTTATTGTAGGTTGTGACAGATTCATCTGTATTGCTGGTTCGTCTGTTACCCTTTGTTTTCGCTGGATTTCCTGTCCGTATGCCCCTGTTCGTGTGATTACAAAATACCGATTGAAACTACCGAACGAACGACCACCCAGGAGAGGAGTGTGCTGCTGGTTAACCTCTTGGCCCCAATTAGAATGTTGTGGTTAACCGCAGACACCTCTCCATTCCATTCGTACGGGTGGTCATCGTTCGCATGCCGACCATGAGGCGGCGGCCATTTTGGGACACGAGGAAGCGTAGCGGTGTTCGGTACAAATTCTATGGAACTAAAAACGGACACTTTAATCTACCGAACACCGCTGGAAGCTGCTGCCCACCTTCTATTTCGGCGAGGCGCACGAACGCCGGTCTGTTCGGGAGTTTTATACATTTGAATGGACCTTTACCCAGATAGCCGTCCCATGGAGTCATTCGTATACCGAAGGACTGGTGAAAGACTTTGACTCATGGCGATTCGACTAGATACATCGGATCTGAGCGCTATTCGGTAGAAATATGCACTCAGATCCAGGCTGTCTGGGGATACGTTACACAAACTATATTCATTCGGTATTTCTTCAGTTATATATTTTAATGTATTTTCCTTACTGTATTTTAAAATGGCGATTGTCTCTATCCTGGGAGATAATTAGGTTTCTTCCTAATTATCTCCGGGGTAGAGAAGAAGGGTTTATGGGTAAAATGGGAAGAGCTTATATTGAAGCCACTGCGATTGGCTACTGTCCAATATGTTTTACAGTCTTCCACAAGGTCCCCTCGGGGAGTGTCCACCTTGTGGAGACCTGCATAAATACCGGGCAGGTAGCCCCCATTAAACAGATCCTGATTTGACCCTCAAGACGGAGCTTGGTCTTGTTTGTGAGGGAATTATTACTGGGACAGCGCTTTCGTTATTTCTAGCTGTGGAAGGCGTTCGACTGTTTTGCTGATCGGGAGTTGCCGTGTTCGTGAACTTCGTTCGGGAGTTTGGCGGTCGGCTGGATAGAAACTGCATTTCTGGAGAGGGGGATTATTCACTAAACGGCGGCTTCATCTACCTGGCGGTGAGTGTCGTAACATAGGTGAATGCTAGATTTCCATGACAGAATCCAGGAAATTAAAAGAGTTAGCAAGCTAAACTGCTTTAGGTGTGTGGATTGTTCCTTTATATGAAAAACCTTCACAGATAGATCTCATAAATTATATAGATCAACTTTGATCAAACCTCACTTTCTAATCATGAGCTAACCCTAGAATTACAAAGCTATTTTAGACGTTGAGATTTCAATTTATGTGGAAGTAATTGTATTCCAATAACCCCCTCTATAGGCAATGACAGTGATGGATATTTATAACGTTCCTAGGTGCATTGTGATTTCCTTTGACATAGCATTTTTTCACTGGTAGGGTGCTTGTTACATTATAAATACTTTCTTTGTGTTGTTTGATTCTTGTTAGTGTATCCGTTCATCAGGCAGGAACCTTCAATTTGTTTCTGAAGGCTTTCTTTTTGTTTAGATAATGCCAGCATGCCCTAGGCTCTGTCCTCTAGTTCCATATAAACTCACTTTTGATGTTTTGGTGTAACCCATTCATGATGACCAAAGTACTCTTTAGCATTAGATTTGTTACATAGTTCAGAATTATTTTCCATACCATTTGTAAACACCCTTACGCTGTCCCTTCAATCAATTTCAACAATACATTCACTCAAAATATTCTCGTTCATTTACTGTTCTCTTTCCTGAAGCTGGAAAATAATTCAACCACAGCTTGACACGGAAACTGTTAGATGCAATTTGCAATAGGCTGTGTCATTGCAATCATTTTCAAAATATTTCCTTGGTAGCTCTCCTTTACTATCTAAGATACAAAATATTTGATATCTAGGAAATACGATATATGTATGCAGTATACTCTGTGTTCCTTTGCATTTGGACAGCAGCACTTTTTATTGCCTTGTATTTTTATTACATACTACTACATTCACTATTCCATAATGTTTGGTGTAATCATGTCAAAAGGGTATTTAGTTTCTACATTGATTGTTGATGTAAATTAAAGATGACTGGAATCACCCGCTTGCAGTTGTGTTTCATTTCAAATTTAATGTTCAGGTGTACAAAGCCAAAACACCAACATTTGAAACACTGTCCATACACACATGGATGATGTTGTATATTAATAGTATTGATGTCTGACAGAACCACCAACTTACCAGCATCATAGTAGAACAGTTTCATGGTCAGCGATATATCACTGGGTAGAGGTCCCAGATTGTGCATCAAAAGGAAAAGTTTACGGATTAGACCCATTGATGCACTTTTAATGCCACCCATTGTGACATTTTTCAAAAGGGGAATTCTGTCACTAAAAGATAAGTATTGAAATAGTTATCACTTGTACAAAATACAAAGCAATTAGAGGGACACTATAGTCACCTGAACAACTTTAGCTTAATGAAGCTGTTTTGGTGTATAGAACATGCCTTTGCAGCCTCACTGCTCAATCCTCTTCCATTTAGGAGTTAAATCCTTTTGTTTATGAACCCTAGTCCCACCTCCCTGCATGTGACTTGCACAGCCTTCCATAAACAATTCCTGTAAAGAGAGCCCTATTTAGGCTTTCTTTATTGCAAGTTCTGTTTAATTAAGATTTTCTTATACCCTGTTATGTTAATAGCTTGCTAGTCCCTGCAAGAGCCTCCTGTATGTGATTAAAGTTCAATTTAGAGATTGAGATACAATTACTTAAGGTAAATTACATCTGTTTGAAAGTGAAACCAGTTTTTTTTTCATGCAGGCTCTGTCAATCATAGCCAGGGGAGGTGTGGCTAGGGCTGCATAAACAGAAACAAAGTGATTTAACTCCTAAATGACAGTGAATTGAGCAGTGAAATTGCCGGGGAATGATCTATACACTAAAACTGCTTTATTTAGCTAAAGTAATTTAGGTGACTATAGTGTTCCTTTAAGATTAATTTAAAAACTAACACTCTATGCAGAATAACCACTAAGTAGTCAAACCATTATAGACCACTTTGAGTTATTACCTAAGGTCTCTTCTCAGCCACCAGTAGAGCTATAAGCTCCTGTTTAGGAGCTCACCTTAGCTCTCCTGGGTTATGACCTGCACCGAAAAGCTTTTCTTAGACACAGCTTCTGAAGGCTAAAGGTTAGGCAGGGAGCAGTGCCTGGTGGACCCCATTTAAGAAGTCAAACCATTAAAAGACCGGCTTTTATTGTGTACTTAAATGGCATTATGTTACCAAGTATGATATTCATGTTGGCTTCTGCGCAAGCCCAAACGTCAATGTATGCTTGCCATGCCTATCGAGTGAAAAAAAAGAATAATAAAACCATTCTGACACAGTTTATTTATATTGGGAAACTCCAAGGCACTCTTGGCACTATAACCAATACAGCATGTGGTACTAGTTTTACTGCTTGGAGCGTTCCTTTTAGGGACAATTATATTACTTGGTAGCATCATTATCTGCTCACCAAGACCTTATCCCATTGTGCTGCATCCTGCTTATATGGTACCAGCAGGCCTACACAGCTCTGTTGACATTAAATGAATAATATACTTTAAAGAAGACATTTTTTTTATAACAGCATAGATATATTGTCATTGGTCCTGAAGGGGACACTCTGGGCACTCCAGATGTTCTGGACTACATGTCTCCTAATGCTTTTCAAGTATTATTGCTTCAAGACCATTAGAAAAGATGTAGTCCACAACATCTGGAGTCCCCTAATGTTGTTGTTCTTCTGGTCATTGTTAAAACATTTTGGAATGGTTTAAGCCTGAACAAGTGTCTCCAGGCCCCGCTGAAGGTATGGCTAACCAGGGCTTATTATTTAAAGTCCTACACTACTAGCCAGTCCTTAAGTTACTTCCCACAGCAATCCTGGAGTACACATGGCAAACTCACTAGGAGAGTAGTTCTACCTACCAGGCTGTTGGCAAGCAGAAATGTTATGCCTTGATGTAATCATACCAGCATTGCGCAACTGTGATAGACTGAGATTGGCCATGCTTTAGCCACTATTTAGCCTCATTAGCCCAAGCAGCATAGAGGGTCGGGTCTGCAGGAACCTGGAGACCCTAATTCAGTGTTAAACCATTTAAAAACAGTTTAACCATGAGCAGAGGGATGGCATCAGGTGATTGCAGGTGCTAGAACCATTTCAATGAGATAAAGTGGTTTTAGCACCTACGGTGTCCCTTTATTGGGTTCCAAATGTAACAGTATCCTATCCCTCTTTCTGACACCTCAAGGGTTAGTGCGTAGACATTTACGTTCTTCATCTACAAATAGACATAAGAAAATCAGTCTACAGCTGTCTGCCTTGGCTTTTTCACTGCTTTATATTTAGGAAAGTTACTGGTGTTTTTACAATTTTTACAATTAAGTAAGAATTCGAAAATGATCATCAGTAAAGGAGTTAAATATTACAATATAGATCTTCTCTTCCCAACTATTCTATACCAAAGGAGTGGAACGTTACATTTCTCAGCAGTTAAAATATAGTTTTTCATTATATGCAAAATTGGTTGATAATATAAGATTAATCTATTTTGATATTGGAAATACAAATGTTAGCAAATCATAAATAAATATATGCAAACACTAAGACCAGCAGCACTGTCCTGCATATACGGTGATTATCTACAAGTACCAATATATATCTTCTATACAAATGTGATTTTTCCATTACCTGGCAATATGCATCTGAGGTCCCTTGGGTGTGTATACAAATTTAAACTGGTATGATTCAATCAAGCTCTAAAAACATTAAAATAATTTAATATTTTACTATTTATATTTGCATTCATAAAATCAGAATATTTGAAAATAATATATAAAGATTTTTACATATTTTATTTACCAGTAAATGTCAAAGAACATGAAATTATTCTAATTATATAACCATCAGGTTATGCTGTTTGCAGGGGGTATATTCACTTATAGCTGAAATTTGGATATAGAGTGAGATACCAGGAAATGCAATGGAAGTTTAGTAAACAGATTTGAGCTATTAGCGACAGCAGTGCAAATGTCGGGTAGTCTGCTGGCTATGGCACACACGTATCATTATTTATGTCATTTGTGCAACCACAATGCCAGGCTAAAGATGAGTTACAGACATTCAATCACTACTACCGAGGGTACCAGCGGTATTTGCTGACAATTTTAATCATTTTAAGGCATCCAAAGGTCATATCTCATCAGCTTTCACTTTCAATTATTTCCTCAGCAGACATGTAATATTAACATGTCTGTTATTTAATCACTGGAATGATGGTTTCATGAAATTCTAGACTTATTAAATATATTCTATATGCATTCTAAATAGAAGACTTGTATGCATGTTAAAAGGGTGGATGATTTTCCTAATCTAAGCGGGTTGATGGGGAATTAAAATTGCATTTACCTTTTGCTATCCATGTATCATGCCTAATGCATCCATTAAAAATGCATGGAAACCAAAATTGAGACATTAAACTGCAAACAATCACAGTGAACTTTTCTCAGTTTGCACCCTTATATTCTCACTGTGCCAGTTCCCACTTATAAACCCATTATGCCACTGTTAATATATTGGCACATTTTCTTCTGATTAAGACTAACTGTGACATAATAGAATGTGGGGGGAAATGGGAGCAGGTTTGTGCTTTATTTTTATACATAGACAATTCCACTAATTCAATCGGTGGGGGGGAGGGAACAAAAAAGCAACAAAAAAAAACATGAAAGTTTTGTTAAGATTGTTAAGGTACTGGTAAAATAAACACAAGAGGTAAACAGCGCTAAATAATGGCAATATACATACGAAGAGGAGATTGGCTTCTAATGTGTTTATATATATATATTAAAAAAAAAAATACAAGAGAAGAGACGAATAATGGTACAGTAAATACATTCAAATAGTAGTATATGAAAGCCAATAGAACACTCACACTTTATAGAGCTATGCAAGCTCTATATTTGTAAGCCTGGACGGTTTAATCCTTGTCTAAGGATATAATGTTGTCAGACAGCAAGGCTTAGTATCCAGAGTCCGTGCAAGGATTTTTGCCGCCCTAGGCAAACAAAAATCACAATGCCTGACCCATATGATCTGCCATATGAGCCAACGCCAGTGCTGCACACAGTGATTCCAATGCAGTACAGACAAGGACACAAACAGCAGGATAGTCAAGGGATAGCTGAAGTTAAAGGATGCCAGAGGTCAGGATTAATGAAGTGTAGCCGAAGTCAAGGGATGCCAGAGATCAGGATAAACAAAGACAGAAGCCGGGGTCTATATGGAGAATAAGTTTCAAGAGACTGGAGCACAGGAACTGAACACATGCAACAGGATCAAAGACTTGATAAAGTTCCCAGGATGAGGCCGTGTTTATATACCCGGCTGATGACTGATCTGAGTCAGGTGAAGCCCTTGCAATGACCACAGACGAAGTCTAGCCCCCAATGCTGCAGACATAGCCAGGAATAATAGGACTAGAACAGCTCACAAAAACAGAGCTGCTGTGACTCAAAGGCAGATAGCAAGTCCAGGACAGCAAAGTACCAAGGTTCAAACCCGTCGGGCACCCATGGGGCGGCCACGCCTGGCCGTCTGTATGGCACGGTGAGAACCCTGACACTATCCTCCTTCCCCCCCCGGTGTCCCTTAGTGGTCTCTCCTCCCCCCCGGTGTCCCTTAGTGGTCTCTCCCACCCCCCCAGTATCCCTTAGTGGTCTCTCCTTCCCTCCCGTGTCCTGTAGTGGTCTCTCCTCTCCCCCCCCATGTCCCTTAGTGGTCTCTCCTCCTCTCCCTCCCAACCAGTGTCCTTTAGTCCCATATCCCACACCTTCTCTGTTGTGTCTCCTACCTCTGGAAGCGTGGCCGGGCGGCGCGGACCACGGTACAGGAGCTTCTATTTCCTGTACCTGGCCGGACTGACAGGAAGTGCTAACTGAGGATGTATGCAGGAACCGGATCAGCAGCATGAACTGGATACAGGGTAAGTATTCAAAAGACTTGGTAAAAGTATTATTAAAAAAGTACTTTATTTAACCCCTTAAGGACACATGAGGGAAATATTCCGTCATGATTCCATTTTATTCCAGAAGTTGTGTCCTTAAGGGGTTAAAAGACAAAGATAAAACTAAAATGATTGAATAGAATATAAATAAAATAAGCCAGTCTTGTAAGACTATGTCATCAATATCCTATGTAAGCAGGATATTATCCTTTGATAATCCATTTTTATATATATACCATACCATTGGAGAGGCTTTCTGTTTCTCTTTCCATATTGCGGCTACATCCACCTGATACTAAGCCTTGCTGGCTGACACCATTATATTCTTAGATGAGGATTATACCGTCCAGGCCTACAAATATAGAGCTTGCATAGCTCTATAAAGTGTGATTGTTCTATTGGCTTTCATATCCTACTATTTGTATTTATTTACTGTACTGTACCAAATATTTGTCTCTTGTCATCTCCTTGTTTTAAAGATATACACATTAGATGCCAATCTCCTCTTCATATGTATATTGTCATTTTTTAGCGCTGTGCAACTTTTTGGGTTTTTTTGGGTCTATTTTGCACAAGGGTAAGGGAACTCCTTGTTGGTTAATTGCAGCTATACTATTGGACAGTGAGGGCCTATTTCTGTATTACTTTGTATACAGTAGCAGGGAGTTAGGTTGAGCAGGGGTTGGGCAGATAACAGAATAGGATGACACAACATGGCCGCTCAGACAGACAAAAAAAAAATGACATTTTCTCAAAAGAAAACAATATACATAATTTAAAAGATGACTGTTACGCTTCTTAAACTTTTTTTTTTAACGTTAAAATGCCCTATTGAGCATTATGAATTGCCCCATCTAAAAAAGCTGCAAAAAAGACTTATAGAATTACCTTGAATCCAGCACAGTGCAAAGCTCCCAGCACCTATTTACCTACTCTGTCTGACCTCAGCAGGGGGTCTTGTGTGGTCCAATCACATGATTCTCATAGAGAAGTCTATGATTGGACCATTTGCTGGATCAAAATGCATTACTCACAATCTGAGCCCACAAAGGAAGGGAGTGGGGATGAGCAAGCGAGGGCAAAAATAGACTGCAAAACTTAATGCAGGGAGGCATGAAGCTGGGAGGGCTGAATAAATGAAGGGAAGGTACATTTAGGTGCTCCAGGCTTGTCATGTGTGACAATGTGTAACAAGCCCTCAGCAGTTGAAACGCTGAACATACAAACTCCTACAACCATGATCATTTCAAATCACTGAAATGGGCATGATGGTTAGAGTTTAAAAGAAAAAAATCACTAAATTTTATTAAATGCAATACACTTTTTAAAAATGAGATGTGAAATTTTGTGAGAGGGTAAAGGGTTACTCCAAGTTTCATAACCACTAGTGCCCACTGTAGTGCTAATGATGCCAGGAGTACTCTGGCATCGGTTTACGGAAATTGGTGAACCATTTTGCAAACTTTTTCACTCTTATCTAGGTCCCTCCAGGAGCTGAACCTCCTCTCAATCCAAGTGAGATGCACAGCAGCAGGAGCCAGATGCCCATCCAGCTGGTCATTCATTGGCTGAGAGTGTCAGCTGAACGCAATGCTTTCAGCCAATCAATGACGCTCTGCAAAGAATATGCACAGAATTGATATTAGCATGTACAACATTTAGGATTACATTTTTATTTGAGACAAGAAGTACAAAGGTATAAATCATAGAATTAATATTGTCTAAATAAAAAAATAAATTCAAAAATTCAAAAGTGTAGTCATGCAATAAAAAGGCACGTATACATTACATTTGGGTCCTCAGTATTCTTGTAAACCTGGAGAATGAATCAGAAATAAATATATGAAAAATCGTTGATTATTCTGTGTGTGCTATCTATAGATATAAAAATGTTTAACACATTTATCTTAATTGCATTTGCAATAATTAGATTCTTGCAGATTATTGGCAAAGAGAAAAACACCTGGTTATCCTGGTCCTCCCTAAAACCGCACTACTCACTCTTCTGAGAAGTTTGTATATGGTAACCTAAAATTTAGTCAACTAAAATGTATGCGTGCTAGCTCTGTCTAGGGCTACCCGAAGCTTATGTGCCAGGTCTGCGTGCCATTTCCTTTGTAGGACCATTGCCTGGTGATATATATGGTAGTCAGACAATGCCAGGCCTCCCCAAGCTCTCGTGGTATATGCCATGGTGGAAGTATAACGTGCATGGGGAAAACCTTTAGCAGAGTCAAGCTTAAGGAGATCTTACCAGTGTGGGGCCCTTTGTACGTTTGCCTGGGGTGCACACATGCTACTCAAAAAAGGAGTAAAGTTCAAAAGTGAGTAGAGTGGATCACCTAACCACGTTCCGCAATCACTCTACAATGGGCTGTAGGATTCTTTATGGGGCAGTCAGGAAAGCCTTAAGAAAGAAATAAGGAATGAGCAAGAGGAAGAGACAGAAAGAAAAATTAAGAGAAGTAGCAAAGGGGTATCGGACGACCTACAGGGCAGTCCACTCCGATAGGTTCATGATAAATTTGTCCCCTACCCAGATTTGACAGAGAAGGCTTACTGGTAACTCTCCTCGCTCACTTGGTCTGCAGAGCCAGTATGTCTGCGTGAGAGCATTTTTTTAGTACAGGGAATCATATGATTTATTGTTGAATAGGGCTTGTGCAGGGAGTCTTCCAGCACAAGTTATTTGTTGGTTTGTCTATTTTATTCTCAGCTCTTATATATTATTTTGTTTTATTCGTGGCTATACTATAATGTAGCCATCAAAGCTGCTCCAGCAGTTGTCTACTAGTCTGTTTGAGCTAGTTAATATACCATCTCACACTTTAAAACTCTGATATACTTTGTTGTTGTTTTTAAACGGATCTATTTATCTTCAACCTGTTTAATAATCATCTTGCAATAGGCAATAGAAGTCAAGTATAAGTCTTTCCAGATAACAGAAATCTGGTAAGTTAATAAATTGTGAGCAGGATATTACAGAGGTATTTGGATAAATAAGGAGCAGATTAGATTGAATGTACATAAATGCAAAGTTATGCACAAGCAACCTATACCAAGTTATCGAAAAACAATAAAGGAGAACGATTTGGGAATAGTTATAGACAACTATGTGCAATGTCAGGTACAAGCTGCTAAGACCAATGAGGTATTGACATGCATAAGAAAGGGTATTAATTTAAGTGACAAAAATATTTTTTTTTTTTATAATTAGTGAGTGCCAGTAGCACCGGCAATGCAGTAATCCTAGCAACCACAGTAGATGCTATGCTGGAGAGGGCCTTTAGGAGAATTCTCCTGCTCTCATTATCAATCAGCACAGAGATCTATGCCATGCCATGCTTCTGAAGGATTGAAACCTGGGAAGGGAACTATATTTTTTTAACATAACATTTTGTAATTGTCTCATTTATTGTTAAATTCCCCCCGTTTATAATATTATAAAGCGCTATGTAATAAGTAGAGGCTATATAAATGTCAAAAATCATAACATTCATAGATTTTTCCCTTGTCTATATATTTTTTATAAATTCTGCTACAATGTAAGATGATATTAAATGTATTAGTACATTTAAAAGTTGTGTGTACCATGATAGCTAAGCATCATGGGATACACTCTACTCCTTTGCAAAGCTATAAAAACACCAGGATTAGGCACTTCGTGATTTGGTGACAACATAGTTTTGTGAGTTTTGGAAGAACTCAAAATATGATTCTCTTTTTATGTTTGAGTATTTTAAACGTATTTTTATGCAATATTTAAATGCACTATTTATATAAAACATTACATAAAGGAGGTAAACCTTTTAACAAAAATCACTTCATTGATTTCTTTATACATCAAAATCAGACATGAAGGGGGCGTGGCTTGCCGCCGGAGCTGAGCGGACGCATGTAGGAGCAGCCCCCTGCATAGAAACCAGAACGGGCAATAAATAAGCGGTATACCGAGCAATACTCATACCAATTACCAGGGGCTCATGTGCGCAATGGCTCACAGACCCAAATCCAAAACGGGGAAATCGGAACGAGCCTCCTTTTTTGGCGCGAAAATCGCGGCCTCCAAACAGCATGAGGGAGAAGAGCCTGTACAAGATGGCGGCGACCCGGGACCGCAGGAACACTCCCTTTCACCTCGCTCATCTCCCACACAGAGCGCAGAGGATCAACCACTTACAGTGAGGGGAATGCGTTCACTAATGTCAGAATTCTCAGACACCATACAGAAAAACATGCAGCTGCAAATACAAGCTATGACAGCAGACTTACAGAAGGATATACAAGATATTGGGACTCGCACAGCTCAAATGGAGTCTAAGATGGACGAATATGCGGAGGCACACAATAGCTTGGCAGATAAACTCCAGGAATTTGAAGTAAGTCTGGAAGCGCACAGGCTAAAACTGGCTGACATAGAAGACAGGGCGAGGAGAAACAATCTCCGGTTCAGGGGAATGCCGGAAACCGTTACCAACGCCGAACTGCACAATTACTTGTCAGACATGTTCCAGTGCCTGGCCCCAGAAATTCATCCAGACCAATTGATTATAGACAGAGCACACAGGCTACGCAGGCCGAAACACCTGCCGCAAACGGCTGAGAGAGATGTAATTGCCAGGATACATTTTTTCCACGCAAAAGACAAGCTCATGCGAGTCAGCAGGAATTCGGGCATGCCGAAAGAATACAGCACCATCAGAATCTTCGCGGACCTGTCAGCAGATACGCTGCAGTTCAGGAAGTCAATGTCGCCGATCACCTCCATTCTACGTGAGCACAACCTGAGCTACCGATGGGGATTCCCTGCTAAGCTTTTGATCTCCCATCAAGGAGTGATACATTCTATTACCAACCTGAAGCAAGGTATCCAGAAAATGGGTGACTGGGGGCTCCCTATGCTGACACCAGAACCAGCTAAGACAACAGCGATGCCAAGGAAGTCGCCAGAATGGACTGTAAAATGAAAAGACTGGTAACCTTCGGTAGTATACGTAACTAACCATGCCCTATAGCGCAAACCTAGATGTTATATTATTAGTTCATATTAGAGATAGTTAAGTTTACCGCATAAATGTAGCGGGTACAGAATGGTTTCCTTAAACTAAGCAGCAAGGATTGCTGGCTAGAGTATGACGCTGCCCAGCAAGCCTTTAATAGCCCTCTCACGGGGGCACGAGCACAAATGTTGACAAACTGTAGAATGATACTGTGTAGAGTGGCTGGGTTTAGTTAGTTGTTAAGCTACTTCGAAGTTTTGTGTTTATTTTTAATGACTTACTGATAGTATAACTATGCGTACGACTGCCCCTCTGGTTTCATGGTGATAGTTCACTATGAGTAGAAACTTCACCACCACTACCCCCACCAGACGTACTTACTCAATAAGTAAGGTCACACGGCCCCACATCTTGGAGCCGAGTTGGGTGTGTCACCCACCAGTTCTCCCCAACCCACCCTGCCCACCTACTTACCCTTCGCCCCACCCTACACCAGCTCCCCCTAGTCACGATCCATACAGCTCAAAAAAACAACGACATAGCAGATGCGTACTGCTGGAGTACGTCACTGTTTTTACACCTCCTACGGTACCAATGACCAAGACTAAAAGTGCCCCTAACTTACCTACTCCACAATGGTTAAAATTCTAACATACAATGTAAAAGGACTAAACTCCCCGGGGAAGCGCAGGCTACTACTGCAGGATCTTAAGAAAGGCGAGATAGATATAGCGTGTGTTCAGGAAACGCACTTCATGAAAACTCGAACCCCTTAAATTTTCACTAAACTATATCCCACACAGTACCATGCCCTCTCAGACAACAAGACAAAAGGAGTTTCCATCCTCATACACAAAGACATAGCGTTCCAGGAGCAAGCAATTTCTATAGATACCCAGGGAAGGTATATTGTTCTTGTGGGTTTATTCAATAATGTTCAATACACGTTGTCCTCGGTATATTTCCCCAACACTGGAGCGGAGAGGTTCCTAAGACACATACTTAATGAAATAGATAAACTGAGGCAGGGAGGATTAGTGATGTGTGGAGACTTTAATTTCATAACGTCTCCGGACATAGACTCAACCGCTACCCTGAAGGGGACTAGGCGAGCGAGTTTAGTTTCCACGAGCAAGAAACTGTCCAAAATACTTTTACTACACAATCTATACGATAGTTGGAGAGTACTTCACCCTAACGAACGAGATTACTCATTTCACTCTAAGGTACACAACACGTATACTCGCATTGACACCTTCTATGTGGACCAGTCCACACTGGCGCAGATCTCAGGGTGTGTTATGGGAGACATAACTTGGTCGGACCATAGTCCAGTGACCCTGGAGTTGTATGACAAGTTTCAGTTCAAAGGTAGAGGGAATTGGAGACTAAATGAATCCTTACTAAAGGATAAAACCTTTGTAGATCAAGTGGCAGTAGAACTCTCCCATTACTTCCAAACAAACTCTGAGGGGGAGACCCCTGATGTCATGGTATGGTCGGCACACAAAGCTGTAGTAAGAGGCCTGTTTATTAGATGCTCCTCATATCTTAAAAAGAAAAACAAACAATTGACTATAATGGACTGCCAAAAACAACTGGCAATTATCACTGCCCAAAATAAGCAGGCACCTTCACACACTCTCGCACAACAAATCCAAACCCTAACGGACAAACTTACCGAAATGCACGCAGCCAAAACGTCCTACTTCCTACTTAAAATGAAAGCGACTCATTACCACCACAGTGGGAAAGCTAATAAACAATTAGCTCATAGGCTGAGAGAGAAATTGGCGGCCGCCAAAGTAGCATACATACAGGGCCCGGACGGCACCAAAATACAAAACCCATTAGATATTACTCAGGAGTTTGCAAAATACTACTCCGACCTGTACAATCTAGGAGACAAACCCGAAATCCCCCCCATACAAGACGACAACATTACGGAGTTTCTGTCCCACCTTAACCTCCCACAAATTAATCAATCCCACTTGGATTTATTACTCCAACCTATTACACTGAGGGAAGTGCTCCATACGATACAACACCTTCCACCAGGCAAATCCCCAGGAGCAGATGGCCTCCCCAACCTGTATTACAAGACATTTGCGGAGGTACTGGGTCCCAGATTAGTTAAAGTATTCCAGGTAGCCACAGAGAAAGGGGAGCTTCCTCCCGAAATGCTACTAGCGACCATAGTTACGTTGCCAAAGCCAGGAAAGCCCCCAGATCAATGTAAGAATTTCAGGCCAATATCACTGCTAAATACGGATGCTAAGATATACGCAAAGATCTTGGCCTCCAAATTGGGCAAAATACTACCCTCAATCATCCATGACGACCAAACGGGGTTTGTGATGGGGAGGCAGGGGCTCGATAATACCCGGAAACTGTCCCTGCTCATGGAGCAGATGCGGAGGTCTGGCCCAGGTGGGTTGCTCTTAGCCTTAGATGCTGAAAAAGCGTTCGACCGCCTGGGCTGGCCCTTCCTACGGCAAGTTCTCTCAGTGTTTGGATCCCCACAACAGTTCATTCAACAAGTATTCGCTCTATACTGTCACCCTAGGGCCCAGGTACTACAGGCGGGATTTAAATCAGATCCATTCAAAATTACGAATGGCACCCGACAGGGGTGCCCTTTGTCACCCCTGCTGTACGTGCTGGCCTTGGAGCCACTACTAGTTGCCATCAGATCACATCCAGACATAGAAGGCATCATCTGGCAGGACCAGCATATTAAGATCAGCGCATTTGCCGACGATATCCTGCTATATGTCTGCCAACCAGATAAATCCCTCCCTCACATCATGAATCTCATTGAAAAATATGGGGAACTCTCCTACTATTCCCTAAACGCAACCAAGACTCAGGCATTGGGGCTGCGCTTGGACCCACAGGTCCTAGCGCAACTACGCAAAGATTACCAATTCGAGTGGAGAAAAAACTATATAAAATACTTAGGCCTGACGTTCACTAGGAAGACCTCTGACATGTTCCCTACCAACTACACCAGAGTCTGGACTGAGTGCTTGGCACTGTTACGGGGATGGGGCAAACTGTTCCTTACTTGGACGGAGCGCATTGTCGCAATTAAAATGACTATATTACCGAAACTACAATATGTGTTTAGGAACCTTCCCTTGAAAGTTCCACAATCCTATTTTAAAACCATACAGTCTACGCTCCTCCAGTTTATCTGGGGCAAGGGACGGGCAAGGGTCTCTAGCAAACTATTGTCGGCCCCCATAGGGCATGGAGGAATGGCATTTCCGAATGTAAAATACTACTACCAGGCTGCGGTTCTGGCGCCCCTAATGAACCACCTAGCTAAAGATAACCGACCACAATGGGTGACCTTAGAAAACCTAGCTATTAAACCTTTCCTAGTCACCAACCTGTTATGGCTACCTAACAGGAGCAGGCCAACCATCCCGCTGATACCCCTACAACTTCAACTAGCACTGCAAATTTGGGACTTACACAGAACGAAGTTCGAAACGGCCCACCCCCTCTCAATGGCGACGCCCATCGAGGCCATCACGTACTGCATCCCCACCTTTCATGCCACTCCATGGAAAGAGAAAGGTATCTCTTTCCTGTCCCAAGCCTTTGACCCAGGTGGACTGATGAGCTTCGAGCGTCTCAATAGAACCTACAATATCCCACACACATCACAATACTCATACATCCAACTTAAATCCTTCTTGCACAAACTCAACAAGGATAACAAGGTAGAATCTAATAAACAGGGAGAACCCTCAACCTGGGAACAAATAAGTATCACGGGTAAAATTCCTCCAACTTATAAGCCACTCTCAAGTTGCTATAAACTAATTCTGCCATACCAGTCCCTATCTGGCTCAACACAGGCAAGCCAATGGGAAATGGACCTTCAGACCTCCATCACTGACAATCAGTGGAAAACTCTCACATCCTTCGTTAGGAAGCTGGTCAAATCTGCCTCCCTCATGGAGCAATACCAGAAAACAATATACAGGTGGTATATGGTGCCGCTTCGCTTACATAAATTGTATCCCCACTCGTCTTCGACGTGTTGGAGATGCAAACAAGAGGCGGGGTCAGTCCTTCACATATGGTGGCGTTGCCCACGATTAATTAGGTACTGGGGCGATGTCCAAAAACTCATTGCTGACACCACAAACGTCAAACTATCTCTTGAGCCCATAACCTTTTTGCTACTGGATGTCCCCAAGGAAGTACCCATACAGTCGAGAAAACTAATATATCATATCCTGCTGACCGCACAAAAACTAATAGCTAAATCCTGGAAGACAAATGGGGCCCCTAATATCCCAAACCTTATTCAGGATAACCAGGCAATTTATGAAACAAGTTTTTCCGGGATGCGTTCTGGCTCAAGCCGCCTTGGAGGAGCTTGGGACCAATGGCGCACCTGGAGAACGGCTAACCCACAACTCCTAGTCTAGCAGCACGTTGTAACGACCCAAGAGCAAACTGCAGGCCTAAATGGGCACGCCAGGGCTAGGATAGTCAGGCAGTGAGGAGCTAAGAGACAGACAGAATAGCATAAATTGAGGCTGGAAAAGTGGCTAGCTGGGGCGACTACCACGGAGAGGACCCCGACTATTGTGTAAAAATGAATCAACGTACGCAACTGTAAGCAATGTAACTGTGTAAACAATGTAAATGCATAACCCATCGTTAAACATGTGACTCATTGTATCGTGACTGTACTCCCTCCCCCCCCCCTCCATTCCTCCTCCTTCTTTTTTCTGTAACCCTCTCCCCTTCCCCCCTCCCATTTACGCTTGTGGAAAACCAATAAACTACAAATTTCAAAAAAATCAGACATGAAACTTTTCAAATATTTGAACAACAAACAATATAATACTGCTTAATTCATAAACACTTACTCCAAGTATTACCATTTGTAGCTGTGAGAAAATGAAACAAGAAAATTAATGTTTTACAGAATCATAGTATTACATATTCTTAACTTAAAATTCAAGCAATAATACATTTTATGTAATTTTTGTATGTTATAAAGCACTGTGTTTTTTTTAACAAATGTTAAGGAATAAAATTACATACACATACGTACATGTGTAAAAGCTACATTCTTTTACGCACTGCTTAATCCAATATGCCTAAATTATGCATATGAGGTTTTTGCAAATCAAGTAGACACAATACATAAAGTATACAATAGATTTAATTTTTTAGATATTGAAGAAGAAAGCAAAAATGGAGAATAAATATGTAAGATGAGTGAGGGAATTAAAATGGCACAATTCCGAGAAAGGGAATAATAAGCAGAGTGAAGTAGATGAGAAAATAATGAATAGGAAGAAAATTTTAATTAATGCAATTCAAACCATGTGCCCCGGAATTTAAATAAATTGTGCAATGACGATAGCAATACCATGATTATAGAAAAATATATATATTTGATCATAGGACAGTCTTCAGAATAGGAAGTGTGTATGTATAAACAGTGACAGAGTTTTTCACCAAAGTGTGAAATGTCTGAAACTGAACTGCAAATTTAGACTGAATTAAAAACAAAGCTGACTAGGGGAATTTTTTCCAATTAATTTATTTTGGCCTACATTTTAAATTCACTTTAAATCCCTGATAATTAAAACTTCAGTAAATAACCATGTGAGTATAAAAGAGAGAAAAGGTTGAAAATCGTATCTGTACTTATTGTTTTAGAGACTTGTAAGATGTATTTCATATACTGGAAAAGTAGGCTACTACAAGAGCTACAATGGTTCAGTTTTTTAGATGATGAAGTTGCAGGAGAGAAGTTTAGTTAGTGAGTTGTGGGGAGGGAAAGGTACTATCAGTTTCATTAATATGCCTTCTTGAAGAACTGAGATTTCATTGATTTTTTTAAAGGATTGAAAACTGGGTCACAGTCTAATGGTGGAGCAGAGAAAGAAGTTAAAAAAGAATAATGAAGCCCTACAGCAGGCATAGGCAACCTTCAGCACTGTAGATGTTTTGGACTACACCTCCCATGATGTTTTGCCAGCATTATGTGTGTAAGAGCATTATGGGGGATGTAGTCCACAACATCTGGCGTGCCGAAGGTTGCCTACCCCTGCCCTGGAGTATAGATGCAGATCGTCGGCCGAGCATAGATGATAGGTGGGAGTTTTGTAGAACTGTATAAAGATAATCAGGTTGCTGTAGCTGGAGTCGCCATTGCTTTATTAAGGCAAGCTAGACTTTTTTCCACTAGGAATGTATTACGTCACCAGTAGTTGTAGGCCCATGTAAGAATGCCTCTATGGGAATAAGGTGGAGTTTCTCATCCATCTATTTATGTGTTAGGCAGTCAATGGGTCCATGTCTGTGTGTGAAGGGGTTTTCTATCCTTGTCTGTGATGGTGAGGTCAGAGGCTCCCAGACTGTGTGTGTTGGGATCAGTGGTTTCATGTCTGTATGTGTAGGCGGGAGGATTGTAGACCTAGTCTGTAGGGGCTTTTATCCCTGCCTATGTGTAGGAAAGATCGGTGAACGGTGTGGGCGGCTCTGATTCATATGTGTGTTTGTGTGTTGGGGGGGTTTACTGTACTCGGTTACTTGCATCTCAGGATACAATGCTATTGCTAAATGAAAAGGGAGACATCATGGTCCTTGGTGTCTACCTATCACTGAGCACAGATAGCACTTTATTTAGCACCTTTGTTTCAATGGCCATGCAGTGGCGAGGATGTGATTTTTAGAGACGGATTTTAACCTCAAACAGATCGATATTTACCTTATCTGGATACCAGCACAGGACTGTCTGTCATTACAAGCCAGTGTATATACATATATAAATATATACTTTTATTTGATAAAATTATCCTTTTTACATAGGCTTATCTATAAATTTAAATGTATAGCTTAACTTTATGTAAATGTTAATTGGTATATGTAGATCAATGGTGTATTCTGGTTTTGTGCTGCCCTAACTTGATAAGACAAACATGCATACTTACGGAGAGAAATGCATACACACTCAATGACAGACGCACACTCACTCAGTGTCAGACACACACACTGGGACACACATATACTCACTGACAGATACACACTGACAAACACACATATACAACACTTACAGACATACATATATACACTCAGTGTCAGACATACACTAGCTGACTGACACACACTAACAGACATACACATTCACTGACAGACACATACTCTCTGTGACAGACTCGCATACACACACTGACAGACATGGATACACATGCTGAAACACGCATACACACACTGACGCATTCATACACACACTGACAGACACACACTAACACTCACTAACACACTCACTAACAGACACATTAACACTCTCACTGACAGACACACACTAATACACTCACTATTAGAACACACTAACACACTCACTAACAGATACATTGACACACTCACTAACAAACACATTAACACTCTCACTAACACACTCACTTACTGACACACACACTAACACACTCACTAACAGACACACACTCACTAACAGACACACACACTCACTAACAGACACACACACACACACTCACTAACAGGCACACTAACACATTCACAATTATTATTATTTTTAATTCAATCCACACAGCCTCCCTACCTTTGGGAGTGCTGTAGTGGATTCTTCCCTGGGGTCCAGTGGGGTTGCTGCTGGCTATGCTGGCAGGCAGGTCATATTGGAGGCAGAGAGGGAGCTTAGATCTCCCTGTTCAGTAACCTCGCGCGCCTCTTAGTGAGCCAGAATGACGTCATATTGTCAAAAATCTTGTAAAAATGCCTCCACGCATAACTGTGAATATTATCAACAATCAAATTATTTGACCCCTGATCAATCAGGCTTTTGTCCAAATCACTCAACTTTGACGCTCTCTTAAAAGTTTGCAATGACATCCAAATTGGCATGCAACAAGGAAACTTAACAAGAGCTATTTTCCTTGATCTTGCCAAGGCATTTGACACAGTAGACCATGGTATTCTTTTGCAAAAGCTTAAAAACTCAGGCATTGGTGATCGTTCGCTAACCTGGTTTTGATCGTATGTTTCAGACTGATTTCAATATGTGGCCATTTCTGATAGTGCTTCTCTCCCACTTCCAGTCACGTGTGGTGTTCTCCAAGGCTCCAAACTCGTCCCCCTGCTAGTCACATTATTTATAAATGTCTGCAAATCCTCACCTGTACACATATATGCAGACGACACTGTCATCTACGCTAGTAAACCCAAGCTACTGCAGCTTGAGGCTGTGCTCCAAAACCAATTCACAGAGGTAGAAAAGTGGATAGCGAATAACAAACTCTTCCTAAACACTGACAAAACCGTTACAGTGATCTTTGGAACTGTACCTAAATTACGTAAACTACGAAATCAACAATTGTGTATCAGAACAAGTTCAAACAGCATACTGAGAGCTGTCTGCTCTTTTTAATATCTAGGTATGTTGCTAGACCCCAATCTATCCTTTGGTTTTCACATTGAAAAAATCTCTTCAAAACTTTACCCAAAACTAGGTGCCCTGTACAGAAACAAATCCTACCTAAGCCCTACAGTAAGGAAACGGATAGTGCAACAAATGCTAATGCCGGTCATTGATTATGGGGATGTAGTGTATGCACCCACACTGCAAACTCACCTTAATAAACTTAATACGTTATATAATTCATTCTGCCGCTTTGTACTAGAATGTAATTTCTTTACACAATCAAATCTTCATTCAATCTAAAATCGTTTAAGAGATCTATGACAATATACTTCAGCACAGAATGCACCTATCATGGTTGAATATATTTATTACCTGTTATGTATTAAATATATTAATGTGTGTATGTTTATATATATTTATAGTCTGTATATTGTATTTTTGTAATATTGTATCCTATTGTAACAATGCAATGTTTTGTGGACCCAGGACTTAAAAACGAGAGAAATCTCAATGTATCCATCCTGGTAAAATATTTTATAAATAAATATTCCGGCTCTGGCGCACAAGGGAGCTGAAAAGGGGAGAGCTCAGGGGACCGTGCTCCCTTGCGCGCCCCGCAACATTAGCCATTCCAGCTTCGGGGGGTCCCTGCAGTGGCCAACCGGTGAGCTCCTGGGCCCCCCAGGACAAGAGGCTGGCAAGGCATTTGCTAGGGCGATTGAGGGGCGGCTTTTTTGCCGCGCCCCCTGAAAGTGCCGTCCAAGGCAAATGCTTTTTCAGCCTCGTGGTAAATACACAGCTGATGTAGACTTTAATTCCAGGTAAAGTCTTTTTTTTGGAGGAATTTACCCTCCTTATATTCAGATAATCCTTTTTTCACTTGGTCTCTGCATTAGCTGTGGTACCTAATATATCTTTCTCTGCTCTCTAACCTATGCTATCTGGTTCTGATTGATGGCTATTGCTAACTACATTCTATATATTTTTCAAATTGTATTTACCACTATTCTCAAATTTAATTGTATCAGAGACGGGGATACAGTATAATGTTGTAAAGAGCAGCCACTGCTTAATAAGATTACTAACTTCAGAAATATCAGTAGTAAGTTATCCCGGTAGACTGCTATACTTACGTATTTTTTTTCTAATGCATCAAAGCATCCTTGCATCCTATAACAATAAATGTGCATTAATTTGTGTGTCTATGCACTGATCGCTTGCAAAGCTGAAAGCACATACCAGATATGAAACAAACTATATGAGGTTCACCATTTCAAATTAACAAGTTGATAGACCAACACTTCAAGTATAACTACATGCTACAAGACTTGACAGCGTTTTAAAAAAAAAAACACACACACTTTGAAATTACAATTCAGACAAATATTCCACCAACTGGGAAAAATGGTTCCTAAATCTCAGAAATCTCTACTCTATGATCTAGATCAGCAATAAATACCATTACAAGAACAGCACTGCTGCTTGTAGGGCTTTTTATTTTTTGTAAAGACTCCATAAAATGACATATCAGTTTGTGCCTAGGTGTCCCAGGGTAGAGCTGAAAAGGACCTTAAACTATCACTCACACCTTGGTGCTGCCTTTTTCTTGACAATTCTTTGGCCATCACTTGTACTCTGCAACATGTGTGAAAATACAGTAAGGGGTATATAAAGAATATTGTAGGATAATCCATAAATAATCTTGCTCATGCCCAATAAAGTACCACAGGCTTAAACTGCACATTACATAAGATGATACCTGTTCCTATCACAGTTGATGGGAAATTTCTATGGAAACAAAGAATGTCAGTTACATAAGACAATGTTGTCTCTACACTGTCTTGTGTATATATTTTGATTGTGATGGAATTGCAAAGAAATCCCAACACTGTTAAAAATAGATTTATGAAATGTTTAAAAGTGGCATAGCTGCTTTGACACTTATTTAAATGCATGAAGTTTTCATTGAATAAACACAATGAAACAACGATGTACACAGAGGTATGTAGGTATATAAAGACTGAAAAGTAGAACAATTGAAACATAGTAAATTATTAGTTAATCTAGTTAATGTTTTATAATATCACTTAAAATCGTGTCATTCAAATTAACTTTATTATATTAATTCACAATATCATAAAAATGACTCACCATTGTATTATCTTTGATGCACGTGGGTGTGAACTATTTTCTCGCAAAATGTTTATGCCCAGGTCTAGAATTGTAGAACATGAAGAAAAGTGGCACTTAAGCCTGGATTTTTTCTCAATTCGTTGCATAAATGAAGTGTGAAAAACATGCAAAAACTAATGAAATGTTATACAATACTCACTTTTAAAGTTTATTGGTTCAGTGGAAATCCCAACAAACTGCAGCATCAGCATTATTTATTCTAAGAAACAGCATGGCCAATCAAGAACCTCTCTTTCTAATTTATGTTGTTTGAGCTGTTGGGTATGTCTAACAGAGAACTGTAAGGCTTTAACGTGCACATTTAGTCCTGAAAATAATGGGGGGTTTTTGTGCTATAATATTAAAACCTAGGTCTAGTTTCCAGTGGGGTACCTCAGGGAACTGTATATGGACCCATTCCCTTTAATATTTTTATTAGGGAAATTGCAGAAGGTCTTGATGGTAAGGTATGTCTTTTTGCTGATGATACTAAGATATGTAACAGGGTTGATGTTCAAGGCGGGATAAGCCAAATGGCAAATGATTTAGGTAAACTAGAAAAATGGTCAGAATTGTGGCAATTAACATTTAATGATGGTAAGTGCAAGATACTGCATCTTGGACATAAACATCCAAGGGGAGAGTATAGAATATTTGATAGAGTCATAACCTTAACATCTGAGGAAAGGGGTTTAGGGGTAATTCTTTCAATTGACTTAAAAGTAGGAAGACAATGTAATAAAGCAGCAGGAAATGCTACTAGAATGCTTGGTTGTATAGGGAAAGGTAGTAGAGATAGACCGATTATCGGTGGTCGATATTCCGTATTTTGGCAAATGTCAGTATCAGCCACTATTGATACCAATATTGCCGATAATGTAGGAGGCAGCGGTGGCCCAGCGAATGCAGGGCCAGCCGCTTTAAGGCGCACCGGCTGTGGGGGTGTAACAATCAAGTGACAGGCAGGAAGGATCGCACAGCGCTCTCACTACCAGTGTAATGTGGTCGAGCCGAGCAGAGTAGACCGCGGTACAGGAGCTTCCTTTTCCTGAGGTGAGGTGAGAGGAACACTTAATAGTCTTGAAAGCAAAAATACACACTGTCATGTGTATTTTGTGCATTTACCAAAAAAAAATAAAAATTATAAACATGCTCAGTTAAAGGACCACTCTAGGCACCCAGACCACTTCAGCTTAATGAAGTGGTCTGGGTGCCAGGTCCTTCTAGGGTTAACCCATTTTTTTATAAACATAGCAGTTTCAGAGAATGCCGCGCGTGCGCATTCAGCCCAGGAGGAGGAACGGAGGAGGATCGGAGGAGGAGAGCTCCCCGCCCAGCGCTGGAAAAAGGTAAGTTTTTACTCCTTTCCCCCTTCCAGAGCCGGGCGGGAGGGGGTCCCTGAGGGTGGGGGCACCCTCAGGGCACTATAGTGCCAGGAAAACAAGTATGTTTTCCTGGCACTATAGTGGTCCTTTAACAGTAGATTTGAGTAGAAATTGTTTCTTTTTTTTCAAAACTGTAAATTTACAGATTATCGGTAAATTATTGGCTATCGGCCTGAAAGTTCACAGATTATCGGTATCGGCTCTAAAATATCAATATCGGTCCACCCCTAAGATGTATAAGCAGTAGAAAGAAGTAAGTGCTCATGCCATTGCACAGAACACTGGTAAGACTGGTGAGATTTGCCTTATTACTGCAGTACATAGTACTGGAGAACGTATCTTCAGAAGGATATTGATACTTTGGAAAGAGTTAGAGAAATGCTACTAAACTGGTTCATGGATTGCAGGGTAAAATTTACCAGGAAAGGTTAAAGGATCTTAACATGTAGAAAGGTACATTTCTCAGCATGTACCATTGAGTAATAAATATAAAAGAAACAAATTAAAACCAAAGTGGCTTAGTAGAGAAGTAAAATGAGATTAAAAATAAGAAAAGGGCATTTAAATCGGACAAATCAGATGCTTCTTATAAAAGATATAAGGAAGCCAATAATGCGGGCAAAAAGGCGATTCGATTTGCTAAACTTCAAAATGTTAAAATGATAGCTAAAGAGAGCAAAATCAACCCCAAAGCATTTTTTAAGTACATAAATTCTAAAAAACCCAAAAATGAAAATGTAGGTACACTAAAAACTGAAACGGGGGTGTTAGTTAATGAAGACCAGGAAAAGGCAGGAATTTAAATAACTTTTTCTCCTCCGTATATATTAAGGAAGAACCCATGGCAATAGATGTGCAAATGACTGCTACTAAAAACTTGCAGAATAATTGTAATTGGTTAACTCAAGACAAGGTGCTGCAGCAACTAAAGAAAGTTAATATAAACAAAGCTCCAGGGCCATGAGTACTTAAGGAACTAAGTGTAGAAATAAGTGAACCTCTGTTTTTACTCTTTCAAGATTCTTTTCTTTCAGGAAGTGTTAGCTTAAGTTCGACGAGTATGATGGATTTTTATTTGGCCTTTTTTTGGGCTGAAAAATGAAGATTTTAGAAAAAAGAAGACGTCAAATGGCAAGTTAATTTTTTCTTTACAGGTTAGTTATTTTATTCCCCCCTCACTATTTTTAGGGTAAGGGGGGTAGGTAGGGGGCAACTTTTTGTTTGGGTGGGTGACTAGGGGCTTGGGGAACCCTAGTCACCTTTGATGGGGGAGGATTTGTCTTAGGGCCCCCACCCACCGCCCAGGGGTGGGGGCTGGGGGGGGACAGTAGGTCCCCCCCCTTGTAATTTATGGCCCCCACCCACCGTGCAGGGGTGGGGGCCGGGGGGGAAGGACAGTAGGTCCCCCCATTGTAATTTATGGCCCCCACCCACTGCGCAGGGGTGGGGGCCAGGGGAGGACAGTAGGTCCTCCCCCCTCATTATCTTTATGGCCCCAACCCACTGCTCAAGGGTGGGGGCAGGGGGGAGGACAGTAGGGCCCCCCATTGTATTTTATGGCCCCCACCCACCTCGCAGGGGTAGGGGCCAGGGGGAGGACAGTAGGTCCCCCATTGTAATTTATGGCCCCCACCCACCACGCAGGGTTGGGGGTCGGGGGGAGGACAGTAGGTCCCCCCATTGTAATTTATTGCCCCCACCCACCACGCACGGGTGAGGGCGGGGGGGAGGACAGTAGGTCCCCCCCCCCCGATTGTCCATTATGGACCCCACCCACCGCTCAAGGGTGGAGGCCAATAGGTTTTTTTTTGGTTTTTTTACAGTGAGCAGCCACTCTCATCCTGGATTTCCCTGACATCCCCCTCTGTGAACTTCATCTTTTCTGATACCTGCTGCATACTTGTTTTGAGAGCAGGCAGGTCAGTGGTCAGCAAACTCTGGATTTCCTGCAGCATAGTTTGTAAGTGTTGTGGGTCCTGCTTAGTGGCAGGTTCTGTACCTCCGATTGCTGCTGTGGTCGGCTGTTGATTGCCTGCCTGTGTGGATCGCGTTGGTGAAGAGGCCTGAGGTGATATGTAACAGGCTGTTGGGGATGTTGAGCCGTCCATGGCCGCTATCTTGGTTGGGGCTTGCCGCTGGAGCAAGGTTCCAATAACTTGCTGATCGGTCGAGGTACCTGGCTGGGGTCTCTGGGATCGGCGCCCCATTGCTGGTGTGGCGTTAGTGGGCTGGTGCTGCAGCGTGTCTACCAATCTATCGGTGTAGGCCCCACTCAGGAACTGCTCCAGACCGGGGATTGTCTGTGTCAGGTAGGCCCCGGTTCTGCGTTTAAGTTTTGCCAGCTTCTGGGTATACAAAAAGGGCATTGAGCGGTGCTGCAGGAGTCCCTCTACCTGGACCCGACGTTCAAGAGGCTGGCAGGGTTCGCAAAGTGGGATAATGAGTAGATTGTGTCGGTCTCCCTGGCAAACTCTGCCGCCCGGTATGCAAACTTTTAAGCACAACTGTATATGGTCCATTACACAGAGAGAGAACATGGATTTGGAATACTTGAAGACACTTTCATTAATTGGAGTATCACTCAGAAGGCTTGATTTTGGCATTTTAAGTGT